CGACAGTGCCGCCAACTTCTGGAACGTCGCAAACGTTATCGCTATCGGACTGGAATTTTCGCTATGATTTCAAGTCGGCCATTTTTGCTGAATTTCGCCAAGAGATTGACGCGGCAATCCGATCCTTTGAACAGGCGTACGAGATTTTGCTAGGTCAAGATGTTCTTGATATAATTCCCAGTTGGAGCCCTCGCTGGAACGAGGCACGGCTCCTAGCAGACATTATCTCTATCCGCTGTTTGCGAATGCACCTGTGGATGGGACAAACGAGTATGGCGGTTAGGAGATGGCAGGCTCACCGCGATCGTATCAGCGATTTTGTGGAGGCCCGAGGAAGAGGTACAAATAACTATGGCTGGCAAGCTTGGGAAGCCCGGTGGGCGATGATGATGGCTACTCTTATTGAGAAGACCGAAGTTCCTGGCCTGGGGCCTTCGACTATGACGATCTTTCTTCAACCAGAAAAGAATCTTTTTGGCGAACGATTACATCCGTGGGAGCTATTACATCATACTGGTTATTGGTATCGAATTGCAGCACGCCATCTTGGAGCTCGCAAAGCATTGGCCCGCAGGATACCCGAAGATGATAGAGGAGCTCCAGACGCTTCGCCCGCATCGAGAGTGGCGAGCAAAGCATATCGTTACGATACATACATGTGCCCTCCGCCCCACGAAGAATATCCATTGAACGGAAAGGGAGTCAATCACGCACAGCTAATAATAGACTGCCTCCTCATGGCGAGAGGTCAATTTCAAGCTAGAAAGCAGCACCGAATTGCGGCAGAAATATCTTTGGAATGTGCGAGGGAGATGGTGACGATTGGATCGTGGAATGAAGTACTGGGGATGCTCAGGCCTCTCTGGGAAGACAAGTCTTTTCGCTCTGAATGGTGGCTCGATATCTCTGAAGAAATCTTATGGCTTGTGAGACGAGCAGCGGCGGAAACTGGACGGGCAGATATTGTGGTCGCCATTGATTGGGAACTAATGGATAAGCGTAGGTGGCCATTCTATATTATCACAGTTTCGTGCCTCGGATACTGACCTTGACATATAGGCTTTAGACGGAGAGAAAACTGGCATTACGATCTCAGCAAGTCTCTGGATGGAGTTACCTTGGATTCGAAGCCATCTATTAGCATATCTGACGATTTAGCTTCATCTTTCTTATCAGCGTCGTTTGTTTTTCGTACCAAAGAGGGCCGGGCTGGCGAAACATGCTTGGCCCAGCTGTCTCTCAAATCTGAAGCGCTTGGTGTGGCTGCTCCTGTTACTCTTTCTTCTATTCGAGTTGAATTTGAAGGGCATCTCAAACCTATCACGCTCGTGCACGACGCAGCGCTGCCGATGAATTCTGCGGAAGGACCTATATCCGTGGCAGTTGTGCCGTTGACCGAACAGCTTGGGGGCGATGAAAAGAAGACTAAAGATGAATGCGAAAATGAAGCCGAAGAAGGGACCCAAGACGAAGATGAAGACAAGAAAGACGACGCAGATAAAGACAAGACGGATGAAAAAGAAGACCAACTGACTGGTAAATGCGATCTGACACTGAGACCAGGCCACCGTCAAGTGTTTGAGATGAATATACCATTACGAGAGCCAGGGGAGGCGTCAGCTTCTACTCTAATTTTGTCTTATAAAGCCGATACCTTCGAAATGGATTACAAGTTATCATTGTCGGAACTAGGCAATGTAACAGGATGGTTCGTTCAAGGCTCGGTGAAACCACGATTGTCCAGACCCAACGGACACATTCTACATATACAGCCACGTCCGCCTAAAATGAAGCTGAGGTTGATAGAGCCCCTCGAGCAATACTATGCAAACGAGCCGATTGCACTACGGGTTGGCCTATATAACGAAGAGGACGATTCTGCTAACGTGAAATTGGACATTCGGATCATTGGGAAGGGAATCCCTCGGTTCCAAGTGCAAGCTGGAGAACACAAGCGAGAAGTGGATGCTGCTGAGGAGGAGTCTCAAGTCACGGACCTTACTCTTGGCCATATCGCCAGCTCCTCATCGTTAGAGGCATCAATTCATCTAGACCCTGCACTAGCGCCTACGGTATACGAATTGCAGATCAGAGCAGATTATCATTTGGAGTCGGATGCTGCAACACCGATTGTTCAGGTGTTGCCTATTCATCTCAATATTGTGAATGCGTTTGAAGCCAATTACGACTTGATGCCGCGACTTCACCTAGATCCCTGGCCAAGTCTTTTCGACTACGAAGATCTACAAGACGTTTCTGAAGGCGATGTTGTTCCGGCCAAGGGGCTCACGCAGCAATGGTGTCTTGTTTGCCACTATGCATCGTTCGCAACGGAAAATTTAGACGTAATAGGCCTCGACATGCAGGTTACGTCAGTGACGCCTGGCGGACGGTGCCGTGTTGTAAACAAGCCCGAATTCTCTGCAGATGGCATGATTGTGGCGCCCAAGACGATGTATGAAGCTCGGTTTGATCTGGTAGCGGATAAGATTACGCTAGACGACAGGCATCCAGTCGCAATAGACTTGGCATTCGTGGTCCGCTGGCGACGGCGGCGATCTATAGATGGCGAGACTAGCCCAGTTAACGTCACAACGATGATAGTTGGGCAGTACATGGTGCTTGGAACGGAGCCTAGAGTGCTGGCATCGGTGCTTCACAGTTCGCAGGAGAAGGCGGGTTTGGTGCGACTTGATATCACGATTGAGAATCCGTCTAACCATTTCTTAACATTTGGACTGGCGATGGAACCAAGCGATGCATTCGCTTTCTCTGGATCCAAACAGACGACAATGCACTTGCTACCGATGTCAAGGCGCACCCAGACTTACCGTCTGATGCCGCTTGTACGAGGCGTGTATGTACGGCCAGGATTGGTGGTGAGGGACAAGTATTTCCAAAAGGTGCTCAGAGTTATACCGACAGAGGGGATGAAGATTGACAAAGATGGCCTGCTGGTTTGGATCCCTCCAGTGCAAGAAGCTGACGAGAAGTCGAACTAGTGGCTCGGGGGAAAGGGTACCCGAGGAATACGTAAATAATCATGATATTTGGTTCATCTAGACTAGATAGAGGGATATCATTTTACATCGCCTGCCTCAGACTTTCGCCTACTATTATTCAGTGCACTTGGCTCGATAGGCCACCAAGGGTGCAGCTGTGACGCAGCGCAGACGTGGCAGGAATGGATCTAACGCAGAGGATGGGACGATGCTGGCATGGCGCTGTACTATTATTGGAGCTGTTCGTTCATGCGCTTGCTCCGTGGCCCATCTGCTGTTCACGAAGCCGTGAATGAATTTAGGGGTTTGTTAGTTGCGGAGTTACGCAGTGTCTCATTTGTATGGGTGTTGCGGATTTGGCCCGGCCTCGCTGTGGAGGCAACACCGAGAAAAAAAAAAAAGAAGACGTGCCTGAGCTTTTGTAGCTTCATGGGTTGCCGTATGAAGTTGGGCTAAGCTTCTTGGGCTGAAGCGGGCTGGATTGGTAATAAGTGGGAATGAATCCACTCGCGCCGAACCTCCCCCTGACTGAGGGAGCTGCGCCGCGAAGCTTATGTCTGTATACGAAGTACGAGTACGTGTATATCTTGCTGGTGCATACCTACCCAGGTATCTCTCTTACATGTGAGGCTTGCATATACATACATACAACGGCTTGATCTTATCTGATGTTGGCCCTAATACTGCTGTTGTTGTGTTACTAAATGCCTAACAAGGAAAGCCTAAGAAGCCTCGCAGAACGAACAGGATGAAAATCCTACTACCTAATGTAGAACTTACTCGCATGGGTGTTAGTAGTGCCGTAAATAGTTAAACCTCGTTTTTTTCTTTCTCTAAAACAGTCGTCCGCCTCAAGTAAGCAACTAGCTGCTCCCACAATAAATCCTACCAAAAGCTCCCCCCTCGGACATCGGCTTCGCTTCAAGTCCGTCGACTTGCCCGTGGCTTGCTCGCCCACTAAACCGCATCAGGTGGTTCAAGCCATTTGAGTCATACCGTTGCTTTGCAGTTCGACTCACCTCTCATGCAGCATCTGCCTCTGGGGATTAACTACCGGCGTTTTATTGGCTCCGTATTCTTTCTTTCTTTATTTATTTATTTATTATTTTTTTTAATCTCATTGTTTTCTTGTCTTTTATTGGCACTAATAATATCCCATACGTGTACGGAGCAAACCCCGGTGTTAGTCAAAGGGTTTTAAGCTCGGGCTTCCAACCTAATCTCCGCGTAAAAGAATCATGTTGTCTAGATTGGTTTCCTTTGTAGGCTGCCTGGCTGTGTATGTAGTCTATCTATTAGCCGCTAGAGAGTAGAGAGCTAGGGGAGCGAGGAAATCGCGAGGGCGAGTTTCGCCACGTAAATGCGGAGTCCAGCTGTAGGGATGGCAGGCCGCAACTACTAGTTGGCAAAGGGCTTTCGCGTATCGAATCGAATGTTAATATTATTAAGGATTTTTAATTTAACCGCCGTGGTGCCAGTGCGTGATTAGGAATACATATCACTGAATGCCGACGACCGAGAGCTTGGGCGGTCTGCCAGTGAGCCTGCTGGGGGTCGTGTGGTGGTAAGATAATAGATCGACCTGGGCTAGATACTAAGATGGGCAAGATATAAGGCTGAAAAGGTGTACCACATTTTTTTGCCCCTTCCCTATTTTTTTCTTTCTTTCTTCCAGGTCTTTTAAGCCTATTGCTTTAGTTTCCTTCTACTATTGTATTAGTCGGAAGCAAGGCCGAAAGAAAAAAAAGGGGGGAAAGAATCACGAAAAAGAACAAGAAACGCTGCGGAAAAGGCAGCCAACTCGCGACGCTAGTACGTAAAACTTCGTGCATACATAGTATGGCCGACGTGAATTTTTTTTTGAACTAGATCCATCGCTGGACCCGGCTGTTATATGGAGACGGCCAACTCTAATTATATATACCAAACTAACAAAAGGAACAGGACCGACCTCTTCCCTTTTTTTCTTCCTTTCTTTGTCGAAGCACTCCCCCCCCCCCCGATCTTCTCAATACACTGGGAGACAAAAGACAAGATAACAAAAAAATGTCTTCCACGCCAACGCCACGTCTCTCATCAGACAAGACAGAGCGCGGCTCCATACCGCCGCCCCTGAGTCGTGACAATGACATCGAAAAGGAACTCGCTGTAGCTGGCGCCGATGAGACCAAGAAGGACGATACAGTTCTGGAGGAGGTCGTCAAGACTGATACGGTGGCGACCAATGCCACTCTCAACTATCCTAAGGGCGTGAAGCTGGTGTCTATCATCATCGCTCTTTGTATGGCGATTTTCCTAGTTGCGCTAGATCAGACGATTATCGCCCCTGCGCTGGGCACGATCACGGCGAGATTCCAGAGTGTCAAGGATATTGTGAGTCTTGAGCAATTCACCATGGAAAGATGGTAATGGAATCAAATGAAACATCTGATTAAACTAACCATCAATCAAAACGTCAACAGGGCTGGTATGGTTCGGCCTATCTGCTCACCGCCACAGCCCTCCAGCCAATGTACGGCGCTCTCTACAAGTACTTCAACGTCAAGTGGTGCTATCTCGCCGCCATCTTCATCTTTGAGATTGGCAGTCTGCTCTCGGCCGTGGCGCCGTCATCAAAGGCGCTGATTGTTGGGCGGGCCGTTGCGGGAGTAAGCTTTTTGAAACCCCCCAATTCGCTCTCGCTGCACGCTTTTGGATTTTGAAATGCTGACTGAGAGGGGATTAGGTTGGAACGGCTGGCTTATTCTCTGGATCCATTGTCATCATCTCTCTGTCGAGTATGCCTTACCCTGACCCTTAGAAACGAAAACCCAGCAGTTTGCTAATTGCTGTGATAGTGCCCCTCGAAAAGCGTCCCATTGCCTTTGGTCTCATCGGTGGCATGTGGGGAATTGCCTCTGTTGCCGGTCCTCTCCTCGGCGGTGCTTTCACCGAGAAGGTTTCCTGGAGATGGTGCTTCTACATCAACCTCCCCATCGGTGGTCTTGCCATGTTCATCGTTGTCCTCCTACTGCATGTCAACCGCAACTCGGACGATACCCTGGGCATGACCGTCTTGGAGCGCATCCTCGAGATCGACCTTTTGGGCACTGCCATCTTCATTCCTGCCATTGTGTGTCTCATCCTGGCCCTGCAGTGGGGTGGCGCGGAATATGCTTGGAGTGATTCCAAGATTATTGGCCTGTTCGTCGGCTTTGGCCTCATGATCCTCGTCTTCGTTGGCATTCAGTTCTGGAAGGGAGACAAGGGAACCTTGCCACCGCGAATGTTCAAGAACCGCAATGTTCTTGCTGCCATGATGTTCAGTCTCTTCTTCGGCGCTGGTTTCTTCCCCCTCATCTTTTATCTTTGTGAGTGGCATTTCTGTTTCAATATCCAGGCTGATCCTTTTTTACTAAACTATGTGTGAACAGCTCTCTATTTCCAAGCCATCCAGGGTGTAAGTGCCGTCACCGCCGGTATTAAAATCTTGCCTCTGCTCCTTTCCAGCGTGTTCATGTCCATCGTCACGGGTGGCCTCATCCCCGTTATTGGCTACTACAACTTCCTCATCCTCCCATCCATGGTTCTGTATACCATCGGATGCGGTATGATTACGACGTTCGCCGTCCACACCCCGCTGAGGGAGTGGTTCGGATACCAGGTCATCGCCGGCTTGGGCATTGGAGCTGGATTCCAGGCCAGCGTCTTGGTTGTGCAGACGGTCCTCCCTCAGGAATGGGTTCCTGTCGGCACTGCTTGTGTGCAGTTTTTCCAGATCCTGGGAGGCGCAGTATTCGTCGCTGTTGCTCAAACCCTCTTCCAAAACGGACTCATCGACCAGCTTGCCAAGAGCAACACTGGCATCAACCCCGAGCTTTTCATCAACAGCGGTGCTTCTGAAATCAAGTCTGTGCTCCAAGGCATCGGCCGATTGGATGCCCTTGAAATCGTTCTCGAGGCGTACAATACCGGTTTGCGCCATACTTACTACATTTCCGTGGCATGCGCCGCCCTTGCATTTGTGTGCAGTCTCGCCTTCGAGTGGAGGTCAGTGAAGAAGGGCGCCAACGGTAGGAAGCCTGAGATATCAGTGGGTATGGCATAGACTGGGAAACCAAGTCATCACTCCACTCTTGTTTGAAAATTTTCGTTTCGAGCCTTGTATTTTATTCATATCCACATCATCTTGGACATTTATGACGATGGTGCAAATGCGTCTTTTGAACTGTACAGCGTAATGAGCTATGGAAATAGATCCCTTGGCATAATCTAATAGAATAATATTAAAGATATTGAAGATACTTTGTTTTTCCATATGTATTACTGTGTATCATCAGGAGGCTGATCCCATGACAGTCGACCAGTCCTCTTTCTCGTGGCTGCTCCTGAATCTCGTCCGACAAAGTGAAGAACCCAGTCTTTGACGAGCCTCGTCTTCTCTTGCTGAGGATGCTTCGCCGCGGCCCGTCTGGCGAGATCTCTGTTCTGATAATACCCACCTCCTTCGCTCCGCCATAGGAGATTGACCCGAGTAAGGTTTTTGCGCAGACTTTGACCGTAGACCTTGCCACGGAAGACATGCAGTGCCACGTTTTCCATCAAAACGACGTCTTGCCGCCTCAGCTTGCTGATTTGGCCGGTTGCAGCCTGGTCATTGGATAACCAAAAGGTCACGGCAAAGCCCGATTTGGTTTCATCGCCAACAAGCACCTCGACCAGTGACAAAGTGGTGCCCCAACGCGTCGTGACGGTCCGGGGCTGGGCTATAGATATCACAGCCACGATCAAATTGAGCGTGACTGTCTGGGGGCTCAGAGCGAGAATCCGAGCCGCGGAGGGAACGTCTTCCAAGTCTGACAGATGCAATGGCACGGGCGGCGTCAATGGATTCGTAGGATCCTGCAAAGAGATGTCGTCTGTATCATTCGTCATGAATGAGGTTGTGGTATCCTCAGTATTGCCTATGCTGAAACTGCCTATCTGACTAGACGGCATGAGGGTGTGGGCCGCAAGCGACTCTTCGCAAAACTGCGTCAGTATTGCCCCCCCATCTTCACCACCGCTGAAAGACTGGGGTTCATCCCCAGAGAAGGCATAAACTGTGGTGAAGAAGTCACGATGAGCATGAAAGGAGCCGCTCAGGATGCTGTGGTTCTGGCTCAGGCCTGTTTGAAGGGGTCGGCGGTTCAGCGGCACAGACCGCCAAACAGCGTGTGGTGGTGATTGAGATGCGGCTTCAGCGCCTGAAGCTGGGCTCGTGTGTTTCTGTTTCTGCTGTTTGCTGTCAAGGCGCCCAAAGAACTGTTGGAATGTCTCATCGAAGCTGTCTAAAGTGCAGGACTCGGAATCCACCGAGATTGGGGCTGGAGCTCCAGCGAAGAGGATAACACGTGGTGTTGGTGTTGATGCCGGTACTGGCATCTTTAGTTATGGCAACTGGGTTTGGTGATGAGATTGTATACAAAACATTGAAGCATGGAGTTGGGCCTTATATCAGCCCTACCTAGTAGTTGTACGAGTGACTGCCGTGACACGGCGCGCAGGCTGATTGTCAACGCCAACCGCTGTAACACGCGATCCCTGCCATGCCCCGGATTTGGCGTCTATGAGTTTATAACCCAAGCGAATGAATGTCTAGTTGGGGCTGTTGATGCTGGTGAGGGGATCTTGGTGCCTTGCTGTGCTCTATCTGGTGTATGCGAACTTCAAAGACCGAAGCCAAAAATTGGGACGGAAGCAGGACAGTAAATACACAGTGCGGATACTGTATCCAATATTGCACTTTCATCGATCTTACACGCGCGACTGCTCTGATCTAATTGACAAAGTTAAGCTAAATGATGTTGATCTGCATTGATTGAGGTGGATACTATTGATGCACCTGACCTAACTGGATGGTCTTGATCCGATTAGAGGTTTATATAGTTGCAGTGCTGGGACACCCACACCTGTAATTAAGCACTGTTAGGCACCTACGTGAATGCAATATATCTTGTCATGCAGATGATGTCTCAAGTTTTGCAAATCTCGTTATTTACGTAAGGACAAGTTGTCATTTCAAGTCCTGCTTTTCAAAGAATGCAATCTACAAACAAAAGTGGCAACTCATACAAACGAAAGCGTCTATAACCAAGTGAATCGCCAACTGCCTTACACCACTGCCGACCCCCCCAAAACAAGCTGCTATTCGGCTATTTTGGCCTTCAATCTCTTACCGAGGCTCATCTCCACCCGCCACGCCCCAGCAAAAAGGGACAATAACAGTGACAAATCGCAAGCCCGCCCGTTGGGATCCGCGTGCGGTTCAAAAAAAAAAAAAAAAGTAAGAGCTGAAAACCCGATACTACATACATACATACACGCTACCCCGGATTCATGCTCACTCGCTAAGATAAGATTCGGCGTTTGTTGCGAGGTGGCCAACCAAGATCCCGGGTTCCTGGCGTTAGTTAAACGCCCCCCCCCGTCTTCCGGCGTTTGTGTCGACACAGCACAACATATTCATCACAAGCCGAGGCAACATCCATTGCTTTTGCTACCTTTTCTTTTCATAAGTTTTCTACTATACATAAACTACCTAGAATCTGTATGAAGTGAACGTACCACCTTGTACACAAACTACAACCCTTAGGCCACAGACAAAAAATGGCCTCCGATGCATCATCATCATCCTCATCCTCATCCTCAGTCTTCGACATCCAGGAGCACACCATCCAAGCATCACACATCCGAGAATACCCCCGCGCAACGGCAAATTCTCAAGACGATGCCCTCCTGCTGCACGTGAAGCAGTACACCCCTAAACACAGTGGTCCTCCGCGCAAAGGCGACATCACCATTATTGGCGCTCACGCAAATGGCTTTCCAAAAGTGAGTACTACCCAGCCGAATCGAATCAAATCATGGGAGTAGTATTATGATTTGGGCTAATGAGAACAAAAAAAAACAGGAACTATACGAACCTCTCTATGAGGAATTCCTCAAACAGCTAGACAAACAAGGCCTCCGCCTCCGCGCCATCTGGATCGCCGACGCCGCTCACCAAGGCCAGAGCGGCATCCTCAACGCCGCCTCCCTCGGCAACGATCGTATGTATTTCCTCATCTTCTCATCTCACATCATCCCTTTCTTACACCAAACTAAACATGTATATGAAAAACAGCCTCCTGGCTCGACTACGCCCGCGACATCGCCCACCTCATCAACACCATCCGCCCTCCCCGCCCCATCATCGCCATGGGCCACTCCTTTGGCGCAAACGCCCTCGCAAACGTCGCCCTCATGCACCCGCGCCTCTTCACCGGCTTCGTCATGCTCGACCCCGTCATTGCCCGCTTCGCTGCTCCCCCCAAAAGGCAGCAGCTGCTGCCCTCCTCTCCCGAAACGTACGCCAACCCAGCGTCGCTCAGCGCCATGCGTCGAGATACCTGGCCTTCTCGCGCTGCTGCCCGCGAGGCATTCCTCTCCAAGGACTTCTATCGGGCATGGGACCCTCGTGTCTTGGACCTCTTTGTCCACTATGGCCTCCGTGATGATGCCGCTGCTGGAAACTCATCAAAGAACAAAGACAATCAAAATCAAACTCACCCCCCCGTCCGTCTAACCACCACCAAGCACCAAGAAGTCTTCACCTTCATCCGCCCCCTCTGGCCCGCCCTCGACCCCTCCACCAACCTCATCACCAACCCCTCCCTCGCCCCGGACCACGACTACGAACCAGGAGTCCCAGCCGCAATGCCCATCTACCGCCCCGAAGGCAACAACACTGCCGCTCGCCTCCCCCACCTCCGCCCCCCCGTCCTCTACGTCTTCGGCGGCAAGAGTAACGTCTCGCCGCCCCGCCTCATTCAGGAGAAACTCGACACCACCGGCGTCGGCGTCGGCGGTAGCGGTGGCTCCAAGGCAGGCCGCGTGAAGCACGTCATCCATCCGGACAGCGGCCATCTCGTGCCCCTGGAGAAGCCGCTGTTTTGCGCAACGGCCGCCGCTGAATGGACCAAGACGGAGATTGATAGGTGGTGGGCGGAAGAAGAGGCATATGAAGAGTGGACAAAGAAGTCACTCGAGGACAAATCGACAATAGATGACGAGATGAGGAGGCGCCTTGCACCACCCAGCAGTAAAAACAGCAAGGCGAAAGCCAATCTGTAGAATTGGTATTCTCATTCATCTCTGCCTTGATATAGAGTTTAGAGCATCTTGTTGTTTTCTTCCTTTCTTCTTTCTTCTACCAAATACACTAGCATAGACAGGCAGCCTGGCAAGCAGCTCCGATTTGGCACGAGAGGTTATGGCAATACGTAATATTCATTCATTCTTGAAAAGTTGTCATGAAACACAAGTACTTGAGACACTGAGCCAATAATCTCGTTAGGCTTTCCTAAAAGAATCATTCTTTGGTATGTTCTGAGCCTAAAAGAGTGTACAACATAACCTGTCAAATGTGATGCTATCCTAACCACGTCCCAATTTGAGTCCCACCTTCTTAGCATACATATTCGAGCCATGGTATTAAAAAAACCTCGCTGGATTTCCATAATCGCTAGCCCACATTCATGAGACTATTTCGTTGGGAAAAAAAAGATTGTAGCCGCTTAAATATAGTACATACTGTCCCTGAGATTGACATGTACCTGCCTTCCAATGGTGTTCGGGCCGCCCCCAGCTGCTTCGGTCTGATTCTCCGAGTCGTTCTGTTCAAACCACTCGGGTCGATGTGCGCGAGCACGCTCACAGACAATGTCAGCATAGTACGCTGGGGGGCAAATGCTGACGGCTTTGGTGGCGCGGCCGTAGAGATAGCACAACTCGTGTGTCAAGCGCTCCAGTTCGTTGGTCGCGTTGGTGCCGAATTTCGTGCGGAAGATCTCGTCCAGGAGAACGGTGTAGTGCGCCGGTCGAGCGGTGCCCTGGAGAGCGTCATGGGCCGTTAGGTAGAAGTCCCAGTATCGGGATTGCGTTACGCCTCGGTCTACTACCGTTCCGTTGAGGATGTTGCCAGACCTAGACATCTCCTCTGTCGATGAAGGGTAGAACCGGGTCTGGTGTCGCTTCACCGACACCACCAGCGTGATCTTTGGCTGGAACTGGGGCGAATACTTCTTGCGGCACGCTTCACGGATGCATGGCAGCTCCCGGTCGAGAACTTGAGAGAACTGGCCCTCGGAGACGCCGTCTCGGTAGATGACAATGTTTTCTGGATACCGGTTTCCATTGTGCTTGCTCCAGGTATCCAGTCGAAGCATGAATGCTTCAATGAGCTTATCACTAAGCATCTCCTGCCTAGAAGTTTGCTCCCAAGACAGTGCGGGCCATTGCCCGAGATCACTGTCAACGCTGGACACAAACCCGACCAAGCTAGGAGGCTCAGCAGCGCCCTTCTTCAAGGACATGTTGGTCGGATGAGTGACGTCGTAGCCAACAATCATGGCTTTGCCATCCTTGAGTATGCTAAAATCGTCTTTAAGCCTGTGGTTGACGCCCCCAGCTTTGAGGTTGATCTTGAGCCCGACGTTGGCGAAATATCCTGGGCTCGCTTTTCCAAATGTACGTCCCACAACGCAGCTCGTATGAATTCCATATGTGCAATCACCCAATTGCTTGATCCTGGCATACAATCCTGACGAATCTTTTTCAGACAGGATGATGACGAAAAGCTGGATTTTGTTTTGTTGTAACCACCCAAAGATATTGTCGAGGTTTTGATTGATATCAATTGCCTCTCTCGGGGGAGCAACGGGGACTTTGTTGATTGCGATCCCCATATTAGCCAAGAAATCTCCGTATTGTAAAACGACATCTCTTCCAACTGGCTGCGCATTTGGTCTCATCAAGAGATTGACCCAGCTCCAACGCTCAATCCTGTTACCTGGCTTGATAACTCTTACCGATCTCATATTCCAGGTGCCATTCAGCGGTCTAACATCGACATTCTTTCTCTTGCCGTCCAAATAGACTACCGTCGGCGCATTGAGGATTCTTCCTTGAACAGTCAACATCTGCTTCTCGACAGAGACACCAAATTTGTTTAGTGATGGATCGTCAAGTTCGAGCACTTGACGGCTGGCGGTGCTAATGGAAAGGGCATTGGAGTACGGCGACCGACAGGCAAATTCTAGCATAGCAGTCGTCTCGTCCATGTTAAGAGAAGCTTTGATTGCCTGGCCTGGTTGGATCTCGATCATCTCAGCCGGTACATATGTAAAAGGCTTTTGCTCAGTACCCATGTCGAGCAATGGATAATCCTTTAGGGTTATCCCGTACTCTTGAATGCATGTCAGCTTGATGCTTTAATCAAATAAAGAAAAAAAGGGGGAAAAAAAAAAAGGAAAAAGCGAGACGAAAACTTACTCTGCTTGTAATAGTCAAAGACCGAGGTGTAGCGGCCCCCTTTGCCACTGTCTATCCAGAACTGAACGTTCTTTGGACCACCAAATTCCCAGTTGGCATCAAACTTGGGTGGATGTGCCATGCCCTTGCCTTTTTTAACAACATCTGACGAACTGGCCAGGCCCCGTATAGCCTTGGACCGGCGAACACTTTTACCCTCGGTAGTCTTGAAGTTGTACCAGACACGAGTCTTGGGTAGGAATTTACCAAACGCTCTAAGTTTGCGCATTTCAAACCCTTCGTTCTTTGAAGCGGCTCTGATCTGCAGGTTTTCCAAAATCTCTGTCATGCGACCAGAGATTCTGAAAACGCCGTGAGTGACATTGGCGTTTACCAGCACCCGGCCAGTTGCCAAGCGGGCGGATTGGAAGTAGCCGCGGGCAGCGGCCAGAGCGCGCCAATTCTGAGTGAGATTCTGGATTACTTTGTCGTCTCCAAATGGGAAGAATCGAGATGAACCAATGGCTGCGGTCTTGATATGATCGCTCCTGGGCTTATGGCCCAGAATGACGTTGATCGCGTCAACAACGTCGGGAAAGCGTGGGAAGGAGATGGCGTCAGCACCGCCCGGTCCATCCGCCATGGATGTCAGATACTGTTTCATGTCGCCAACTCGAATCTCATTTGGGCCGTGGATCTGCACAGAGTACGAATCCATATCTTCGCTCCCCTCGGATTTGGCAACTTCAACAACCATGGGGTTGGCAGCGAGATTGATCTGCTTCAGCGTGATGAGCACGTCCTTGAACTCTGTGGCAGCGACAAGAGCCTTATCCTCCTCCAAAAGTTTGGCTAGAACGGCCTTGACGACGAAAAACAGTTCTCTGCCCTTGATCTCTTTGTCGCCTGCGCCAGCTTTGCCGCCCTTTTTCGACTCTGGCTTTGAGGAGCCAACCTTCTTGGCATTCATCGTATACTTGTAGAACGTGTCAAATTTGAGGTTGACCTTGAAGTAGTTTGCCCAGAGGACAACGGGTCTGCCATGTGAGCCATAGGCTGGCCTAGGAGGAAAGTGGTTGATCGTGCTTGGCGGTGGAGCAGCGGTGCCTCCTTTGCCTCCTTTGCCCCCTTTCCCTTTGACGCCCAGTTTACCCATCTGAGACGTGAGAGCCGTAAGTGACGAGGATTGGGCTGCCACAATCTGATTCTCCAGCTTCATAACTTCAGCATCAGGTTCAGGTATCGTGCCGTTGTAGCTGTGATGTCTATTAGCTGCGAGTTCACACATATCCACACCGCTCTGGACCGTATAAGAGAGGTGAGGACTCACTTGAAAGCCTTCGTCTTGCCAGGAGACTCATCGCGACGACCAAAACCGCCACCTCCGCCTCCACGTCCGCGGCCTCGTCCGTCTCCTCGGAAGCCGCTGAAGCTACCCCTGTAACCTCCTCGGTCACCACCACCTCCTCGTCCGCGGCCGCCGTAATCTCCACGGTCACCGCCTCCTCGCCCACGACCACCGCCATAGTCTCCCCGTTCGCCACCTCCTCGTCCTCGACCACCACCGCGATCTCCTCGATCACCACCTCCTCTTCCACGGCCGCCACCACCACGGTCGCCGCCCCGGAAGCCACCGCGGTTACCTCGGCCTCTATCAGCCATGAGGAAGACTGGAGCAGTATATAGATAGGGATATAACGTCGAGACTTAAACGACAGAGACCAAGAAACCAAAAAGAAGGCTGGGTAAAGTAGATACTGCCAAAATATAATGCTGAAATAGAATAACCACGAGTGAGAGAATAGCGATTCTAGCGAAGGACCCAATAAATAGATGTTTTTGGCAGAGCGAGAGCGAGAGACGGTGACAGTAAAGAGAAGAGGAAAAATAAAATGGGTTGTGCTGAGAAGAGATAACAAAAGGACAAACAGAATTCAAGGGCTGCGCTTCACCAACAAAGAGCAACAAGGCGTCAAAGCGTCAAAACGGGAAGGCGTGAGAAGGCGTGAGAAGTCGTGAGAAGTCGTGAGTGCTGGAAACTTGAAATACAACAATGAGGTTGCCCAGCTGCCAGAGCTGCAGCTGCTTCCAGTTGGTGAAAGCTCGAGGTTGTCGGTGGCGACGAAGAGTGAGGCCAGCTTAAAGCTCTCCACCGAACTGCCGTCCGTTTGTCTAAATCTCTAGGGCCCGGCCGTAGCGCTTCGACGGGTCTGCGGGAGCGGGGAAGCTGCACATGTCATGTCTTCTAGTCAGCGCGGGCTGGTCCCGGTTCCAGTTTTCTTTTCTTTGTCTTCTTGTTTCTTCTTCCCAGCAGAGATAGTGTGGATAAGGTATATACTGTAACAGAGGCAGGCAGAATTGGTACGTACCTACAGCTTTCTGGATGCCCGTGCGGGAATTTGTAGTTTGCAACTCGCTGGTGGGGGGTTTTGGCGCTCAACACGGCGTGTGTTGGTCAATGCCGGAAGCAAAGAAGCTCACTTGAATGCTGTATGTGCTGTAAGACCGGTGCAGTGCAATGATGGATTGCTTGAATGCGGCCGGGCCAGCATTATATCCATCAAAGGAAGGGGTGAAGCGCAGCGGACGCGGCGTGGACGCTCGTCTGTCAGTCACCCATGCAATATATGGAGATGGGCACATCCGCATGTACATTCATTCGCACACAGCCCTCTCTCTGTGATACACGCCCACTCTATCGTACTTGGGATGAGCGCCGCCAGCCAAACAAACTGGGCTTTCTCCCACCCTTGCTCTCCGCTGGCCTCCCACATCGCCAGAAGAGTCATTGTCACGCACCCGCCCAGCTCAGGCAGATTCGCCCGTTTTCAATGTTTCTGCCTTGCTATATACCCTGTGCTACCTACTACGGCTACTCGTACGCCATCTGCGTATCTGCATGGAGCCACTCATAGCCGCCCAAGGGCCGTCTTTGGCCTCACGTTCTACTGTATACATGTAGCAAGTAAATGTGCTTCGTGAATCTGGTTAGTTCCTGGCCGATGTGACGGATCAGCCTCGAGTGCATCTCCACTTGGCGCCAACTCATGATGCATGCATCAGGCTATCCGAGCATTCATGATGCGCTGTTGATTCGTGCTCCAAGTCTCACGTCGCCTGCCGATCAATAAGAGCTTGGCTGAATGTGAAGGAGGCGACGGCAATGATCGTGTGTTGGGTGTTGTCGTCCAGTCTCAACGTCACCCCAGCACTGCATTACCCTTTGGCTTGCTTGGGCCTGGAAAACTGCCGGTTCATTCGATGCTTTAGTGTGTACCTACTAGGTATGTAGTAGTAGTACCTGGCATAGCAAGTACTACTTCGATATACCCTAGCACTACAATATACAGCAGTAGTACTCCGTACTTCGTCTACAATAAATCACGCCTCGAAGAAGCTTCCCCGCTACGAGCGACAGGTCATGTAGATTTACTCACTTACACACGAAACATTCCCTCAAACTGCCAATGCAATGCCAAGGAAAACTCAAGGCACAAGACCGGTAAGTCAATTCCTCGTATCTCTCCTCTTTTACCCTTTCTTCCAACTGATTATACAGTTGAAATCCCAAGTTATGCTACCGCAAAGTGAGAAACCGGTCTCATGAGGATGACTGCGATGAGGCCAACCTACTTCTCCAAGGCGTGGACTCTACCAAGCATCAACACGTGGCAAGGCTCCGATTCAATTGAAAACGGCTATAATTCACACAAGGCGTAGAGAATCTCGCAGTTGTTTAGATGAGGCCTCTATAATGTTTACTAAGTAACACGCAGATGTCTTCTCATATCTAGATACATGTAGTTTGACCTATATAACCTATCCGCTAATATATTGGCCCCCGCATCGCTACCCAACTACTAACATGGCCCATTTACCTTCTGTATCTAACTTTTATGAGCATTATAAATACAACATTAGCCGTATAAATGCTCATATACACGTTTTTCCTTTTTCATGCTCGCAGCTCTTGGAGCTCTCAGCCCGATGTTGCCGCCTCAACACAGTCACCTTGCCACCACCTCAAAACGTAATTGATCGATCTCTTTATAACTACCGGCTGGCCTATTCTACGTAGATTCCATGAGACTGACGAATAAATAGCAAGATAATAAGAAAGCATCAAATAGAAATAAAACAAAAAAAGAAAATTCAATTCCGGCGCCGGGAGTCGAACCCGGATCGCCGCGGGACTTTCACTAATGAAAGCGCGGTATGCTAGCCACTACACCACGTCGGATATCTTATTTGATGCTTAGCGGACGACTAAATTTTACTTATATGAGGAAAATCTGGCGACGATCTGATGCCATCTAGCGTGAATATAGCATGGCGCATCAACTTCCTGCCCATTAATTGCATGTATCTACTCGCCCACATTTATTTTACATAGTTAGGATATCTATAGTGAACTCACTCTAAGCTGGATTGGAAAGAGTTTGCTTCTTGTATGACGTACACCTGGAACGCTCCGCCATTAAAACTTCGCTTTAGTTCGGATGTCGATAGGACTGAACGATAGACGTACACGTAGGTCAACTACAGCAGCGCTTCCTTGTTGGGTCATCAGCTTGGAAGATATTTATTGTTGAGACAATCTAGCTGTGGTCAATTTAAGCAAGGTAGCTGAGCCCTTGTTATTTATAGATAACTGCGCATCTGTGCATCTACTCTCTATTTGTTGAAGATCTAGCTTAGAATCTACTACCTGATGAGTGAATGGATGTCCAGCGGAAGCAGGCACTTCTTCTTATAGTCCACATGTACTTTGGAGTGTGGAAACCCCTCTGCCATCTCTGAACAGCGCCGGTGATCGGAGCAAGTGGTGCTTTGGATCAAATGGAGCTCTAACCCGCCTCTAGCGGATTTGTCGTTGCACGAACACCAACCCTGCATTGAATGCTGTCGGATAGAGATGCGTTATTAGGGTGGGATCCAGCCAAAGCCTTATTCCGAAAGCCTGTGGCATAGGGGTATGCAGATATGCAGAGCAGATGCTCTTATCTACTTCAAAAGCGCGGTGCATAGACGAATGGATGCTGAGGGTATCTCTAACAAAAGGTTTGACTCTTAACTCTGCTAATTAAGTGCCCACTAATCATTTATATATACTAATGCTCATTGCATAAACTGGAAACGCCATGAGTTTAAGTATTGGCGAATCATCGCGCTGCATCCGGTAGGCTATCCGATCAGATGTTCGGGTAATCAATTTGTAGACCACTAGGGATCCATAAACTTGAAAGGCAATAGTGATGTAAAGAACATACTATTCATCTAGAGATTAGTATTCGGATATAACTGTGTATGACCTACTATCCAAAATACTTGTTGTGACTCTTGGCTCTTGATTGTATTTTCCTTTATGTTTTTGTAGGCAGATTGTAAGTAAACCTCGAGCTTGCACTATAAGTTTATAGCTCATATATACTATTGAAAATTCTACCGATATTCGCTTGCTGGATGCCACTATTATTTTCTCGCCTTATTGAGATACGCTGAATTGCTCTGTTGCAATTCGGAGCTCATTAACGGGATGCTGTCTTTCGCAACCTCAATTCACAACATCAGTTTCCCCAAAAGCCAAATATTGTAGCTCCAAACGCACCCAGAGGTGGATAATCTTCTTAAGAGGAACTTCACAATGCCAAACTATACCAAGGTGTTGATAATAACAGCCAGGGCACCAGTTTCCTCATTCGGCTAGGGCTGATAGCTGGCTTGTACTTGAAGCTTCAGAATGTGCTGAAACTTGGTTGCGTTGATTGCCGATGCCACCACGGCACTGAGACTTCAAGAATTGTTTGGAATCATATTGGACTACAAATATCGGCAATCAAAATTATGTCCGTAGAAATGAGTTGATGAGATAATCGGAATCACCTTTTATCGCGGCATGAAATAGCTATGTGCGAGTTATATAAGGGCATGATCGAACAATGGGACGTTGCAATTTGTAGCATTATCAGTGATCCGAAACAATCAATTAACCCTCTTGTATTCTGATAAGCTTTGACAATGACAGCGTCTCTAGTTGATGAAATGCTTGAACGTAACAAGTATGAACGCTTCTCGTCTCCGTGTATGTGGGTATCTGCTCACCGCAATCTGGCTGTAGGAATTTTGCTACGTCTCACAGGCCGTACAAGTTCTTTTCTGAAAGCATGAGCCGAAAATTGCCCTCTGTCCTCATAAGTGCGTTATACAGAGAAGAATGAATCATCTTTACAGGGGCACCGTTTACTCATTTGGAGTATAGTAACCTGTCTCGACCCAAGGTGCAAACCAGAAGAGTTTTTATGCCTGAAGCCTGGAGGTACTGTTAATATCTAATTCGCTTCTGAGTTGCCGACCGTTAATATTCGCTTAGAAGCCATTATTTTTCGAGTTGGAGGAGGCAGGGTTGCCCCACTCATCGCTCAAGTCGCTTCAATGGACTGCTTTGTTGGTGGTTTTAGAGAAGTCATGATCATTCATCATACCGGTATGCTATAAGACAGACATCACGCCAAATTCTAACTAATAATTCTCTTTCTTCCATGAAATAGACTGCGGAGCTACTTATTTGACAGCAGAAAAGATCCAGAGCCACATTTTGAAGGAAGAGGGAGTTTCCATCAAAGATACAAACGGTTTGGTGCTTCCAGTTATTGTAGAGTGAGCTATCCTATCCTATTTCAACACAGAACAAGTAGCTAACTGAGTCAGTCTGGAACAAAGAGTTCATGATGATGTCAAGTTATTGAGGGAATCCAAAGTCATTCGCCGCGACTTGAAGGAGTGCATAAAAGGTTACCTGTATGATGTCAAGACTGGACTCGTTGCGCGCGTTTGAGAGTCATCTCCAAGTATGTAATAAGAATATAAATTGTGTGAGGTTTAAAGTGTGAGACATCAGCCAATAAGATACAACATAGCTATAGAGCTATCTAAGAGAGAAATATGAGACAGTTAGCGGTGTGGGATACTACGGCCTCGAGACTTGGCCGCGTCTTACAAGTGTTAGATTCTGATAGGCTCTGACTCTGAGTAATTTTAATATGCGTCTGTCTTGGGTTACATCTCTTAGTTGATGATGTTACAAATATGTGAAAGTTTGTCTTGTGTGACTGGTGGTGATAACCAGATGCTACTATAGATATTGTAGCTCCATTCAGAGAAAGAAGAGAGCTCGTATCTGCCGGTGCCACTATGCAGATAAATGGCCAAACAAGAGAGAGAGATCAATCCCTGCTTATCGTGTGCTCCATGTATTTTCGTCGATAATGATCTGTTACTTGCATGCCATGTCTCTGTAGTCGCGTACGTGTAGCCTGACATCAAGCTTTACAGAATTTGTTAGATAGCAACCAGGTATAAATTCTCTTTGATCCCCGCTCGGAACCGGCGTATGCACTTGATCTCTACATACAAGTCGCCAGCTATTAATCTCCATTATATTCCTTTCAAGAATCATTCCAAACACGCCTCATCCCCAAATACCCATTATGAAATCCCTATTGGTATTTATCTTAGCGGCTGGAACAAGCTATGCTGCTGAAAATGTTCAAAATATCCCAGCTAAAGGACGTTTCAGATGCATTAGTAACTATCGCCTGCCCACAAGCAAGACTTCGCTAACCGCAATAATTAGCTGGTAACACTACTGACTTTTCCATTACTGCAATTAAGGATGGCTCAGCTATAGCAGAAGGCTATATGCTTAATGGCACTTATGCGAGTATGTGTGGCATTGACCCAGTGTTTTTACTTCATTTGACTCTATTCCGTCTCATTTTATACACTAATATATTAATTTCAATTAAAAATAGAGGCCCCAAACGGGAAACTCTATCCCACACGCTTCGCAAATCGTGAGGGCTTCTCATTCTCAGCACCTTGCAAAAATCGTACCCTTTTGGAGCATCCAGTGCATGCCAGAGTACCGTATGGCTATACAGGGGGCACTCCAGGGGCATACAGACTCATTCTTGCATACAACGACCCACAAACTGAGGCCATGTAAGTCCAAATGCAACCCTTTAAGATAGAATACCAGCTAACTATCGTGATACAGATTCTGCGGAATGGTTGCGCATTCCCATAAAAATGAGAATGATTTTGTCCAGTGTGCGTATCAGCAGACATAGGATGTGATTCCTCAAGGAAAAAGCCATCAGAATAAGCCATCGAAGGTCCAAATTACTATCTTCGCTGCCTATTTAAACATAGCATAGTAGTTTGGTCTATAACGGGTAGTAAGTGTCAAAAAGAAGCATTTTATTCGCGGCTCTTGTAGTAAAAGGTGGCACGATAGGAAATGAGACAGAATTGTTGGATACTCATAATCGTTGATGAGATATTAGCCCCGAACGAATATGAGATTTGTAAAAGCATCTTTGATGCTAGAAACTGCTATGTGATATGTACTTATAGCTATGGTTACCTACCTAGTCGAGAGAAGCCAGGAGTGTTAATTGCTTTACCAGCAAATCTACTATATAGGCACAGCTAATGGGTATCCGGCCGGGACTAATCTGCATACATGCATGTGCTTTTGTGACTAATACTTTTGTCTGATAGCAAGTCTGATAATCACGTCATGTAACATGCTCCTCCACTCTTCCACTCGAGCTCACCGTCCTAAGCAGCCGAGAAAATAGTTTGATAACTGGGTAGCGGGGATTTTGTCTATGGCTTCTAACATTTTTCCTTTACGGCCTCTAGGCCTGGATTCTCTACAGTGGTGGCTTAATAAGCTGCGGCGTAATTGAGCAACCTACTAAGGCATCCCAAAGAAAGAATAGAACACAATACGGTTACAGGTACTATAGCTGCGTTATCATTCAGCCTTTCGGCTGCTGGTGGCCTTACAAATGCCCTATTCAATAGCGGACGGATTTGTAACCGCGTTAGTGGTCTTGTCCAAGGTTGGAAGGGTTGCTGCAGAAATTGCCTGAAAGAGCACTAGCTGTGCCCATTTGCATTATGAGATCAGCGCATGTATAATGATGGAGCTTGCTGAGCTCGTCGCATTATATATCACCCAATTAGAAATAACCTTGTTTCCAGAACGTCCAGTAGATTGCAATCGACAATGAGTTTTCCTGCGGCGCATATTTCTAAGCGGGTGTTTGCGGGCAGGCTGGGCTCAAACACCAGCAACCATGGGATTCTGAATAGTATTTATAGACTTGCGCCTCAGCCCGGCATTAACAGCAGCATTCACAACATCTTCGCTCACTCTCAATACAACGACTCCGTTGGGGGGTGCTCATTTCTACATACCAAAACTTCAATTGAAAACAAAACATCTTCCATCATGGCGGCACCTCAACCTCACATCAAGCTGTACACTGACTCCACCCCCAATGGAATCAAGATTACCACAGCGCTAGAAGAGCTCGGACTCAAGTACGAAGTCGAACATGTTGACATTAGTACACTTCGCCAGAAGGAGCCTTGGTATCTCGAAATCAACCCCAATGGGCGAATTCCCGCCATTGTAGACACATTCGACGATGGCGAGCCCATCAGAGTCTTTGAGGGTGGAAGCATCTTACAGTATCTGACTGAGCGATATGATCCCGAGCACAAGCTATCGTTCCCCAAGGGCAGCAGAGAGTACTATGAATGCAACAACTTGCTATTCTTCCAGCATGGAGGTATTGGTCCCATGCAAGGCCAGGCCTCCCACTTTCTCAAATATGCTCCGGTCAAAATCGAGTACAGTGTTAAGCGCTATGTGACCGAGACAAGGAGACTCTACAGTGTCCTTGACACTCAGCTGTCCAAGTCCAAGTCCGGATATTTGGTCGGAGACCATCTCTCAATCGCGGATATTGCCAACCTGTCGTGGGTGATTTTCGGTGAATACACCGATGTCGATATGAATGCTTTCCCGCATCTCAAGGAGTGGGAGGCTAGACTGAGCGCAAGGCCTGCTATTGCTAGAGGATTCCATATCCCCAAGGTCCTAGGAATAAAGAGCGATGACCCTGAGGGCGCTAAAAAGTACCAGAACCATCATGCGGATTGGGTCATTAGAAGCCAGCAGTTGGAACAAGAGGTATTTGGCAAAAAAATAAAGAGCATCTTGATAGATAGAATGAGTAGAGATAGACGATACCTGTATTAATAGCGAAATTGATGTTTTTACACTATCACCAATTTCGTAAAGCAATTCATATTTACCGATGTAGAGATGCCACCAAATTCTTCTCCTACTTGTTTGATCCACTGCTGCCATTATAAACACACCCGCTTCATTCGTGAGTGAGGCATTGTGAGCTGCTAAAGAACAGAAATCATCACCACAGTCACATCTCTATCTTCTGTATTGTCATCCATTATCCACAGCAAGCAACCAAATCGATGAATGCTCTCAGCTCGAAAACATTCATTCTCGCCTGAGTAATCTGTTGAGAGAATTGGCTTATTAGAGGAAGCCCGAATACGCGCATCTCGGATCAGGCGGTCGCCCCGCGCTGCCGTTGGGATTAGCGGCTTTTCCTTTCATGGAATATAGTAGTGGCATATAATTTCCTATCTAGGAAATATGCCTATACCAGCCGAATTCTTGGAAATACATGCTGACAGACTTGAAGGCTGTTGCTAAAGAAACGGATGTTTGCATGCTTCCCGCTTGAGCATATTGCGAAGCAACTTGAGTAGTCTGTGTAGGTATGTATTGCATCTTGAACGCGATTAAAGAATTCTGTTGAAACAAAAGCGCGATATGAAGAAGGTTCTGCTTCTCTTCTTTTGCGCTTTCTTACTGAAGCGTACTCTGTATATATGACGTATATGCAGTCTATAGACGATTGATACGTATGTAAAAATTGAGAAGGAAACGTATAAAAAAAGAGATGAATTCTTTCGTCAAAACATAGCTGCGTCAAAACATTGAGACTTCCTAAATATTCATCACTGAATATATAATCAGTGTATCCCTTAGGCGTCTGGGAATATATAAAGTCCTCCACATTGAATGGGGTAAACTTTAGATTCTGCTCTATTTTGAATACCAGATCTGGATTTGATGTAAAACATCTCCCAAACATGACGGCAATGTTTCTGTCTGGGTGCTATTCGTCGACAAGCTTCCGTGCCAACTCTGTTGTATAGCCTCCAGAAACAAGAATCGGCCCCCTGAAAATGCTATATGCAAAATCTAGTCGCCCGTTCTCAGGAATATTGTCCCAACCAGTGATGCGCGACTCAATTAGATGGATATAAGCGATGCCTAATTTGTCTGCCTTCTTTATCAGGTCTGTGTACTGTTATATGGTATCATCATCCTTCATTCTCATGCCTTGATATGTGTTCCACGGGCTGAGACGGAGTCCAACTCGGTTGACCCCAATTGCATGAGCATCAGCTTTTATAATTTCGTATGCGAAACGAGACCGATTCTCAATACAACCGCCATATTCGTCATCGCGCTGGTTGCTAATGTCTTGAATAAAGGTGTCGATGAGATAGCCGTTTGCGCCATGTATTTCGACCCCATCAAAGCCCGCTTCCATTGCATTTTTTGCAGCCCCCACAAAATTTTTTATGGTTTCCTTAATATCTGCTGTCGTCATGACTGTTGGTGTGCGGGCACCATCTTTCCATGGAATAGCGCTCGGGCTTCTAAATTCGAAGTCCTTTTCATCGTCTACTTCTCTATACGCTGCTCGGCCTATTGTATATAGTTGAGCAAAATTGAAGCTTGCTTTGCAATGAAAAGCTTCGACTGTTGATTTCCAAGCCGCCATTTGATGCGGATTATATAGTCCTGGCACGTTCCGCAGGTCGCCACTTTCTTTTGATACCAGATTACCCTCAGCAATCTGAAGTGTACCTGGTACTGAGGCTCTTTGAGAATAATATTGTTACATTAGCTCTGTTGGCACATGCTCGCCATCAGCTTGACAGCGGCTGACCGCTGCCATGCTAACCCGGTGTTTGACTTCGATATTACCAATCTTTAGAGGCTTAATAGACGAGACTCATCCATTTTGGCCAAAACGCTTAGATCTTCTATCAGGGTATTTCTAGATACATATGCCCAGCAATGCTAAATGAGCTGCCAATTTATATTTGCCTAAGATCGAAATGTGTCTATAAAGTCAAAAATGAGGCGAATATAGCGAACAAATCTCGGGCTGATGGTTCGGTAAATATTACAACCGCTGAACTACGAACCGCTTAATTATGAATTCAATATGGTAGGATGTTCCCGAATAAGAAATTAACTTAGCAACAATCACCTGCTAGAGAAGGTTCTGATACACTCTATTCTAGGACCAGGTAAACAGGAGCTTGCTCTACTACGTAATACGGATTAGCTAGGACCTGAAGCTCATATTTATGACTATACGAGTTAAAATCAGGTATGAACTCCATTTGCTAGTCTCGGTTAGACGACTTTATTTATCAAACTTACCAAAAGACTGCCACACACTTTATTCGCCCCATCGGGAGAGAGAAACAGCACTACAAACTTATGCAGGCACTAGTACGACTAGCATAGACCTACTGTTCCGATCTTCTTTCGGCATATAATCGTTAGTATTTATATAGAAATATGAAGTATGTATGGAGCAGGATGTAACTCATCGAGATCCCACGGACGCTAGGTACGGCCTGCAAAAAGTGGGATTCAGAATAACACCTCGATCACGGTAATCTTGTGGATATCCGGTACATCTCATGCGAGTAACAACATAACTCCGTGCGCCTTTGCAAAATCCTCATCACTTTATAGAGCTGTCTTTCTGCCCCCCCCCCCCCCCCCCCCAATCATCAAAGTTGGATACCGTCTATGCGAACGCAGACTGCAGCTATTTAGATGAGGTTATAATTATCAAACATCCTCAATTCATCATACGATAGCAACCTACCGCTCAAATTTGGCAATGATTCTATATTGACGGTTCCCCTAACTCCGGAGATCCTTGTGATAGTCCTACTGCGAAGCCCCTTGAGTACTCCAGGTAGCTTAGTTGGCCAGCGAGTCAAATTACTTCGCAGCTCCAAGCTAATCCTAGAGCAAGCACGGGCGACTGTGGAATTATGAGCTTTGTAATGCTTCATCAGCGGACATAGGTACTACAATTTCTCCGCATAAGACCGCATTCGTAGCTCGAGAAGTCGAGTCATGGAAAATGTTAATCAACCTACCAAATGGCCGAATGGGCTAGGCAGCCTGTCATCAAGGAGCTAACTACTTCTCGCGGATAAGACAAAGAACGGGGTCGCACGTATATAGAGAGATGGCGAGTGTATCTTCAATACAGTACTAAGAGTCGAACGCGCCGCTGGCCAGCCGTTGCATCAAACTGCATATGAATGATACGATGTTTTTTTTTTTTTTTTTTTGAAAAATGACATCGCGTCTCATAGCTCTTTAAAATAGAGACTTGAAAGCACACAAGCCGTTCAAGAGACGGTTGTTAAATCACAGTCCACTACTAACTCAGCTGTGTATTGCTGGCGCAGAGGTTTTCCCATCTATGCAATATGAATCAATTAATCTTCTAGTTATACACGCTCCTATCACTCCAATCCGAAATTAAGCCAATATTATCTTGCGTAATATGCCTGTGAATAACAACTAATCACCCAGCAGTTGTTCATCTTGAATTATGAGTGAATCAGCCTTCTTCTACACCAATGACCGTGATTTGAAGCACCTCAGCGAACATTTAACTGAGCAAACATCCATTTATGCTATCTGATATTGTATTTACAGATAAAGCACTCGAAAACGAAACAAAAGACCGCCATCTCTTTCTTCAAGTGAAATAGAATTCTATCACTATGTGTACTAGGACTCGAATTTATGACATCTGCCCATGCACCAAGCCCACCTGCATCGACAATGGGCCCATATGCTGCGGAAATGGCCACGTCATGAATATCGATTGCACTACCCGAACAACATGGGACTACTGCAATTGGTGGTTCCTAAATGGGCCATCAGAGCTTGTCTTGAACAGTTTTGTCACGCCGCAGTGCAAAAATCTTGGCTGGACTGATCTCAAGATCATGTCCCCGGAACCTTGTGAGAGATGTAAAAAAGAATGCCGATGAAGTTTGAAAAGTTAGTTCATTGAGCGCCATGCTTTTCTGCTAGTCATAATTGTCCTTTAAGCAACACCGGTCATAGAGATTCATGCTCGGAAGGATGTTGCTCTTAGAATGTCTATTCTGGTAATATTAATACTTTGGGCAGATAACTCTTATTTTTTTTTAGTATAGTGACCTTCAATCGATATAGAGATCGCAGAGAATTGATGACTATATTACGTTTTGCTTTGTCCATATGTAAGGCTTTCAAACAAACAGCTTTGAGAAGATTATTAATAGGCACCATGGTATTGTTCAAGAAGTAGCAATCAGACATATGAAGCAGTATTTTATAGACTGAAATAGAGCTAGCATAGAATTAATCTCATCCTAGCCTAAATGCATCATAGTAACAATGCTGCATATATCGTGGTTTATACGAGTAGGTATATACATCGGAATTAGCCACGGCGCTGACAAATTTTACGTAAACATTTCGCATGGCTATTCATACACATGATTACTTATACTAAATGCGCGATCGTTGTTAATTCGAATTTAAATCATCATCATCTCTGGTATTTTGTGGAAAAGAAAAAGGAGGTGGCGGGTCGTGCTATTCGATGTGATGTAGAGCGAGTAATGAATGCTTAGACACTAGGTAGATGTATCTAATAATTACCTGCGCGGTAGATTATACAACCATATATTTCCGAAACTGGTTCCTCTCCGATCCGACCAGACATACTATCGCTAATCAGCTTAATGCATTGCTTGATTTGGTGAATAAACTCTGTATATGTAATTGAAATCGCTTTTAGACGCCTTGGGATACATAATCTTTTAACTTCCCAATTCCATACTTCAACTTCAAAGTTGTGCCTGTTGGGAATTGTGAAACAACCCGAAATGAGGGAACTATTCATCTACGCTAAGCCCAAATATGGTGGCGTCATTAAAGAAACACCAATTCCGTACGCTGCTTCGTAAAATGATAAATGAGTTTCGATGTTGTTATTAACTTGCTGCAAGAAAGCCAGGGCCGAAGGAAGTGCTTATCAAGGTCGTCTACGCCGGACTGAATCCGAAAGATTGGAAGGTATGGTGAATCAGAATATGACTTATACACAGGATTTACCTTTTATTCACAAACCTCCATCTCTAGGCTACACAACATCTTACTGAACCAGAGGCATTCAACACGGGAGACGATGTAGCGGGTATTGTCGAAGCCGTGGGCTCAGAGGTATTCGAGTTCAAACCAGGTGATCGTGTTGCCGGCTTTCATCAGATGCTCAGTCCTCACGGCACTTACGCCGAATATACCGTTGTTAGAGCTGCCACCACATTCCACTTACCACCAAATATCTCCTTCGAATCTGGTGCTTCGCTTCCTTTAGCCTTTATGACAGCCGCTATCGCATTATACCAGGGCCTGAGAGTACCTCTGCCAACAACCCTTCCCGAAGCAGACGGCGAAAAGGCGCCGATACTAATCTGGGGCGGTGCGACAGCCGTGGGAGCATTTGCGCTCCAGCTCGCCAAGTTGAGTAACCTCGGCCCCATAATAACAGTCGCCGGTGATGGAATCGACTTTGTCAAGTCGCTCAATGCTGCGGATCACATCATCGACTATCGGACAGGAGACGTTGCGCAGAAAATCATTGCCGCTGCAGGATCAGCCAAGATAAAGCTTGCCTTTGATTCCGTATCTGATCTTCGCAGCTACGAGCCCATCTCTAAAATACTTGCCGCTTCTGGAGGTGGTGTTATTAACATGGTCGATCCCATATACGATCGAAACTGGAAATTCCCAGACAGCGTCAAGCTCTCTAGCACCATGGTTGGCTCTGCTCATGGCGATACATGGGGTAGGGTCAGTGATGAGCAAGCAAAAGTAGACTCAGAGTTTGCATATTGGTTCTATCGATACTTGAGCCATTTATTGGCAGAAGGGAGAATCAAGCCTCACCCTGTCGAGGTGCTTCCAGACGGCCTGGCTGGTATTGTTGCGGGAGTGCAGGCGCTCTATGACCAAAAAGTGAGCGCGAAGAAGCTTGTGGCACGGTTAGTTGATCATCAAAGTTGTAATATGTGATATATGATATTAACAATAGATTTATAGGATTGGTGAATAAATGTTGGATACCAGTACTTCGTGGCATAGAGCCATGTAAGTTATTGTTAACCTCAAGCGTTTCATTCATATTGTTTGAGAAAGTCGATCCTTTAAACCACTACCTCGGATAGTTAAAATTCAAGCTAAAGCTTTGTGATGAGAAAAAAAAATATTCATTAAATCCTAAGTTAGTCTGTACATCCAAAAACTCCTATTAAAAGCCAAGATCAATCTCCAAGCGATCCATATGTCCAATAGCGTCTACACCATTACTCTTCCCCTCCTTAACAAACTCACTCTGTGGCGGCCCCAGATACGTGTACCGCAAATCACCAAGATCAAGAATCAGCTTCTCTAGACAAATGTTCTGGCTCCTAAGCCGCACCTCAATTGTGTGGCTACCCTTCTTCACCGTGCCCAAGTTATGCCCTTTCTTCCAGACGCAATCCATGACGGCGGCGGCCCAGTTCTTAGGAACGTCTTCAGCATTCGACTCATCCTCTGTAAGACGATATGTTTTGATGGGTCCACCATCAAAGCGCACATCGTATTGCATCCGGCTTGTCTTTTCGGTTTCAAGGGTCATGTTGAACTGAAGCTCGAGATTGGTATTGTCGTGCTGTGAGAAGACATAAATGGGATACTTGAGGAATGGAATTTCGTCTGGCTTGCTAAAGTCAGTATCAAAGGGGAGTGTGACAGCTCCAGCAATAGGTCGGCCAAGAGCAGGTAGCCAGATATATGGTTCCGTGACCCAGTTCCCGGCATCAATAGCTAGATGGCCGCTCTCTTCGACAAATCCTTCAAATTCAGCGGGAACGCGACTATTCCTGACAGTCATATGAACCTGTTCGTAGCCATCACGAGTGCCGGTGATTTCAATCATGACCTTGGCATCAAAATCGGTGGGTACTTTCGCCCAGTCAATGGTTACGATGACTCTGATATCATCATCTCGAGGGTTGAGATGGCCTTCATACGTGGAAAGCTTGATCCAGTCGTACTGTGGCTTAGCCTTCCAGCTGAACTCCTTTGTACCACGGTGGAAGACCTCAAAGTAGCGGGTCTGTTCCCCATAAGGAGTGATGAATGGGAGAGTCACGCCAGGCTCGAGGAATCCACGGGATGGATGAGTTTTGTCGGAATCTTCATTGATATGACCAGGATTGATACCCTCAATGCCTTCCACGGCTATTCCCATATGACCAACACTTGGGTTAGAGTCTTCTTTGGTTTGTACATAGCAAAGACCATCAATCATGTTGCGTGAAGGTTCCGCACCAGTATCGCCATAGCCGTAATGGGGCTGACGAAGAATGAGATCCCATTTGCCATCGGATATGGAATTGAACTCCTCAAACAAATCATGATCATCATCCATGAGGCTGATGCACTTTTTCAGCAACACATTGGTCGTGTTCCTGCGCTGTTTGGCGAAAAGCTGATTTGTATACTGAGCCACACGAACTTGAGTGAATATGTAGGTGGCCTTTACGGGATGAAGCACGAGCTGGAAAAACGCTGACTTTTGATCCTCCTCAATGTGTGAGTAAATGGCTTCAACCTCTTCCATGAGCTTACCCCACCGTGCAAGGATGTTATCGGCTTCGTGGTACTTCTGAATGACGAATGTAGAAGCATCAATGTGATCTTGCTTACGTATCGCCACCAGCTTATTAAAATCGTACCAGGACTTTCCAATCTGACTTGCGTATTTTTCGCCAAACTCACGTGTAGCGAGATGCTCAAAGTACTGCGGTAGCGTAGTGGCCGTGATGGAATTAACATCCCAGGCTAGGTCAAATGCAAAACTCATGGGAATCTCGACAGGCTTCAAGTCTCCAACGTTGAAGATCCATATACGATTTGCGCCCCGATAATGAGCCAACTGGAGCTGATGAAGAGCCTTACCCAGAGTATTGCTGTTGATCCATCTGTAACAGCGCGGGTAGCCCGTGTACTGGAAATGGTAGTAATAACCTGAGCCTCCAGACCTCTTGTTCTCCTCCTCTGTGGGAAGGCGACGAATGGTTCCAAAGTTATCGTCTCCGAATAAGAGTGTCACGTCGTCAGGGATAACAAGCCCCTTTTCATAATATCCTTGGACCTCTTTGTAGAGCGCCATGAGCTGCAAAACCCCATCTTCCTTTCCATAGTTCTTCTTGATAATGCCTCTCTGCACACCTAGCACGTCGGTAAGGATCTTGACAGGATCGCCTCCCGTCATTGGTACATCGCCTTCGCCTCTCATTCCCATAGTGAAATAGGATTCATAAGGAACCGCCCTCTCTGCACCCTCTTCAAAGTACTGAGTAACCTTTGCTTTATTTGTATCCCAGTTCCAGGTTCCTTCTGGTTGCGTAGTAGACCACTCGTTCATGGCCCTCTGCATTGGTTCATGGTGTGAAGTACCCATCACGATACCGTATGTGTCTGCAAGCTCTTGATTCTTCGGATCATCCACAAAGAAAGACCGGCCAGGGTAAGGATATCCTCTCCACATTGCGGGCCACATAAAGTTTGCTTTGAGTCGCAAGAGCAGTTCAAAGATGTAATGATACAAATTTGAATCAAATTTGGGGCCAAACTTTTCGTGGACCCAGCTGTCCATCCCTGGACACTCGTCGTTGATGAATATGCCACGATATTTGACGCTGGGCTCTCCATTGAAAGTTGTTACAGGCAAAGCAAAGATCTTCTGCTGCTTTTTTGGAGGCACATCTGCCCACCAATGCCATCTATCGTTTGATGCCTTATCAGCCAGAATATCCTCTCATGACCAGTCTCGTGTAAAGATACTCACGGTGATACACCAATTTGTTCTGAAAGAGAATACGTGCCAAAAATAGCTCCTCTTTTATCGCTTCCAGCAATGACCAAGGCATTGTCATAGCCATCAAAAGGATTATGCACAACTGTCGTCATCCATGACTCCCATTTTCCTTCAATCCGACTAGGATCAATCTTCCCTTGGTCTCTCAGGAGCCGAATTGTCGGAGATTTGTCCAGAGAGCCGATTACAATACACGATTTGGCCGGGGAAGCCGAAGGGCCAGTCTTCACAATGGGATTGGATTGACGTCCGATGACCTTGGTAAAGTCTTGAGATAGATTGCCTGCCGCAATGACCACGCCAGGGAAGTCTTGCTCATCGGCAAAGATACTGGCACCAACAATGCTGAACCCATCTCCCGGCTCAAAAGATACAATTTTCTGTTCAAGCATGTTTGGCTAGCAGTTACCAAATGATGAGAGAAATGAAGCAATTAGTGAGCTGCGAGGCAAGCTCTGGATCTGGATCAATGCAAGGGGGATGAGGGCTATTTGTAACAGGAAAAAGCGAAGCGATATATGAAACAAGTGTTTAACATAGCATTGGCATTGTATCAGCTCATAAACAGCCTCTCAGTATTGGCGACGTCACGCGGACAAGGGTCGAGGTGTTGGGTAATACGAAGTACTTTCTCCTCTTTTGCCGGACGCCACGGGATCGGCTGGAAACCCGATGGGAGGCCGGATATTATATTGAACAGGGATCTGAGGAGGGTGTCTGGCGCTTGAGCTGCTGATCCGCGAATCAGATGGCAGTTCGCCTACGGGTGCTCGTTCTCTTGGCGTTGTCTAAGACGATGATGAAGACGGTGGAGCAGCAGGAAAGCTTGAGATCCTCTTTTTGATTTCCATGAAGCGTCGAGCCGCGGTGCCTGAGACAAGAAAAAAGAAAGGTATTTCATGCGCCAATGCTTTGGTATAAGGTGTTATTTTATATCGACTAGCTTTGCAATTAGTATTGACAGCTAGGTAAGGTCTGTATAGGTATGTGCATGTCCCTGGGAGCTTGAAGCGCTCTTCAGTGGTGCAACCCCGCGTTGCTGTCCCCACTCACATCTCCGTCTAAGCAGATTCGCTATTCCCGTCATACACTTGCTTCTATTTCTCATGATGGCTGTGCTTTTGTTTTCTTTGCTCTCTTAAAAGGAAAACCCCAGTTTTGATCTTTTCAAACCGGGTTATTCCAACAAGCCAAAAGCAGAATGTCAGCTGGCTATCCGTATCCATGATCAGTAGGCATCAGTTTTCATTTAGCAGCGGAGCTCTTCGCCTGACAGCTTCATGACGATGCGTGACCAGCAGCTGCTACCGCAAGGATTTCTTCTTCAAATCCAGGGACGTAGTGGACTTCAACACCGCCGTCCTCCAGAAGCTGGCGACCCGGGTTCTTCCCAACAAAGGTTTCCGGCTCCAAGACTCCAACGTAAACCTTTTTGATCCACGACTTCTGGCGAAGAATGCGCTCAACACACGGCAGCTTGCCACTCAGACGCTTGAAACAGGGCTCAACCGTCGTATAAAGGACGTGCGGGCTCTTCATCGCAGTACCCAAATCTTCTTCAGTGGTCGAATGCTCCTCTGCGAGCTTCAACAGACAGCATTCCTCAGCATGTGTGTTGCCTGGGAGCTCCAGGGTGTAGCCCACGGCAGAAACATGACCATCTTCAAGCCTCATCAGGATGGCTCCCACGCGGAAGTTGGTCGGCTTTGGCGGGGATTTCTTTGCCAATTCCAATGCGTGCTGCATTGCCGTCTTGTGATCTTGGCTCGCCGATGAATCCATTGTCCCGTATTTTCAACAAAGGTGATAGAGAATGCGCATGCAGGAAGTACGTTTTATCCAATGCTCTGTCAGCTTTCACTATGATGGCGGACTCACTAGCGAACTCGGACGCCTAAAATGGGCCGGAAGTTAGTGGATCCCGGGCGCCGACTCCATTAAGCTTAACGGGTTCCTGGGCGCGCTGCGACGCGTGACGCAGATAAAGAGTGTCAGCCTACCCTCCTCCAAGTTTTTGCACACCACACGCAGACTTGCAGCGTTCCATTGATATTTGAAAATGTCTGATCATGAAGATTTTGCGGACAGCGAGCCGCCGACAATAGACCCCTATGAGGTCTTGGGCCTGGAGCGCACCGCAACTGCTGACCAGGTCAAGAGCGCATATCGCAAAGCAGCGCTCAAGAATCATCCAGGTGGGTTGCACGGTTAAGCCAGAGAGGCTATGACTCACAATCGCTGACCTCTATCGATGCAGACAAAGTTGCCGAGTCTCAGAAGGAGAAGGCGCACGAGGCCTTTCAAAGCATCGCATTCGCTTACGCCGTCCTCTCGGATCCTGCGCGACGAAAACGATACGACACCACTGGATCAACGGCCGAGTCCATTGTTGACTCCGAGGGCTTCAACTGGAGCGACTATTACCGGGAGCAGTTTAAGGATGCAATCTCCGAGGATGCCATCAGAAAATTCGCCGAGAAATACAAGAATTCCGACGAGGAGAAGGATGATCTCCTCATCGCCTACGAAGAGTGCGAAGGCGACATGGATCAGGTGTACGAGCGAGTGATGCTTAGTGATGTCGTTGAGGATGACGAGCGATTTCGTAAGATTATTGACGAAGCAATTGAGACTGGCGACGTCCCAAGCTTCGCAGCTTACAAGAAGGAAAACAAGCGGAAGCGTGCTGCCCGTGCCAAGGCGGCCAAGGCAGAGGAAAAGGAAGCTGAGGAGCTGGCCAAAGAGCTTGGCGTGCATGACAAGATTTTTGGCGGCAAGGCAAAGGGCAAGAAGGGTAAGGGGAGCTCGGAAGATGACTTGGCAGCTCTGATTCAGAAGCGACAGAAAGATCGGGCTGAGGGCTTCCTCGACCACCTCGCTGAGAAGTACGGCGCAAAGAGCTCTGCTGGCAAGAAGGGCAAGAAGCGCGTTGTTGAGGAAGAGGAAGAGGAGCCGTCGGAGGAGGCATTTCAAGCTGCTGCGGCCAGGCTCAAGAAGGCAAAGACTTCTAATAGAGAGGAGAAGTCTGCGTCAAGCTCAGGCCGACGATCGACGAGATCTCGCCGGTAAACTCTATCACTTTGTTCGTTGGAGAAAGGGATTTAAGCTGGATTATTTTTGCTTCACAGCTACTAGGGAAAGGGTTCGGGATTGGGGTTCAAGGCGTCGTGTAAGCACAGGCTATTAGGAATATCTTGGTAATTTTACAGCATTGGGCGATGAGAAAGATGTATACGATTTGAATTTGAACAAGTGATAATTATTTGCGACTAATTCTACCATACGTCTATTGCCTTCATTTCTTCATATACCAGACTGTTGGCGAAGATCAAGACCTGCCTGCACAGGCCAATCTGCAGCTTATCGGAGCTCCCCAAAACGATAGCGGGGCCTAAGCAGTGACGCGCCACAACCAGCGTGACCTTTCCTACAACGCATCTTCCTCATCCCCATGCTTCCTTTCTTTCTTTCTTCTCTCTTATTGAATGATGAAAGCGAAATCGACGGCGCAAACATGGACTTGTGCACTTTGATTTGCCAGTGAATCAAGGCGCCGAGATACACATTCCATGAGCGAGGCAGCCAAGCCTACACTTTATCCGCGATACTGCTTTCATCTATCGCCAACCGTGAATACGTGGTGCCTGTTGCACGCTGCCGAAATCCATGCTTTAGATCAGCATGCCGGCTTTGACGGTACGTGCGCGCGATAGAGCGAGAAATCCTCACATTGATTCTGGCAGCTGGCTAAAATTTACTCTTGTTTAAGCCGAAAACTTCTTTTTCTACAGAAATCTCCCGATAAAATGGGTGCGCATCGTTGGCATCGTCGTCGCCGTCGAACAGTTCCTCAACCGACGACTTTATACTATTGATGATAGCAGCGGCAGAAATATTGTCGCCCTAACTACATCTCCAGTCTCTGCAAAGTCAAAGAATGAATCGGTAGCTTGTGAATTGCGAGCGAATACAGAAGCACGAGCGGCTGATCTGCAGCAGGCAGACCCCTACGCAGATGTTGATGTAGGCACGGTAGTTGACGTGAAGGGGGGATTGTCATCTTTTCGCGACGAGCGACAGATCAACGTCGAAAAGATGGTCATTGTGAAGAGCACGGCTCAAGAAGTGGTGCTCTGGGAAAAACGAACCAAATTCCATCGCGAGATCCTGGATGTCCCTTGGCTGCTTCGAGATAGGGATATACATCGATGTCGTCGGGAAGCAGAACGTTCCCAGGCAAAAAAAGAGCAGAAGAGGATAAAGGAGGAGGAGAAGAAAGTTGGAACAAGAGAAACAGATACGAAGCTACCTGTAAGAGGTTTGAAAAGAAAAGGCTCTCGTGATGACGGCGCGGCCAAGAGAATGCGGATGATTATCCAGGAGAATGCATTAACAGGGAAATACAGTGCTCTTGGACTATAGCACAGGAGTTATTTTTTGGCGATAACAAGACGAGTTAGAGTTTTGGTTAATCCGTAGCATACATGCTTTTTGTTGATAGAGATTTGAGGTGAATAGCCTGCCAGACAGATGACGTCTAGAATTCTAGTAGTAGTGCGTTGTCGATCCTCTTATACACGCATGTCTGCACACCTCAAGCCGTAAATTCAAATCAGAAAACAAGCAAAGCAGAAGAATCATCCGTGCCAAACAATTCAGCGCAACACCATCACACGGCCAGCTGATCTCCCAAGGCCCATGTGCCAAGCACCAAGTCAGCAGCTCCACAGCTGTGACCACCAATTTTCCCCTCAAACATTCCTTGTTTGTTGACTACAAAAGTCTCAAGCCCGCTCATGCCAGACCTTGGTCTTCCCAGGCAACACCGTCCTACATAGCAGCTCTCTATGATGCACCATTCACTCACGTTTCCGCAAAAGAACTGTTAAATCCCGCCCCGAAAATATCCCAATTGAGGAGACAATCGGCACGCCCCGTGACCCACTCCCGGACATTGTTTTCCAGCACACGCCGGCCAAATCGGGGTGACACGGCGCTTGTCATTGGCAGGGGCTCATTCTTTACCGTTTATCATTCAATTGTGCTGAGTGGCAACTGGTGAAAAAGGATACTTGGCAAAAGTGAAGGAGGCGAATCGAAGGAGGCTTCCTTTCTTGACTCACCTGACTGCTTCCTGCTAACAGTAGCTCAACTTGTGCAGAGGTAGAGTAGCTGGAGTTGTTTATCAGCACACGAATCGTCTGCTTACATTTCTATTGCCTTTGGGTATCGGCATACTTCTTCCTTCAAAGTCATCCGCTTCATCTTCGAGCTGCTTCTACACCAGATCCCTTTCATCCTACAAGCCGCACCTATTCAACGCCCCAGCATATACCCTCATTCTTCGTTATTTTTGTGTTTTATGTCTTTTCGTTTATCTATTCTTGTCTGCAAAATCAGCCCTCTAGCAGTACCACAGTCACCACCACTACTGTTTCATCTGAGCAACTGGCCACATTTGAGGCTCTTGTGATTTAGCCAAGAAAGGTCTGACAAAGGGTATGTTTAAAACAACAAACTGCACCAGTGATTGTATCTTCCCCCTTTGTGGTCGGTCTTCATTCCAAGCAGTTGAGGATTTGGAGTCAAGCGTGGTTGTGAATCATTTTCCCCCACCAAAAAAGGGCTCCTTTATGCCCATTCCTCTGTGGCTATGGAATCCTTTAATACCACGTTGAAGACGCTTCTGTATGCCTGGCTCTTGTCTTGCCCAGGTTTCCAAAAATATTTTGGGCCAAAGCATAAACGCTCAAAACTTCGTGCCTGAACCCATGTTGGATTGGACATGTCCAAATCTTCGTCATTATCATGACTCCATACCACACTCTAACATGGATTTGTTGGCTAACATTTGCTCAGGGGACTCTAGCCTTACCCGGCGTAGATACCAGCCAAGATCGATTGGGATTTTCGACAAAAACTGTCAAATCAGAACGCTCCACCAAGAATCAGTCACGTTTTCCCTTTGGAAGGTTCCTGTTAAGCGAAGCAGTAGTATCTGGTGGCCGGTTTCATAATACGACTGCTTCCAAGTCCACTAACTTTGAGGCCAAGACCTCTAGCTGTTCTCAAAGCAACTTCACGACGACAATTACTGTGACTGCGAGTTCCTCTCCAGTTATAACTGTAAGCCCACCTCCATCACATACTAGTTTGATAAGTGAAAGCAGGCCAAAGACTCTCAAAGCCCCATCCAAACTATCTGAGGTGCTAGCCACAGAGACCACGGCCTCATCCAGTACAATAGCCTCCTGGGAGACCCCAGCAGCTGAACCAAAAGACAAGATGGTATCAAAGAACATTTTCGCGGAGCCCATTGATGTCAAGCTGCCGCCTTCTCAAATCTTAACCCGAAAGGACCATCCTGTGCCACGGAAGGGAATATCAGAAAATGGACCGCTTCAGACAAACAAGTTTTATTCCAATTTCTTCCTGGACGATCAGCGATGCCCGACCTTCACATTTCCTTATTCAGTAGCCTGGGCTGGAGGAAAAGGGGTGACGGCTAGTTGGGGAATGGCATGTTCCCACACCGAAGCCAGCCAGCGGGTTTTCGGCAAGGAGAAGTTTAATGGTGCTTCATCTTACTACCTCAACCCCGTAGGCATTCACTCTTTGGTTATTTCAGCCAAAGAGCTTGGGAGAGAGACTACTCTCAGCATCGATAGCATGACCGCCTTCTCTGCACGGGTCCATCTCAGCAAGGATAGCGAATCGGAACCAGCCATCTCATTTCCCCTGGTACAAGGAATGGCATATATCACGGCACAATACAGCGGCGCGACCCCCCTTATTCAAACTGGTGTGTTCTTCAAGACTATGACTCGGGTAACACGAAACCTCAAATCGGACCTAGCCAAGTTCACATTCCATCTGGAAGACGGATCGACTTGGCTGGTGTACGCTTGGAAGACAAGGGGGCTTCCGCTAGAACTTAAAGTGGTCAACAATGGCCTAGCTGAATCAAAGAATCCCTTCTATGGCATTATACAAGTGTGTAAATGTCCGAAAAATCAAGAATCTGAGAATCTTTTGGACGACGGTGCAGGCATTTACCCCGTCACGTTGGAATTGACTGGTACAGCTCGCGCTTATGAAGGCAGCTATTCATTTAATTTCGACATAGACGGGCATCAGACGGGCAATCTCTATATGTATGCTCTTCCTCACCACGTGGAATCCTTCGACAAAGAGACAGAGAGGCGCATACAAAGGGATGCACAGCTACAATCCACCACCAAGGGCCTTGCTACGCTAGTAAGGGGAAATCGGTGGACCATGATTGAATCCGCGATGCCGGTCGATATGTCGTTTGCTCCCTGGGATCCAAAGAGAGGAAGCGTCGAGAAACTATCGGACCAGGCGAAGAGGATCATCCATGCGGCAGCTGCGAAAGAAGTAGCGCAGAATATGATTTCGCAGAGCAATCTAGATTCCATGTACTTTAGCGGAAAGGTGACTATTTTCTCACTCCTTTCTTCTTCTTTTGTCTATGATTTGGGACTGCTATTAACCACTTTCCTAGGCCCTGGCCAAGTTTGCAACAATCCTATACGTAATCAAGCACATGCTAGGAGACAAAGCTCTAACACAAACAGGGCTGGGGCAACTCAAGGCGGCGTTTGCCACGTTTGCAGCCAATGAGCAAAAGTTTCCTCTTGTTCATGAGAGTGAGTCGAAGTCATTTTTGTGCTGCTACTATTTCCCAAACATGCGCTACGGTGCTAACAAATCGTGCGATTGCAGCCGCTTGGGGTGGCATTGTATCATCTGCAAGCTACGAGACGGGTAATTCTGGCGCCGACTTTGGAAACACTTACTACAATGATCACCATTTCCACTATGGCTATCACATTCTTGCTGCCGCAATCATTGGTCACCTGGATCCAGACTGGTTAAAGCAAAACAGAGATTATGTCAATGTTCTGGTTCGAGATGTGGCCAATCCAAGCGCCAAAGACAAGCTCTTTCCCATGTGGCGCAACTTTGACTGGTACCACGGCCACAGCTGGGCTCACGGTCTCTATGCCGCCATGGACGGCAAGGTAATTGAAATCGTCTCACGATGGCTGTGCTTCCTAGTGTGCTAATGGCCAGCAGGACCAAGAGTCAAGCTCAGAGGACATGATGCACGCGTATGCCATCAAAATGTGGGGCAAAGTCAGCAACAATGCTGATCTCGAGACAAGGTAAAGAAGAGAGATTCTTGGCGCTCACGGTATGCCTTGTTGGCTAATATCGAGAATAGGGGTAACTTGCAGCTCTCCATCATCGCCCGTAGCCTGCAGAATTATTACCTGTATAAGAACGACAACAAGGTACAGCCCAAGCAGTTTATTGGCAACAAAGTCGCAGGCATCCTATTCGAGAACAAGGTAGACCACACAACGTACTTTGATCCTAACATTGAGGCCATTCAAGGGATCCACATGATCCCTATTCTCCCTTCGACGCCATTTGTGAGGACCAAGGATTTTGTACAGGAGGAATGGGACGCTTTTTTCAGCAACGGCAGGGTTGATGACATTGGCAACGCCTGGAAGGGTATCATTTGGGCCAGCTACGCCTCGGTTGAGCCCAGGAAGGCATGGGAATTCTTTAGCTCGCGGTCGTTTAGCCCCCAGTGGCTGGATGGCGGAGCATCGCTGACGTGGTTTATGGCTTATTCTGCTGGTAAGTTCTGGGCACGCTGGGCAGCGTAACTTATCCAAGCTGGTTGGTCCTGATGTGATGCTAACGGGCAGTGCTAGCTCTTGGGGAAATATGATGAGGCATGAAGGGTGGCTCTTTGATCGATTCAGCTACATGGCGACTCTTCTTAGCGGGAGGCTGGAGAGAGAGCTGTGGCGAGCTAGGCGTTGAAACTGTCGGCTTAGCTCGGCTTGGCAGCTTTGATTGTTTGGTGACGTGGACTCTGGTGCGAGGCTGAGCATGTGGATGGCAAGAGCGGAAGTTGGACTCGGTAACGTGGTGGCATTTGTCTGCCCCGTGTTGTTCCTTGGGGGAGGCGTTTTGGTGCGTATTGATGCGCGGCTGACTAAGGACGGGCTGGAATCTGGAAAAGTCAATTGACGTCGCCGGGCACCGCTGGCGGGAGGCTCGGAATCGCCCACGCCGTGACCAGTTGGCTGGGCTGTACACAATGCGGCGTCATCTGATGATGATCTGTATTCTCAGTTATAGAAAAAACCAGCAATAGATGTAGATTTTCGAAGATGAGGCGTTTGTCACGCGTCTTGGGCTCGATCGTCTCACGGCGACCTCAGGCGGTGGAACAGCAGTCAACAGATCTGCACATGGGCGCTTCTTAGTACTATTCCGAACTTATCGATAAGATCGAATTTACAGGGGACTCTGGGCTTGGCCAAATGCGCCAAGAGCCCGGCTTGATACAAAGACGAGACAAGCTTTGTATTGGCGTGAGCAGAATGCAACCTTCCCAATGTGGGGGCCGTCGGTGACGAGCCCGCAGCTGGACGCGGCCATTTCTAGAAACCAACCAAATTGGCAAGAAAATCAAAAATCGCATTTATAACTTTTCCCATTGAATGGTAAGACTTGCTTAGGCAGCGAAAAGAGCGTTTGTCTAACCATGTCTTGGGCTGCTGGGGGGAAATAAGCTTAATTGCAATGTTGCCATTGCGAGTGGTTGGATTTGGGGCCGATTGAGGCGAAGCAAAGAGGAGTGAGTTGAGATATAGTAGTATCTGTAGCCTGCCGGCGTTGATTAGTAGAAAGTGGTTTAGTAGAGTAGTAGTACATCAGGGAAACTCTGGGGGAGCACGTGCTCACTTTATAGGCGTTGATTTGCATCTTGGCTTTGTTTGATTTTGAATTGCTTTGGATGTCGAGGCGTTGCTGGCCCTTCTAAATGCGGTGATGATCCAATACGGCCTTACGTGTAATGACTAGGCGCTAATACATGTACGTACCAAGACAAGACACATAGTATGTGTCTTGTCTTGGTTCCGAGGTTACGAAGGGGCGGAAATCCCCGTCGCCAGGTACAGCAAATATTGGACCAAAAAAAAAAAAAAGCTGATTGCCTTTTTAGCTGAATCGCGCATGACGTCGTCGATTCCACATTCCTTCTTCCTAGAGTACAAGTATTCTCCACCGTCTTTCAGGTGTGCATTGGTACTGGTACACGCTCTTCGCTATGCCATCACCTAACAAGCTTTTTTAGGCTGCTGGAGAAGCCAAGGGGCGCCAAAGGTCTCGATTTCAGGTGCTATGGATACCCCCTGTGCTAGCACTGTAGTACCTACTATTGCGGGAAAACAGCAATTCGTCTGAACAAGGAGACAAAAAGAAAGAAGAAGGGAAAAAGCCTGCGAGGCATTGAAAGTACGTACAATGCAGCAGATGCTGTTTGCAGCACTCCCTCGCACGAGCTTACCTGATACGTGGGAAGCGCCAGGATCGGGGATTATAGCCGTGCTTGTCATACAGACATGCAGATTTGCGCAACCTGAACGCGCGCGCTCTGGGCTCAGAGGGGGTGTCGTCTGGAGGCCTCCCAGACGCTCTGTCTGAATCCAGATCGAGTGCCAAGACGCCTTTTATCCGTACCATGCGCCTATCGCGCCCAGCGTCCATCACGCCTGTATCTGCTGAATACGACACGACAGATGCAAATCACCGGTATTTGATTTTGGCCAAGGCCCCAAGGTGCGAATCCTCGCATTGGGCTCTGGCCGAGGCAGAGAGCGGCCGTGTCATACCATAGATGGGGTTCTCGTACCTGGCAGTCAGCACGAGTGCCTTGATGCCAGTGCCAGGCTCCAGGCCTGGAAGGCACAGGTACCGGTACATCCGCAGCTACGAGTTGCACCCACGCAGCTACCCGAGCGCTGGGACCCCTTGTGGACCCGCCCTAGCCTATTCGCTGATTCAAACAGACGTGCGTTCTTTGTGCTTTTTGTCTCTCCTCATCTCCATTGCTTTCCACCACCACTTTGATTTTCTGCGCGTGCTCTTACTCGTGCCAATCGAAAGAGGGCAGCAGGGGAGAAAGACTCCAATTGCCGTTTGTTCTCGTGCCCGCCGCGCCCAACCTTCTCCCGCCATCTCCGGACAGAATATCGGCGGCCCTGTGCATCCCGGAGCTTCCAGCCATGGTCAAGGGGATATGTAAGTCGACATGGTTTATTACTGTTGCGAATGGCCTGTCGCCCAGCCCGGCATGCGTGCCATTCATTACATTGCAAATCTCAAGCCTTTCTCTCCTCGTCTCCTCTTTCCCACCCCCGAGCTGCAATCGGTGACATAAACCCCCAGAATTAAACGCCACGCGCCGTTGCTTTCTAACAAGCGATCTTTCCCCCCCCTCCTTGCAAAATTATCTACACCCACGCCCCCCAATAGAGGAAAAAAGAAGGGGAAGAAAAAAAAAACTCAGCCAGCCTTGTGTGGCACTCTCGCTTTATTACTCCATCCCTGCCTCGTCTTGGCCAAATTTTGTGTCTCCATCCTCCTCTACATATTAGTCCCTTGGCTAACCGCGAATCCCCTCCTGTGTGCCCATGGGTTTTGAGAGTTAATATTGTGGCTGCGATCGCTGTTCCTGCATCCTACAAACTTCAGTTGCGGACGGCTTTAACTTCCAACCTGCAACTCTCCCTTCCCAACACGCGCGCACTCGTTTGACTACCCTTATCCATATCTCCCTCTCGCTGCACAGACGCAAACGATTCCGCCTTTCGTTCTTCAAACTCGCTCGCTCCCGTTTCTCGCTCGCTAATTGCCATTCCTTGGTGTCTTTGATTTCAGCAAATCTCAGCCGCTCGACGAGCATCCGACGAACAATGAGCTATAAACAAAACTCCAACGAGCGCACGCCGCTCCTCAACGGCGAGGGCGCCTCGTCCAATGGCAACCAGAATCATATCGAACGCATCCACAATGAGCGCTCCGCGACCTTCAGGTTCTTCTTCGATTCCAAGCACACGCCGGGCACCCATAGCGAGAGCTTCGCTATCCGGACGCTTGCCTACTCTTGGCATGTCGCCAAGGTCACTTTGTTGAGCAGTAAGTCTCGGAGGATTAAAGCGACAGAACAATTGGTTCTCGGAGTGTCATTATACTAACAGCTCCTGCTTTCGCGAATTAGACTATATCAACTTTTTGCTCATCATGGTTCCCATTGGTATTGTCGCCGGTCGCCTCGGATGGAATGCAACTGCCGTTTTCACCATCAACTTCTTTGCCATTATCCCGCTTGCTGCCGTCTTATCTTTTGCGACTGAGGAAATATCTATCAAGCTTGGCGAGACTCTTGGTGGACTGTTGAACGCTACCTTTGGAAATGCTGTTGAATTGATCGTATGTTTCTCAATATTGATGATTTTGCTATGATATATCAGAGCCGGGGTGAAATACTGACCACTTGTAGGTTAGCATTGTGGCTCTCAGAGAAAACCAGATCCAGGTTGTGCAGTCTTCGATGCTTGGCTCCATCCTTTCCAATTTGCTTCTGGTTATGGGAATGTGCTTCTTTTTCGGAGGTATCCGACACCGTGGTTCTTCGGGTGACGGTACCGAACAAACCTTCTCAGCAGCCGTTGCCCAGACCACTTGCTCTCTCATGACGCTCTCTTCTGCTTCCCTGGTGATCCCTGCTGCGGTATGTTTGATTTTATATCTCTTGCCGAAGCGACTATGAAGATCTCTATCTGACATGTATACTATAGCTGTATGGCGTTCTCGACCAGGGCAACACTAATATCGAGGACAAAGAACGAAGTATTCTTGTGCTATCTCGGGGTACCGCTATCATTCTACTCGTTCTATATGCCCTCTACCTGGTATTCCAGCTTCGCACTCACAGCAACCTCTTTGATGCCGAAAGCCAGCTCGCTGAGGGTGAGGACCCTGAAGATCCTACTCTTGGCCCGATTGCTGCCACCGCAGTTCTTGTCGTTGTAACGATTTTGGTTGCCATCTGTGCCGATTATCTAGTTGGATCTATCGATGACCTCGTCGAAAGCGCGAATATCAGCAAGGCATTTATCGGTCTGATTTTGATCCCCATTGTTGGAAATGCTGCGGAACACGTCACTGCTGTGGTGGTCGCTCTCCGCAATAAGATGGACTTGGCCATGGGTGTAGCTATTGGCTCCAGTATCCAGATCGCCCTTGGTGTCACTCCATTCCTCGTTATTGTTGGCTGGATTATTGGACGCGACATGACGCTCCACTTCGAGACTTGTGAGTAGCACCGCACTTTAGAAGTTTCTGGGTTTTCTTCGTATATGAGAATGATGTACTAACTACGATATAGTCGAAACTGTTGCTTTCGCTGTGTCTGTTTTGGTCGTAACATATACCGTTCAGGATGGCAAATCAAATTACCTTGAGGGCGCCATGCTCCTCGGCCTCTACATCATTATTGCCGTGGCTTTCTATGCGACACCAGGCGATTTCTTGGACAAGGCAACAAACCTAATTGGTGGCAGTAACTAAATCCAGCTAAGCCGAGACCCTCGATTATTTATCCAACCGAATTTATCATTCGACCCGAGGAAGATATTCAATCAACTACTGATCATACGGCGACAAACATTCAGCTTGCCAAAGCCTGATCGCCCCCCATTTCTTATGTGAAAGGATGGATAAACTGCTAGAAGCAGATTTATCGAAATAAAGAAAATCGAAATCAACACTTTCTTACCAGCAGTGTCCCCATTTTCCCTTATCTGTTTGATTATCGTGTACTATTATTTTTCATTTACTGCACCGAATCTGGAGGGATATCGTTTGAAAGAGATATCTCGAAGAAAATTTGTGGTGGAAGCATGTTTGCTGGACGTGAGAGGTCAAAATATTAGCCCCAAGAGGGCCGGGGGCGAGCCTTTTCCTTTTGACTTTTTTTTCTTTACTTTTTTTTTTTCAGTTGGCATCTACGAGGAAATAACTGGGCAAACGGAAGGGGATGAATACTTGTGCTATTATAACGGTTTACGAATTGCTTGCATTGAGAATTCTAATTGATACCAATTAAAGCAATGCCTTATTTGTTGTGTGTTCTTTAAGTGAATGTCAAGATAGCCCCTTATAAACCAACTACAGAGATCAAGAAACATTAAAAGTGTACGAAAGAAGAGCATGTAATGATGTGTATATTCATGAAAATTCGGATTTAGCATTCATCCCGAACATATCTATTTTAGCCCTGAAATATTAAAGAAGTAACAGAAAAAATTTATGCATTTGGCTTCGACATGGGCGTAATAATGCCCTGTTTCATAATCACGCGCGGCTTCGTGCTGGCCTGGAACGTCTCCTTGGTCATCCATTCCGGTCCAACTGGTAGTCGTAAAGAACGTTCGTATTGCTGTTGCGATTCGAAGGGGAAAGGAAGCTGGGCGGCGAGATAGCGGTCGTTCTGTGAGAGTGAAAGAGAGTTAGCAAATATTGGGGGGAAAAGAAATTCAATCTTGATTTTGACAAGAGAGAGGAGAGAAAGAGAATATATATAGCTGGCGTTACTGACCTTTTTGATGCGCTTCTCGTTAATAATGACCTTGTCTAGCTTGGCGTCCTTACGGTCCTTCTTATTAATACCTTCCACCTTTGTGAGGAATCGACCCTGGTGCCTCTTCTTCTCGCGGCTGCTAACTCCATCACCCACCCAAGAACCCCAGCCGGGCAATGTGTTGTCAATGACCTTGTCGTCATCGGCTTCAGCAACCTCGTCCTTTTCGCGCTGGAACTCGGCGACGACCTCTTCGCCGGCGAAAGCGCGAGCCACGAGGTCCTTGTCTCGGATAGCCATTGGCAGGCGGATGTCTGAGTCTGAATCAGAGTCGGATTCGGATTCGGATTCGTCGTCATCGTCTTGAGGCTGTTTTGTCTTTTTGGAAGCCTTCGGCTTGGAGGAAGGTTGTGGTGCGGCGGTGAGGATGTTGGCGTTGAGGTCGAGGTCGTCGGCTCGGGCTGACTTCTTGCGGCGAGACTCGCCCTTGGACCAGGCTCCCGCTATCGAAGAAGTCGTCTCAGCGGGAGTAGTCGACCAGGCATGGTTGATTGAACCGTTTGAAATATGAGGGGCCCCGTCACCGTTGGCGAAGCTTGTATTTTCATCCCCGTCTTCTTCAGAATCATCCCTGGCGAGCTTCTTCTTGGTTGCTCGGGCAGAGTTCTGCGGCATAGAGAACGGGTTGACCGCTCCGCTGCCGTATTGCCTTCGTCCGACCTCCCCTCCCTTTTCTTCATCGTCATCAGAACCCTGCGCATCTCCATCGAGCTCTTTGCGAATTTCCTTGATAAGGTCGTCGTTTGCCTTCTTCTTCGCCGCCTCTGCCTTTTGCATAAACTTCATCTTCATTAATCTCGACTGGGGCCCACTGTCTTCCTTTTCGAGCTCGTCCAGCTGTCGCAGCAGGTCTGCGTTATCGTCATCGTCATCAGATCCGGAGCTGCTAGTCTCATCTGAATCGTCTCCGTCACCTCTTGAGCTCTTGCCTTCCTTCCTTCTACGGAGATCCTCATCCTTGCGAGCCATTTCTGTCAAGCCAGCCCGGAAGTCGTCATCCCAAACCGCACGCTTCGCCTTGGATCCCATCTTGGCCCATTTGCTGTCCTTGTGACGCTGACCCACTCGTTCCAACGCACGTCTGCGATCCTGAGCTTCCCTCTCTTCCTCCGAGTCGATCTCGCCAGCCTCAGCCATGGCCTCCCTGGTGGCCATCTCGTCGCGCTCTTTTTGTTTTCGGTGCACTCGGTGATAGGCTTTGCTCTTGATCTTCTTTATGCGGGCGGCGCGTTTTGCTTCCCTGGAATGTAACTCGCGCTCAATGCGCTTCTTTTCCAAAGCTTGCTTCCGCGTCAGCAGATTACCCTCTTCGTCAAACTCCTGCTTCTTAGGCTTCTTCTCCTTCTCCAGAGACAGTCCGCTTTGCTCCATGATACCCATGATTGTAGCTTCCAATTCGTTCGCAGCACCCTTCAACGACAGAGGCTGAAGTTCCGTCCGGTCGAGTCCAGCTGATTCGGAGTTTTGAGGGAGAGGGAATACCAGGTGTTCGGCTCTGCGGTTCTGCTTAACAGTCTCTGTCCATCGATCAAGCGTCTCGTTTGTCTTCTCATAAGCTGCCGACCGGTCGATACGCCCTTGCTCTCTCCTTGATAATGGCACCTCTAGCTTCTTCGTCGACCCGGGTCGCTTCTCCTTCGATTCTTTCTTCATGAGCTTCACTGACTGTTTCATAAAAGGATCGTTCAATCCAGACAGTCCCAGATCGCCGAGATCGATCTTCTGTTGCCCAGACGATGAGACAGCTTTCTCGCCGTCAACTTCTTCACCTCCAAAGCCGGATATAAGACCTTTGAGCTCCTCAAGTTTTGCGGGGTCGGCTTCTTCGTCGCTATCATCAAGGCCTTCAAACTCGTCAGATTCGTCAGAATCCTCCTCTTCTCCAGATTCAGAATCTTCTTCTTCCTCTTCTCCTTCTGGCTCTTCCTCGGACTCCTCTTCGAACTGGTCTAAAGCTGTGGCCAGGTCTATGGCATCTTCGCCAAGAGTTTCGCCTTGGTCATCATTTCCGTCGTCGGAATCCTCCGAGTCGTCGTCCTATTCACCCCAAGTCAGCGTCCTGATCGCAGCATATTCAAAAGTGTAGCTTCTCACCTTGCGCTGGCCAGACTTTGACCCGCGGAAGGCATAGCCCTGAAACATCTCATTGTCGCTATCGCCAAAAGCATCGTCACTCTCAATTTCAGAATCTTCGTCATTGTCTGCCATGCCACCCAGCTGCCACTCGTTGCCCTCGCTGTCGCTGCCAAACTCCACATCGCCGTCTGTTGTCGCACCCCGCGGAGCCTTGGCCTTCTTTCGTTTGGGGCCGTCCTCTTCCTCCTCATCTTCCTCATCTTCTTCTTCTCGTCCATGTTTCTTCTCAATTTCGGCGTCCAATTCTCGTGCACGTGGTGTTCTCTTATCTTTGGTGGGAAACCTCTCCTGCGCAATGTTGAACGCATTCAGCGCATTCGTCTGCGCTCTTGACTTGGACTTCTTGGGGCCAGCCTTTGCCTTTGGCTGGGCCAACAAGGACCGCCCATGCGCCTGTCGACCTGGCATCTTCAATAAATCTGGATTCGGATCGGAAGACTGTTATTGCCAGCGGTTGCGCAATCACAGCTATCGAATTGCTTGTTTTTTTGTAAATTCTCACTTAGCTTTTTTTCTGCCATGTAAAAAATTTGGCGGTGAAGCTAGCTTGATGCCGTCCCGCCTATCAGCATCCTTGCAATTCTTTAGCGCCGTAATTGGTGCCCGCCTCGGCGCTGTCTATGCTCCGAACCACATGCAGGCTTATACCCTTATACCGCAGGCCAGAAATATCGTGCCATTTTCGCTCTTCCGTCCTCACATCCAGCGCCATTGCGCACAATTGCAAAAATGGTGCTTTTTGCGGCCGGCATGCGGAGGGCGGCCCTTCAGGTGCCCTCCAAGTTCTTCGTCTGCAATCAATGCCTTCGCCAAGCGCCTCGACGCTCTCCTTCACCTATTCTGAACATCGTACGATCCCGAGGGTATGCCGATGCAAAGCCGTTGGAAAACCTGGCGGCCAAGAGTGCTGCAGCTGCGGCCGCACAGGCGCAAGCTCAAGCCTCAAAGGAATTCCCAAAGAAAACCACCAGCAAGGGAGTTGCTATGTGGTTGCTGGGCAGTGCTGCCAGCGTCTTCGGCATCGTCGTCTTCGGTGGACTTACAAGGCTAACTGAGTCTGGGTACGCTTTCACCTAGAACGCCAATTAGGCTCGAGATATAACAGCTCACACTGCTAACAATTGCGCATTGTAGACTAAGCATAACGGAATGGAAACCTGTTACGGGCTCTTTGCCCCCCATGTCAACTGCCGATTGGGAAGCCGAGTTTGAAAAGTACCGTGCCTCTCCGGAATTCAAGATCCTCAACCCTCATATGAACCTGGATGAATTCAAGAAGATTTACTACATGGAATGGACGCACCGACTCTGGGGTCGCTTCATTGGTCTCTCTTTCGTTCTCCCCTCGCTATACTTCGTCGCTCGCCGCAAAGTCTCTCCTAAAATGGCTTTCAACCTGCTCGGCATTTCCAGTCTGATCGGTGTCCAGGGCTTCATTGGCTGGTGGATGGTCAAATCGGGTCTCAAGGACGATCTCTTTGCCCCTGGTTCACACCCTCGTGTCTCTCAGTACCGGTTGACTGCCCATTTGGCTACCGCCTTCATCTGCTACTCCTGGATGCTTGTGTCTGGTATTACCATCCTCCGCACCCGTCGTATGCTCGCCGACCCTGCCGCCGCTGCTACTGCCATCAAGGCAATTCAGAACCCCGTCCTCAACACTCTCAGACGCTCTGTGTTTGGCATCACCGGTCTCGTTTTCCTCACTGCCATGTCCGGCGCCTTGGTCGCTGGCCTCGATGCTGGTCTCATCTACAACGAGTTCCCCAAGATGGGTCTTGGCTACGCTCCTCCCAAGTCCGAGCTGTTCGACAAATTCTACTCTCGCAAGGAGGATCGCTCTGATCTTTGGTGGCGCAACATGCTTGAAAACCCCAGCCTTGTCCAGCTTGATCACCGAATCTTAGCTATTACAACATTCTGTACCATCTTGTCCCTTTGGGCTTATTCTCGAACTGGAAAGGTTTTCGCCGCTCTCCCCCGGAACGCAAAGAAGGGCACCACTGGACTTGTTCACCTTGTCACTCTCCAGGCGGCTCTTGGAATCTCCACCCTCGTCTACATGGTCCCTACTCACCTCGCTGCCACCCATCAGGCTGGCGCTCTTGCTGTTCTCACAGGCGCTTTAGTTCTATCTCACCGACTGCATGTTCCAAAGTCAACTGTGCGGTTGATTGAAAAGAGATTAAAGCAGATTAAGCCATGAAGGGGGTTCACCTTTTTCTTGTATAAATAGATGATATATTAAGCCTAACAGAAGGAAAACTGCCTGGATACAGGCCGAGAAACAAAAACTCATGTAAAAGAAACTCAACTCAAATCACCTAGATATTACTTACATAGAGCAGAGCAGGAGGGAAGCATTCTCCAAGAAAATTCAATGTATAAATTCACTTATTAACTCCTATTCTTTACTCTCAATGTCTAGTGAGCAATGCACGGCAATAAGTCCACAAAAGTTTACAACTCTTTCTTTCAATCAACCCAATGCCATTGTATTAATAAACAAAAACAATGTAATGGAAAAAGATTAAAGAGAGAGAGAGAAAATATTGGAAACCCCTCCCAATTCTCCCATCCTTCCATTCCTCTTCCCGTTCTATATATGCTTCTATCCTGCCTAATGTTGCGATTTGTATATTAACACAACATCGAAGCGCGCAGAAAATGCCAAATATTCCTTTTTTGTTGAAGAATCGTGAGATTTTATACCGCATTGACAAAAAGAAAAGGATTTTTTAGTAAAAAAGAAAAAAAGAAAAGAAAAAAAAAGTTGAAGAAAATTCGCTGAGAATGAATGCTGTTGCGATGACGACCAGTGTATAGCCGTGTAAAAAAAAAAAAAAAAAAAAGACCTTTCTATTAACCGTCCGAAAATACGCCCTCTTCCCATGTCTCTTTCCCGTCGACATTGTTATTCCAAATACATATCGCCGCGGACTCCCTGCATTGCTATGCTCATATCTCCGCCGTGCATTGCATTAGCTTGCATTGCTGCCATGTTCATATTCGGCATAGAACGGTTCATAGAAGCCATAGCAGCTCTGCTCGCAGGGCTACCGGCCCCATTTTGCATCATGAAACGCATATCCGCTGTCGCATTGCGTTGTTGGGCTTGGTGCTGCTGAGCCTGCTGCTGCTGTACTTGTTGTTGAACCTGTTGGTGGACTTGTTGTTGGACTTGTTGTTGGACTTGCTGTTGAACCTGCTGCTGAACCTGTTGTTGAACCTGTTGTTGAACCTGTTGTTGGATCTGCTGCTGGGCTTGTTGGATCTGCTGCTGTGGTTGTTGTTGTTGCTGTTGCTGTTGCTGGGCCATAGGAGCTTGGGCTCGAGCAACATCAAGCTGTGCTCGCTGCTGTATGGGTGGATGCGTTGACTTAATAGGAGATTGGATCATAGCAAAGCTATCATCATCCTCCATCTCGGCATCGGCATCTTGGTCGCTCGTTTCTTCGACTGACGGCGGCCCCGTATTAGTGGCAGAGGGTGCACTCTGTTCGCTTGCCGGTCCGTTTGAGCTTGCGTTTGAAAGCCTCTTGTCAATCTGCACTGGTTGCGGCTGAGTCAACTGTGGTGTTTGAACCGCGCTCTGAGGCTCCGATGAACTACTTTGGCTGTTCCCTGCAGGGGTCTGAGCTGCCGTCTGCTCAAGAGGTCGCTGCGCAGGCATCCCGCTAGCTGCAACGCGGGTTGATGCAATGACACTCTTCCATCTTTCTATTGACTTGGCTACAACGGCGTTCAAGTCCAGATGCCGATCCTCTAGCTCATAGCCAACAAGCTTACTCCCCATAACACTCTGCTCATAGGCATACGCAATGGTATCTCGATCCAGAGGAATGGTGGATGGTGAGAGCACCTTGTATTCTCTCGGCTGTTGCAGCCGATTAAGCTGATCGATGTGTGATTTCAGATTCGCGTTCTCTTGTTTGAGCCTATGCTGCTGCTCTTTCATCTTGTCCATTTCCTTATGCTTGCGGCTCACTCCCCGCGCCAGCTCCAGGATCCAGAGGTCACTTCTTCGTTGAGCAGACAAAGCTTCCCAGACTGCATACGCAGACTGTAGGTGTTCATTGACTGAATTTTCAAGCCTCTCTGCCGTTTGCTCGGCCTGTTTTACAGCTTCTCTCGCATCTCTATACGGTCCACCCACTGGAGGGTACGCCATCTCTTCTATTACGGCGGTCGTAGCGGAAGCGCATGTAATTTTCCATGTCTTGAATTTTTCTTGGAAGAATGCTTGAAGTGCAACATATTCACGCTCACCAGGTGACTGTACAGACCAGGATGTGGATGTAGGGTGTTGGGTTGAAGAGAACAATGTAGGGGGCGGCTGGAGACATTGGAGAGTAAGGGCCGGGAAGTCCAGAGCATGGGGATCGAAATCAAAAGGCGTGGAGTTGCCATTAACCTGTTGTCTAAATAGATGTCAGCCATTTGCAGCTACATGTCATCCACTCGCCACAGTCGACATAGTCATTAGAAAGGAAAGAAAAAGGAAATACTACTTACTTTGCAGCCCGCCAAGAGCTTACCAGTTCCCTTAGTGCCAGCTCAGCAGCCTTTGCAGTATCCATTGCATCTGTCAGCTTTTGTCTGATGTCGAACTGGGCCTTCTGTGCCATCTGCTTGCTAACATTTCTCGAGAGGCCAGAGCGCTTGTTAGCATCTTGAGGAGCACTGCCGTCCCAACCATTTTTGCCAGAGAGGTCATTCATTACGCCAGTAGCTTCCCAAGAAGCAGCATAAGGATATTTGTTAGCAGCTGAGTCAGCGGCGTATTGCCCATCTTTTGATAAAGAGGATTTGAAGCCATCTGAGTCTTGTCCAGGCGCCAACTTCCCTGCTGTTGGTTTCGGCGTGCTGCCAGGGGTTGAATTGTCTCTTCGAGCGCCTAAAGAACCTCGGGGTTGGCGCCGAGTGATGTTGCCACGGAGCTTCCGGATAGCGTCCACATCGTGGATGCCATCCGGTGGCTTGGGGTTCTTGTCCTTGATATAGAGATCAAGATGTCGACCGAGAGATGACGAGGTGAAGGCCTGGCCGCAGTATTCGCAGTTTTTGTCTTTTACAGCCTTGGGCTGATTGCCCTCGGCAATGGGTTGCGGCGTTTCAGACATTCTATGGCAATTTCTAGAAGAGACAGTGTGTTGTATGTCCAATGCTCGTAAGGGAAGAGACGTCGAACAGCTGGACAGAGTCGGCTGTAGAGGCGATCGATCGGTTGGAGGACGGCTCTCGTATGCTACGAATCAAAACAACAGAGGGTGGTCTGAGAGAAGACAACCAAAGCCAGTGGCTCCTTTCATGGAGCTGGACCTTCGAAGATCATAAGGAGCGTGTGAAGCAAACCAGGGGCGGTTGATAACGAGCGTGGGTAGGCAAATCGCCCTCGAGGGGGAAGATGCTTATTCAAACCACAAGCGACACAGGACAGGGAAAATGCCAATGCGGGAAGCAAGCAGGAGAAATCCTCTCAACGACGGCCCAGAAACAGCTCACCCAATTCCCCCTCGTGACAAGCTCAGAATCAGGAGAAGTCGTGGGAAACCTTTAATTTTTTTTTTAGGTGGTGAACCGGCTCAGGGGTGGAACCTCCAGCGGGACGCCTGCCATGGCCGAAAAGGAACACTAGAAGCCACTCCCCACCAGGACCTGGCCCGGGATCCGCAGCGCACAGCTTCCAGGCGCCATAGGCGGCTCGTAGCGGGCAGCCCAGGCGCTGGCACCCGCTAGAATCGCCCACCGCTAGGCGCCAGATGGTGTGGCAGGACCCCTGGCCAGCGGCGCTGCGCCAGAAACCGGCCCCCCAGGCTAGTCGCGGTCGCCAGCAGCTGTCAGCGACGTCGCAAAGGGACTGTCCACTCACGGTGCGGGTGAACGGGGGTCGATTCGTGCCGATCGTGACCGCGGTTTGCTGGCGGGAGCATGGGCTGCAGTGAGTTGTCCGATAGTTCGGTCAGGCCCTCTGCCGCTGAAGCCGGGCTGAGAGAAAGCTGAGACGAGTCGGGCACCTATGTACGAGTTGCAGAAGAGAGGCCGGGCTGGAAACAGGGCATGTGCGGGCGCTGGCATACCTACGGCTCGGGAGTAATACTGCTGCTTGGCAGGACGCATAGGTAGGTAGCTACTGGGGTATGTGTTCCTGCTAGTACTACTAGGTAGGCATCATCAACGCATCCAAGATACGGGAGGGTAGGCGTCTGGTCCTTCCCGTTCATAGAACTGTCCACCTTTCAGGTTACTTTAACTTACGGTGGCATTAGTGGGCTGGCACGCCAAAGGTACCTGGAACCCGCCTGGCGTACGGTAGCGGCGTCAGTTCGACGCAGGAGCAACGGGGTATTGCGTCTGGATATTGACCGTCTGATGGGGCACCCGCCGAAGGAAGGAGCCTTGCAGGAGACTGTCATGGCGCCTGCCAGCTCGCATCGAGGCAGTGCCCTGCTGCTGGACGTGTATATACTTTGTACGGAGTAACTTATATCATGGTCCGGCCCCTCTTCCAATGCTGCGTCTGGTCCGGCTCCAGCACAGGCCTCGTACGGGCACGCACCCTATCCGTCGACCTTCGCAGATGCTGGGCCAGATACCTGTCAGGATGCTTGTCTGGCACTGCCTTACGGGCATGGAGTCCAGCATGCGGAATACGGAGTGCGGCAGCTGAATACAGGTCACAGGACAAGACAAGGCAAGCCGAGTCATCACCAGGATGCTCTCTACGCACTCTCTACGCGCCGGCAGCGTCTGGGCAACGCGAACCCGGGCTCGCAGGCTTGATCAACGCTCGCCAGCAAGGGTGGCAGCGATCGGAACCATCTCAGGAGTAACGTGGACGTATCCCAGCTGCCATTCAAAGGAGCGTATCGAGCTAGCCGGATGCCAAGGGCATAGCTGGCTGCTTTCTCGTGGCGTCCTTGAATCCAATCGCTTCATTCTTGCATGCGAACTGCACGCGATCCCACCTCTCCTGCACCGGTACCAACCACCCTACTTCGTACCAGCCGAATTGCAAAAGATCCAGGCCGGCCGAGCGCCGTCGACGAATGAATGGCGTGGCCATCGGAAGAGAAGACCTGAATGTCTAGCGTGCTTTACCGTTGGGGCCAATTGCTTGATGTCCAGGAAAGTGACAGAAGGGCGGGAATTCCGAGCTAGCTGGCGGTATGTTTGTTCAGGCCATCATTCCCAGCTACGGCCTTGAGATGGAGGGTTGCCAGCATCACAGCAGACAATCCCTCATTCTGCACAAAGCATCGTTGTTCCTCTGGTAATTTGCCTGCGAAAACCGAGTGCTCTCCCGGCACTAGTATTTCGCCCTCCGAATACAGGTCAGATTAAAAAGATCCGAGGGCTCAGGGGTCCTTATTTCGGGAGATCACCCAGACCGTCCAGGGGTTGACGGTCTGGTCGAACTTTGACCCCGAGACGAAGCCGTCTGCCTTCTGAGTTGAGCCAGCAGCAAGGCGCTTACTCTATACACGTATGGACACTGCTTCAAGGTATGATGAGGCGACTCCCTAACAGAGCCAAAGTTGTGTCAAATTGGTGGCCAAGGATCGCTCGTCATCCCACGGAGGCTGACCCTTGTCCATTCTGGAGCTATCATATCACTCCCGCGTCGTTATTCGGCCGTTGGCCAACAGCCAACCTGTGTGTCTAGCCAGGCTCGTGAACCTACTGCTGCTGGTACATACAGCAGTAGTACCTAGTCGCCGTGCATGAGCATGTAGGATGGCGGGTCCCTCGTCACAGGCCCAACTATTTTCGGTGATATCTCCTCCAATTGGTACTTTGCGGCGTCGTTCCGTACAGAGGCAGACTACAGGTGCTGCTGAGATTATAACATCATAGGTATGGTAGGGTACTTGGTAGCCTTCTGATAGGATAAGCCGCGAAATACAGCTCCCTCATATACAAAAAACTTCATCTAGCAGCGATAAAATGCGTTGATGGTCAGCCAGGCTGGCATTGGTGCGATTAGCGTTAAGCCGGTCAAATTTTAGCTAGCATAAGCTCACACAACCGGGGTACGGCGGTCCCAGGATGACACTTTTACCTAGCCAAAGAAAGTGAGGCGCGCATGCGCTCCCTAGAAGAAGAATTGGTCGCTCCATGACAGGTAATTTTTGTGTTCTGGCCACAGGCAATACCTATTGCTACAATCATGTTTGGACTGCTCCATTCTTGATGGAGAGAGTGAGGAACGAGAACTGCCTAGACAGACATACGAATACTGTACAAGATCCAGCCGGAAAGCTTCCGTGTACCGGCGCCGGTCTCAAAATCTCCTTTAATACAAGACATTGTCTCAAGTCATTTTTATGGAGGGGGGCCACGTTCGGCCGCTTCTCTATCCCTGGATTGTTGCGGCTGAGAGCTTTTACAGCCGGGGAACAACGTCCCCCATGGGTGAGTCTATGACATGGTATTGGATACATGGTACGTAATCGCCGACAGCGCGACTTGTGTCTCGCAATTGCTCTGAGGGATCGAGATATTACAGCCAGCAGGTAGCATTGCGTACGGTGCAATCTTTCATCTACACGCCGAGTCTCAAGCAGCAAGGTCGCCCCACCTCGCACTGCATACTGGTTGTTGGAGTGTATGGAATGGGCTGGACGCCTAGCGGATATGAGGCATCAGATACTAATAATACTTTGCGCAGGTCCAACAGCTCCAATACTCCGTCCACGGACTTTTGAATCGCTGTCTCGGGGCTATTATACTGTAATAGCAAACTGAGATGTAAGTTCTCAACGGCGGCTACAGCTGCTGCTCACCTACCTGGTCGCGCCTATAACTAGCTGGAGAGCTAATAGTGCTAGCTCCATGCTGTGGCCCAGGGTGTGCCTTCGTTTTGGTGTGGTGCTACTGAAAATCGTTCCTTCAGCACCCTATCTCGCCTCGAGATCGCATCTCGATACACCCATAGCTGGGCCGATCTATTCCGTGTATCCGCAAGATGCTACTTATTGCGGCAAGCCGGCTGCACACGAGACACCAGAGCTACGCGGGCAAATTACACGCGTCTCATCAAGTACCCTCCACGGTCAGCGTTGCAATAGCACTACCACAGAGCAGCAGAGTAGGAGTAGGAGCAGCACCTCCCACTAAGACATTCTGCAAAGATCCATTGAAATCTGAAGCGATCTTACCCCTGGCTAGGTCCCTTGCTGCCGGTTGTGAGTGTGGCTGCGCGAAGCCTAGCGGGCATCCGGTGTGGCAATCCGCCGGCCTTCTCGAACCGGCAACGCTTCGCGCCTTGCCGCGCTGGTTTCTTACTGTTTGCTTTAATTTGGTGGGCTCGGATCCCCGGACCGTGGCACTTTTGGCGATCTCGACATGAGTTACGCCGTACCTGATGCTGTCATGAGTACAGCAGTAGCGCTCAAATTTTGACGTTTGGCCTGCAAAGTTCTTAGAAGTACTATAGCAGCAAAGGACTGTAGCAGCAGCACTCTCGTCTCGTAAACTAATAAGCGATGGCTTCCCAAGCCGGCGTTGAGCGAGCGCTTGGCTAGCGCCCACAATAAAGGCGCTCAGTGCTAGCAGCATGTGATTCTGCCGAAAAGCGGACCAACCCATATAGTAGGTATGTATGATCTGATGTTAGTAACCATGCTTGCACCTACGTCGATTTACGACGAGTGCCTGCTCGGGCGAATAATTGTGGACAAAGCACCAAGAAGGCATTACCACTACTTGCTACCAGACTCTTTCCAAGGCTGTGCTAAGAATAGCCTAATACTTCGGCTAGACAGAGGAAAGAAAAATGGCGCGCCTGCGAGACATATTAGCATATGCATGTTTAAATTAATGCGACGTCCTGCCGACAACGTCCCATGATGAGAGCTGGTGTAAGCCTCGCAACACCATCATCCTTCCGGCCCTTTATGCAAGCCAAGTTGGATGTAGCCCCCGGTGTGGTGTGGTGTCTCCGATTCACGTTTTGCTGTTTTCCCGACGCCGGCCCTGATCAACCAGAACCGGCGTAATTATAAGGACGAGGGCAGGATGGCCTGATGTCTGGTTTGTTTCAGGACATGCTGCATACAGTAGTTTATCCCGCCGCCAACGCAGACTTACTATGGTCGGCTATCGCTCAGCATGCCGTATTCATGAATGTGTCGACAATCGATGGCATATGAAGGCAAAGTGCTCGGCACTCAGTTTATACAGTGCACTCGACAGCCTCGGCTTAATTCACGAGATGAACAACAGAGCGCTGCTGTCTACAAAAGTTCTGCTTACCTGCCCTTCAAGATGGTTCTATGGGGCCCAGCGATAGCCGGGATCCCGGATATCGCCATGCGAGACGAGCTGGTGACGTTACGCTCGACGTAAAGGGCAACTTTTTCTTTAAAAATTGGTTTATATGTGTGAGAGGCAATAAAACAACAACAAACTGTCATCGAACGACACCATATGAAGCAGGGTAAAGACCAAAATATGGCTGTTCAACCTCTGCTGCAAGCTTTCTCAGTTGATAAAGCTATATGGAATAACGACAGCGAGATCATACTCGATTCTATGCCTCAGAATAAACAGAAAATAATGACAATACTAAAAAAGTGTCGAAAGATTCTTCGCGTTGATTGTGTGCGCACAGATACAGGTTTCCATCCAACTCGCTAGGTGATATTGTTTGTTAACAGGCAAACTACTGTGAGCATGTGTGCTGGCACGGACGGACTTGTGGCATAGAAACAAGGAGCATTCAATTCACCAAGACCAACAACTAACGAGGGGCGAGAACACTAGAGATAAGAGCTTGTGAAGGCTCGAATCATGTAAAACTGAGCGATATACTCTGTACTAGATGATTTCATGGCAGGAAGCTCTTTGGCTCTCTCGCAGGTAATCACGTGATCCAGCGTCACTGGTGGCTGGGGCAACACCAAAGCTTGGGAATTGCGCTGCCTAGCGCGTTTGCTTACTGAACATCGTCAGGTTTGCGCCGCTTGCGCCGCTTTGAATCGCAGATTCAATTTTTCTCCAATTATCAATTGAATTGAACGATTACGACGATGCCGCCAGGTAAGTGCTCTTCATTTGTTGTTGTTTGTCGTTTTGGAGTCCTTCGTTGCTGCCAGCTGGCGGGCGCCTGCAACCCCAGGCAGTCGGTGCCAGCTTAACTATTCCTGTACCTGCCTGAAGCTTTCACTCCAACTTCACCAATCGTTTCTCATCGTTGCATCATGGCGCCGAGAGGAAGGCCACCTGCTAAGAAAAGACTAGCACTCAGCGACGAGGAGACCTCGGACTATGAGACTGCGCAACCCATCAAGTCTCCGCGCAAGTCAACCTCGATATCCAGCGACACAGGCGACGCGCACGACGCGCTTACACTACCCCGGAGAAACGGAAGACCTAGTAGGAAGGAACAGAAAGCGTCGACTGGCGTAGAGGTGGGCGTATACGCGGAAGTGGACCCAGAGGACGATGCGGAGAACTCTGAGGAAGAGCTCGACGATGATGTGTACGACAATCTAGTTCCACATAAGGAGGCCTTGACTCTAACCGTCATTAATAGGTTCATCGTTGAAGCAATCAAGAAGCATATGATCGACGAAGATGTATGGAAGATATGCTCATAAAAAAAACCGATATATCCCCTAGGCACGACTGACGCCGCTTAGGGAACGTTGAAATTTCACGTCAAATGGGAGGGATACGAGAAAAAGTCGGACATGACGTGGGAGCCCGAGGAGAATTTACAGTATGTTTGTGGTTGCGGTACGCTAAGCGAGTCGTTGGACTGACTGTATTACGCTTAGAGAATCAGCAGGCGATATTCTGTCTAGCTACCTCGAATCTATAGGCGGTCGAGAAAAGATATTCGAGGAAACACACGAGGCTGCCAAAGGCAAGAAGCGCAGCCGTACGACCGGCACAGCGCAAGCTGCCAATACAAAGCGCTCTAAGAGAAACGGAACACATCCTAGCGAATCGGCGCCCCCGGCGACATCGGATAAATGGAGTCCTCCAGCAGGATCGTGGGAGGATGAAATCGATACGATTGACGCTTGCGAAGACGAAGGCAGCGGGCGGCTCATTGTTTACCTTGTGTGGAAAAACGGACGTAAGACGAAGCACGACACAAAGGTCATTTACAAGAAGTGCCCGCAAAAGGTAAGCATGCCTCAACTTTGATTTTCGCGAGTCTGGACACGAGGGGCTAATTTCTTTGGGTGCAGATGTTGGCATTTTACGAACGCCATGTGCGGATCATCAGAGAAGAGAATAGGCAGTTGACTGAATGAAGAGTTACAACGCTCACGTGAGAAGACGTTGGAAAGGAATGAAGAGGGACAAAGTATTTGGTTCCCCCCCCTCCCTGTCTCGTGAATGTGCTGCGCAGGATTGACCTTTTTTTCCCCCCTACGCTTCTACACTTATCAGATGAGGGCCGGCGTATGTGGATTGTTTTGGGTCTAACGTTTATTTAATCTTCGTCTCTGTTTTCTCACAGGCCACGATTTCGGAATTATATTGGTTTTTGCCATTAGTGTCTACGCGACTAGCTTCTATTCAATGATAATGGAAGTAGTACTGACTGCAGTGCAGTGTATATGTATCAACTGCTGGAGGTATTCCTTGCTGAATGCCGTTTGTCTTTGTATTCTTCATGACGTTACTACTTGATCGTGAATGAATGGCTGAATGAAGCTACTTATTGGCCGACGCGCACACGACGAACTTACACGCGACAGAACAGCCGCGGCAGAGAGCTTATAGCGACAGGGGTTTAGAATATTCCTTCCGTCTTCCGTATTCATTACTCATCATGTTTCAACCAGTCACCAACACACAGCTGTTTCTTATGCTTGGCCAATGACATGCCACCAACGCAGCTACAAGTAGGTATATCTCTCCCATAATTATGAGGTTAGGAAGACACAATCGGGCTCCACTGAAACAGCAAAGCCTCAGCTCCTCTTGCTCGGCCCCTGCGCGCCGTACGCAAGTTACGAACTGCTAGTGAGAAAATCAGCGGGTCATTACGGCCGGTTACAGGGGTAAGAAAGACGTAAGCCACATCAGCTAGTCCCAGGTACGACAAGCAAGAAAGCGTGGTGGCATTCCCAGCCTTGCGATTTTTTTTGCGAAAATGGAGTGGCGGGGCAACGGCGTACATATAGCTGGGGGGGACGGGCATATTTATCGTGTACGCGGGAAGGGCCTCTTTGTTTTTGTGTCCTCCTTGTTTGTTGATCTATTCATTTTATGAACGACGAAAGCGCTTTGATTGAGTGATCTTTCTTGAATTGTTCATTACCTTTTTGGGAAATTCTTCTTGGATAACTTCATCAATCAGCGTCTTTTGTTCGTGGTGTTGGACCCGCTGTTGTTTTTGCGGTGACGAGACTCGTTGTTTGGTATGTACGTCGCCGCCTCGTTTTCCGATTGATGCAGGATGAACCAGTTGCTAATCGGGCCTCAGCTCAGTCCGTCCGCCAACGCATTCTACTCAGCTTTTACGCTGATCTTGTTCCGTGAAGCGATAAATACGAGACAAGCGCGTCAACTACACCGCCCAGGCTTCATCCACACAACCAAATACCCATCATAAACAAACCTTCACCGCAAAACAAAACCCATACAAAAGCACTCTCGATCCCCAAGCCGGGGATCTCGACCCGTCGCCATGACACAACGCAACTACGTCATTGCCATCATCATCATCGTCCTCTTCATCGTCTTGGCGGCCATTTCCTTTGGCATCTACAAGCTGGTGCATGGAGCGCGCCGAGAGCTCAGCGTGACGTCTGTGTCGAGTAGCAGCCAGTCTCAGAGCCTGGCAGACTAACACTGATTGAGCAAGAATTTCTTCCTTTCTGGGACTGTTGAACACGTGCGCCTTTTGCGTGTGTTAATATTGAGCCTGGGGGGGAGGGTTCTTGTGCTGAGATTGTTAGATGCTTTGACAAAGGTCATCAGAGATGATGATCCTTTTTTTTTTATCTCTCTTCTGCTTATGAAGTATGAGGCGCTGGGTTCTGTTATTTTTATATTTTTTTTTTTTCTCCCCTCGTTGGATAAATGAGCCATTTTACATGCTTGGATTTAAACTGGCTTTATGAGTTCTTGTGCTTTTTTTGAGGAAGCATTCACAGGGTTTTACGGTGGCCCTAAGTTTTGGATATACTATATGAGATCTGATGGATATTGGTACGACTATATAATGAGAGTGATGAATATATGTGTATATCCCAGCGCGGATGAGATGCAAAGACTTGTTTTTGCTGAGGTATTGAAGAGCACGAATACAAGAAGCAATTCAAGAGTAACCAATGACCGCCACTTTCGTTATGATGATGACTCACCGTCGGTGCATCTCACGAGCTTGAATGTCTTGAAACGGTGAAATAAACAAGTATTTGTCTGAATATCCGTGTATGAGCTCCATCACTGCCCCGAAAATAATAAGCAACAGTGTGGTCACTCTCAAATGAGCAGAGTAGTCGCTCTTCGTCTGCACTTTTCACAGCTGCAGTCTCTCTGATTGACAGCAAGACCGCTCTTTTGACAACACGGACTCTTTCAAACACTCTGAATCACTGTCCTGTCATTCAGCATAAAGATGCTTCTCGCAACACCACGGCCTCTTCTCCTCTCTGTTCTTTCAGCCTACTCCAACCTCGACAACTCACCAACATCTGCTCCATCTACGTCCTCCAAGAAGCCTCACTTGCACCGTTTTGCGAAGATGGATGCGAGCAGTTCGACTTTGAAGGCTCGTGACGCCATCCGAGAACAGTTTGCCAACATGTCTGCATCTCAATCCGAGACTCCGAGCACTTCTCCTTCAACCAACGGTGTTAATCAGGAGCCTCACATGCGCTGGCCGCCCCCAACATTGTTCCCCGGGCAGAGCTTCAACATACCGTTCCAGCAGCAGGCATCTAACCCGTTACTCGCATTTTCACGCCTTCAGGAGAAATATAAACAGCATTTCCAAACGCACTACGGCCATCAAGCCACTCCTCTCAATCCAGGCGGCTTGTCACCACCATCCTCATCATCAAAGTCCCCGGAACTCAACCAATACCCCTCCTTTTCTGCCAGACTTGATCAGGAACAGCGTGTATCTGCAAGTATACATATCCTCCGCCACGTCCAAAACACCCTTCAGCAGCGCCACCACGAGACACAGCTGCACCTCGCCCGCACCGAGCAACTCATAGAGCAGACGGCATGGGATCTCTTCTTCCAAAGCCCCCTGGACTTTATGTGCCACAAGATGGATATCCTCATCGGCCCTGCCGCAATCGGCGCTCTCACTGGAGGGGTGATCGCCCCAAAGGCTCAATCTGTTCGCGAGAGCGAGGCTTGGATGAGAAAGTTGGATGTCTTGAGAGACTTGCAGGATGACGAATGCGCCGCGAAGAAGAGGATGGAGAAGACTATGAGACAGATGAAACGTACAGACGAGATGATGATTGTGGGCTCATTGAAGCTACAGCAGCTGTCATCGCAGAGAAGCACCCCTTTCGGGGGCCCATACAGCATGGGGTTTCATAATCCCTTTTCTGGAGCTCAGACAATGGCATTTTCATCAGGCGTAACGGGCATCAACATGGCTGGAAACTCGAAAAGCACAGCATCTGCGGCGCCAAGCACTTTTTCGAATTGGCCAAAGTTTGGTGCTCCGCAAGATGTCAATCATGATGAAGCCAGTAGCATCAATGTCACCGACAGCAGCAGCACTGGTAGTAGCAGTCACTTTGAAGCGTATTGCGGCGGCCATGAATGCTGTGGACACCGCGGTCAGTGATTGATGGAGATTTTGGGACTCTGGCTGAGCTTTTAGAACAATTTATTTTGCTGTTACTGGGAGTTTAAGGGGGTTTGGTGCAGCTCGGGTAAGGGGAAGCATGTAAACAAATCGAGGCTTAGGGTAGGGGATCTGGCTATATTCGCCATTATTTTAACCGCTCCCGGGCATTATAGCTTTTCTAAATTGCTCGTCTACTAAATTCAATGCATTCTACTGCAATAATGTGCTTCCTCTTACTTCATTTGTAGGAAAAGAGCCTTGGATAAGGAGGTGACGTCTTACTTGGAAGCATATCCTGCGCACAGCTCCTTTGTAATGCTTCCGCACACTCATCTATCAGACATCAAACTCATCATAGTTGTTTCTTTCTAGCGGACTCTCCAGACTCTATCATCACTACCCTCATACTCTGGCACATCTCCAAATACCCACGTCCACCAAGACGCCGATGAGTCACTCATGTGCCTACATTCAAGCTGAGCCGTATACAGATTGTCCTCGGGCAACATCACAATGTTTGCCATCAAGAAAGCGCCAATCGAAGAGCAATCAAACATGCTAGACCTCCGTTCTTCCCAGTCAATCTGATACCTAAAGTCCGCAAGTTGCATGTCCGGCTCAAGCTTCACCATCGCACACCAGGGCTCTTGGCGCCAACCGGCCCTATCAAAGTTGTAAACCACGTCCATGCCTAGCACAAGCGCAACGAACTGCGTAGGATGCTTCATCGCCACCATCTGCTGCCTCGTAAAGTCTCTCGTCCCTATTGGCGCCTTTCGCTCTTGGCTCACGTCTGAGACTCCAATGCGCACAACACCCTCGATCGACCGGGTGATTCCCTCATTCTTTTCGCCATCGTGGCGCCGTTCAAAGCGGAGCAGGCCGCCCGGGTATGTGTCTTGCACCTGGTATGATCCTTGGAGGACCCGATTATCGCGATACCATCGGTCGGCGGGGAAGCCTTCCCTGGTGCTGATGCCGCTGCTGAGAAGCTGGATGCGGAAACCGAGAGAGGTGGATTCACGAGGGATCTGGGAGACTGAGACTAAACGAGAATCCCAGACTTTCGGATCCCGGAATAACTGTTCAAAGTATGTAGTGATCTGATCTTAATCGTTGTCCGCAGTTCCATCGTCAGCACCAGCAAGTTTACTGAAACGCCTGTCCAAGGAACGAGCAATCACTTACAGAGCCAAGAATCAGAATGCTGTCTCGATCGTAACGACATGGTAGTAGAATCCAAATGCGTCTCGCGAAGTATCCAAGGGTTGACCCTCGCGAACTGGGAATTGCCTTCATCCAGAGCACAGATATCTATACAGGGAGAAAAGTCGCCAGACGGACCAAATCTGCACCCCAGAGCGGCGAGATAATAGTTTGACTGAAGACCGCGCGGCAGCCGACGATACGCAGGGTTATCGTTCTGCATCATGAACATGTCCTGCGGCTGGACCAACAGCTCGACCTGCAGGCTCCTGTTCACAATCTGGGCCGCCCGCCTGGAAGGACGACTGGTTGCGAAGGGGAAGACCAGCTTGCCGGTATGTTTAAAGGCACTTGGGGACTCGGCCAGGAGCCCAAAAAGCTGCTGGTTGGGATGCTCCAGCTCGGGCACTACCCACGCAAAGATGGACTGGTCGTCAACCGTCTTGATGATCTCCTCTTGCAGCCGAAAGAAGGCATTCTTGCCCTCGCCGTAGATCAGCGGTATAGAGACCGAGAAGAGGCCCATCAGGCAGTACGCCGTATCCTCGACCCTCGTCGTCATCCTGCTAGCCGCCCAGGACATTTTGCGCGCCACCGTGATGATGGAAGGATCGGCCCCAGCAAGGACGCTGATGTCGATGCCCGTGATTTCAGACAGCAGGCCCTTGAGCAGAGACTTGCGGCCGAGCAGTTTCCAGTCCTTGGAGTAGAAGACAACGTCCCTCGGGGCGATGAGCTCCTGCAGAGTCCACCCTCTCGTGAACCAGCGGCTGTTTCTGAATTCCGGACTGAAGCAATGCTCCGCATCGACCAGGTAGGCATAGCAGATGGCCGACCCGCGATACCACGAGTACATGGAGTTGATGGCCTCGGACAGCTCCGCGCTGCTCGTCTTGTCGATGCAGCAGGTATCGATCCAGATGTAGGCGTAGCCCTCGGACTGGGCGAGCGCACATGCGCCCTCGACTTTGGCGAAGCCTTGGGGCTTCCTCTGGCGGGCGAGGTCTATTGACTGGGTCAAATCCTGGTATGTCAGCTCCTCATCGCCCCAGGTGTGAGACAGGATCGCATATTCCGGGATGTTGTAGTCGAAGAATTCAATGATCTGGTAGGTTTTGGTGTTGAGAAGCCGCATATTCTGTAAGTCAGGCCTTCTTGTATTCCCTTATTCCCTTTTTATTTTCTTCTTTTTTCCCACTCTTCTTGCACCAGGGTGCGTTCGTATGGATGGAAATCCTGGCTTGGTCATGGCATGCGATGATGCTTTGCTTATATAGCCGCCGTTTTGCTGTGCTGCAGGTTACGACGCGACAGCACCTTTTGGGCTAAGTGAGATGAGCTGAACGAAGCACCTGCATGGGTAGCAGTCAGTGGCAGCCAATAGCAGCAATTAGGAGACAGCATCGCTTAATAAACAGCAGATGATGATTCATTTCATTCGCCTCGTCAAGGTATTGGTACCGCCTCACTTCTATCGCCGCAATGCCAAGTGTACATTCTATATAAAACCCATGTGTGTGTCCTCATGTGCCGAGGCTGAAGGCAGCAACTCGAGCTGAAAACGAAAAGAAAAGGCATTCTGGAATAAAATAAGCTAAAGTAAAAGAAAAGAAGAAGAAGAAGAAGAAGAAAAAAGAGCATCGCAATTCATTCACCACTCGACATTTACCAACTCATCAGCCCCCTGCCTCTATCAAATCCTCCTCTCAGCTGCCTTTCGGGCTTGACAACCTTACCCTTCAACACGGTATATCTCACCAGATTCTCGCAGTCCTCTGGTCTTATTCTCGCCAACCAAATGCACTGCGCAGCTCCCACATCTTCCTTGTCTCCCTCTTCAGTCTTTGTTTTCCTCTCATCTTTGGCTTCTTCCTCAGCATCTTCCTTTGCCGCCACCGCTTCCACTACTCCTTCGGGCAGCGGCTCGTCATCCTTGCCAAAAGGATTCGGCCGTCGGTAAACCATCACATTAGCAGAGTATTTGTGGCCTCCGACATGGCTAATGAAGTAGATGCCCACTCCGCCCGGTCTCTCGTCGTGCAAATCGCGGTAGAGGCCCAGCGGACGCAAATGTCTCTCCAGCTCCTTGCGTAGAAGCGGCGCACTCTGGCCGCAGCGGGCGTCACGCGTCTTCTGGCTGCACAGGAGGATCACGGCACTGTGCGGACATGGGTTGATTGTGAGATCTGCTAATGAGGCGTCTGGGCTGGGGAGTGAGGCGGGGATGACAGAGCGCCAGGGGACGAGAGGCGATGCGCTTGTGGGCGCATTGTTGATGACGCCGGTGATGAGCTGGGAAACGTTCTTTGGATGGACGTTTTGCACGGTGACAAAGGCTGGGAGGAGGATGACGGTGGTGGGCTCTGAGTAGTCATGGGTGTCGTGAGGCGTGGGAATGTTGGATGCGGACAGCATGAGTCTCTGTGAGAAAGTGGTTAGCCATATATATCTTGACTCTTTTCATTCTCATTCTCGTCTTGAACCCCCCCTTTTTTTTCTTCTTCTCTCTCTCCTCAAGCAAGATGAAGGGGTTCACTTGAACACGTCTCATCGTCTTACTATCATATCTCATCTCATCTCATCATCTCATCTCATGCTCCAACACTCATTCACTCATTCACATCAAAAAATGAATAATAATGAAAAAAAGAAAGAAAAAAAAAACTCACCCCATTCGTCACTCCGCCAACCTTTTGAATCGCCTCCATCACGCTGCCCTTCTCATCAGCCACATCCCTCACCCAGTCACTCTTCCCCGTCCCCACAAGCACATGCGTGCTCCAGCCCTTGACCTGCCCGTACAGCACGTCCTCCTCGTCAATCTTGAAGCCGCGCGGGTACTTGACCGAGCAGCTCTCGCAGTCGTGCAGGCACTCGTCGCCGTCCACCTCGGCGCTCGTCTTGTCAAACAGCACCTCCATCGGCGCCGAGCCCCCACTCGACGACGGTGCCGCCAGCTGCCCCGCGACGGAGGCCGGCACGGCGCCCAGCACCGAGTTCATGAGCGATTTCAGCGAGACGGCCATTTTCTGCTTGACGGGCATGCGAGGGCTTGCTGCTGCGTGGCCGTTGGCTGTGGCGGCCGGGGGTGGCATGATGAAAGGAAGAAGAAGGAGAAAAGAAAAGCGCTTCCGAGTAGAGTGGAAAATAGTCCAAGTGGATATCCGAAGCCCAGTGCCTAGTCAAGGGGCAACTTCTTTCAAGTTCCAACAAAACAATCGCTTGCTTGCTAAATAAACGGAATAAACAAAGTTTAAAAGAATAAGGAAAAGACAAAAAAAAGACCAAACAGCCACAGCCGTGCACTACAGCCGGGCTCCTTTAAAAGGAAACGGGCATCTGAATGCCTTGATTTCCCCCCAAAGCTCGGACTTACCGGTGCAAGCACAATACCACGAAAATGCTTATCAGATCCTGCCCAACCGCGCGGCACTGCGAATCGGCTCCCCACCAAGCCCACCTGGATTGCCAGATGCAGCGCCCCTCCCACTCTTCGCTTCGGATGCTAAGCCGATGGGTGGGTGGAGGGCCGCGCCCAAAGGGGAAATTCCCGTCATCGCAGCATCGCTGGATGTCGCTGCCGGTATTCCGCATACTCGAACTTTTGCTGTAGTCGTCATCCCATGTTCCAAGCCTCGTCCGCTACATGTTAATCTACGGCCAACTAGCGGTTGAAAAGACAAATTATCCATCACTCCCTTCATTGTTTGCCGCGTAATCTCCCCCACAATCTCTGGTCCCAACCATCGCCGAGCATCTCCGAGCCCAATTCACCGGCCCTTGTCTACGGACTAAACCACCCCCCCATTTGCTTGGCACTATTCGCACGCTGCTCACCATTATAATAACATCGCAGTCCATTCATTCTAAGCTTACCAAAAACGTAAAATACCATAAGCACAATGAAATATTCCTTAATAGCGATTGCGTAAGCGGACATGAATGATGCTACCCCCTTATGGTTGTATGGTACCTACCTATTACTACAAAGTCAAACATCACCAAAACTCTTAGCCGTCCACATACAAGAAGGAGACTCTCTAGGTCTTCAGATTTTGCGACATTTCTGCGTCACGAGTTTACCTTGCAGCCTTGCATAGGCATTCTCACATCACATCGTTATGGTCGGATATAACTTCCTCTTTCTATTTATAATCTTATGGGTAAGTTCAAACGCCGTAGCACCATATATTATACGCAACTACACTTTTTGCAAGTTGTAGAAAGCTCAAAACGCCCACAAGTACATACTAAGGGAAGGAAGAGACCCACAAGTCCACCAAGACAGTGTATGGTGCTGCAGCTTCCCACCAGATATACATGTTCTGCATTCACTTCGTGCAGGCACTTATCTATTGCAGAAATTGGCCCAATGACCTTGCCTTCTCAAATTTATAAATAGAGCCTAGCCACCACAGCATATATAAGTGAAAGTAAAAGTGAAAAGAGAAAAAAAAAAGCAATGAATCACAGCTTCTAGCAGAGATTTTTTAAAACAGATTGTGTGCTGTTATGGTAGCCGAACCCAAGCCCAGATAGCCTCATACAAGGTGAGGGAGAGAACACCACTTCATCAATAATAAAAGAGGCTTTGAGCGGCCGAAATTGAGGTATTGAAGGCTCTCATCACCTGAAACTAGTCACACAGGTATCATGTTCTGAAAAGTATAGTCTTGTAGTTATTGAGACTTTGGTTGGAGCAGCCTGACAATGGCCTCATGCCCATTCTCAGTAGCCAACGAAAGTGGCGTCTTGTTAAACGTATCTTTCACCTCGACGTCAGCGCCCTTCTCAAGCAACAGCCTCACAATGACCTCGCTCCCATTCTTAGCAGCCCACGAAAGTGGCGTCCTATTAAATACATCTTTCGCCTCGACATCGGCTCCCTTTTCAAGCAATAGCCTCACGATGGCCTCGTGCCCGTGTTCCGCAGCCTGCATAAGTATCGCCTGGCCAAAGGTACCTTTCGCCTCAATGTCGGCACCCTTTTCGAGCAACAGCCGTACAATAACCTCATACCCGTATATCGCAGCCAACCAAAGCGGCGTTAGATTACCATTTGAACATTTTGAGTTAATACCAGCACCCTTTTCAAGCAACTGCCTTACAACGGCCTCGTGCCCTCTAGCAGCAGCCAAATGAAGAGGTGTCCAATTGTTATTATCTTTCACCTCAATATCGGCGCCTTTCTCAAGCAGTATTCTTATAATAGACTCATACCCGTATGTCGCAGCCTGCGAAAGCGGCGTCTGATTACTATTTCTACATTTCGCCTCAGTATTAGCACCCTTTTCAAGCAACAGCCTTACAATGGCCTCATGCCCTTCCTCAATAGCCCAGAAAAGCGGCGTCTCGTTATTAAATATATCTTTCTCCTCGATATTAGCGCCTTTCTCAAGCAATATCCTTGTAACGGCCTCATTCCCGTAAACTATAGCCATATGAAATGGTGTCAGGCTATTATTATCTTTCACCTTAATATCAGCGCCCTTCTCAAGCAGTATTCTCACAACTGCCTCGTGCCCATTAACTGCAGCGCGATAAAGCGGTGTCCGATTTTTATCATCTTTCGCCTCGATGTCAGCGCCTTGCTCAAGCAGTATCCTCACAACAGCCTCATTTCCACTAACTGCAGCGGAATGAAGCGGTGTCCAATTTTTATCATCTTTCGCCTCGATGTCAGCGCCTTGCTCAAGCAGTATTCTCACAACAGCCTCATTCCCACTAACTGTAGCGGACTGAAGCGGTGTGTGGCTGTGATTATCTTTCGCTTTAATCTCGGCGCCTTTCTCAAGCAGCATCCTCACAACAGCCTCGTGCCCATTAACTGCAGCGCAATAAAGCGGTGTCCGATTTTTATCATCTTTCGCCTCGATGTCAGCGCCTTGCTCAAGCAGTATCCTCACAACAGCCTCGTGCCCATTAACTGCAGCGGAATAAAGCGGTGTCCAATTTTTATCATCTTTCGCCTCGATGTCAGCGCCTTGCTCAAGCAGCAACCTCACAACGGTCTCTTGTCCGTGTGCGGCGGCCCAGAAGAGTGGCGTTCGTCCACCACCATCCCTAACATCTGCATTATGCCCGTTATCAATCAAGGAAGTCATGCACGTTAGTCCGAAGTACGCTGCAAGATGAACGCCTGTCATTCTCCCACCCTCTTGGGTATAGATTTCATAGCCTTGATTATCCATTATTACTTGGGCTGAGGCAGACGCCTTAGCTTCGCTCTCTAGGAAATTAAGAATTAGTCGTTTCTCTGGAGCAGTGCGAGCATGATGCCCCCAGTTATGCGCGGCGTAGTCGTAGAGCTCATTTGATTCTAGTCGCTCTATAAACTCAAAGTAATCTTGACAACATCCACTCTCGAAAACACTGAAAGAGAGATACGTAACGCAGATTTCCGTGATATCAACCTCTGCATCCGGAAACCAATTACGTTGTGTTCGTTCAAAGTATTCCTGGGTCGTGTAGTGAACTAATCGGATGATATCGCTCTCTTTATCAACTGTGACTAATCCAGCACATACTGAGACCATGTCTTCAACTACTGGAAGATTGTCTCGGTCAAGCTCAGTGCTCCCAGCCTTTACCGCCAGAGCATGTTGGAGTTCCGATGTGGTCAGCTGCCGTTTTGCGCAGGTGATCCATGATAAAACCTTCTTTCCAAGCCTTTGAAAGCCTGGCATCTGACTGTTTATTCTGTCCATTGCTTGGTTATATGCCTTTTCCAAAATATCGCGCTTCTTATTTTCTCCTAGTTCCAGTTGGTTTTGCTTCTTAAACTGCTCTAATGCAGTGTTGATTTCCGTTATGGATGTCTTGTCTTTGAGCGAGTCGAGATAAAGCTGCGCAAGCAGAAACCTGGGCGAATGTCAGCAGTCATTTGGTAGCTTCAGCGGAAGCAAAATTCCTACATTCCATCCACTGCACTTGTAATTTCAGTCTTGATCCTTCCCTGGATGTCTGGCCTATTTGCAACACATCTTGGGAGATTCGACGTGTGGCCATCAAGATATGTGCGTACATCTTCACGAGCTGCCAAGATTTCTCGCCTAAGGTGATTTTGAAGCTTGAACTGCTCTTCAATTTCCGGAATGGGTCGTGAGGTTGCAAAGAAGTTCGCTACAGTGTTGGCTTGAAGGTGGAAAATATATGACAGGAGTTTTAATCCGCAGTCACTAAAAGGTTGGCATTCGTCAAGCGCATCGACAATGATGAACACTTTTGAGTACATAATTGCGACGGATTGGAGAGCCTGTGAGAATTCGTCTACTGATGGCCTCGTCTGCCTCTCTTTGTGTCGGTTGTAGAGATCTTTCACACTCTCTGGGAAAGACTGGCTTCGAGCTAGCTGCTTCAACAGACTCGCCACCAAGTTTTCCATATTCTGGTCGTCTCTCTGCTTGAAATTGCAGTAGATATACGCAATGCCTATCGTTTTGTCATTCCTAAATTTTGAAAGGAGATCGTTTATCACGATCGCTGTGAGAATCGTTTTGCCTGATCCTGGAATGCCAGGGCAAAATAGTGTGTGCTTGTCAGAGTTCAGCCAAGTCTGGTACTCAACGCAATCTAAAAGCCACTGCCCAGTTCCCGGCGCTCGTCTGTTGAAGAAGTCGCTATGCTGAGGCCCATATTCAATTGGCGTAAGCCAGTCAAGGATATCCTTGTTAGCTTGGTTATGTTGCACTTGGATAACTTTGTCAATGCTTTGCTGGACGCCTGGCATTAATTGACACATAATTAACACTTTTGTACTGTTACTGGGTAATTAAACTACCTTAGACGCACCAGAGAGAACCTCAATAATCTTCTTCTCAGCTTCAATCCTATTTGGAGCGATTCGACGGAGAAGGTCTTTGGCATACGCAGCTGCCGCCATTGCCGCATAACCCTGCCACTCCTTGTTCTTGTGGGAATCCGAATAGTCGCAGATACCGCGGATAACCAGGCAAGGAAAGTTATTCATTAACCCCGCTGCTTCCATTTCAAAGCATAGTATATCTTCTTCTGCAGCAAGCATATCTCTAACCAAAGCATCCTTCATTACCTGATTTCCTGAGGCAATTATGCCGTAGTGGATTGCCGGATTATCCTCGTCTTCAGTTCGCTGAGATCGCTGTACTATCTTTGCTGGATCAGTACCACAAGCTGTTATACAGCTGTCGTTATTTGCAGAATGCACGACTTGGGATTGATATAGCCTATCGCTACTCGGATCTGGCCGGCTATACATCTTCTGGAGTCTTTTCTTCTTCTGGAGGATGTTGTTGATATCCCCTTCAAGCTCGTGGCCATCGCTCTCGTACTGGCCACGAATTAAAGTCACTGCTGTACGTAGGACAGTTGGAGGTTGGTTCAGAAACCCCGTTGGCTTAAAACCCTGATCTTGAATGGTTTTGCCAAAGTCATACTGAAACACGCCGCCCTTTCCATTTCGAGGAGCGCTGACTACAATGTCGCCCAGACGGATATCATGCTTTTTGCTCGGTGCACCGCCACCAATCCCGACCATCAGGCCAACTCTAATGTTACAAAAGCTATGTATCATGTCTTTTGCAACACTAGTGGCAGAGGATATGCCGTACTCCCCGTCAGGCAAAACGGCAATGACGACATTGTGCCCCCCTATTTCACCCAGTGTATAAGCGTTATTGTCGTTGGGTGACACGATTGGAGGTTCTGTGTGTTCCACATCGAGAAATTGTCGTGCAGCTACATACTCCGTTCTTATGGCGCAAATCCAGCCGACCGTATAGTCCTTGGGCTCAGGCATGTCCGCTCGTAGGATGATTCAAATGTCAGGCGAAGCAAGAAGGACGGTTAATGTTTGGCCGCCGAGGTTTCTCAGAAAGATCACTTGCTTCCACCTGGATAAGTTAGCTCCGTCTGTAGACGCTGTGATCACCAAGCATAACAACTAACCTGACAGCGCAATTTATCCTCTCCAGTTGCGTAGATTTTGAGATCTGTGCTGAAGTTTGGTTGACAAAGTGTACAATACCCCAAACAGCCCAATGATTATGAAAGAAGAAACGATACCGCGGCCATCAATCAAACAAAAGCGGCTGGGCAATATTAGGCAGAAACAAGTTGGCGAGAACCCGTGGTTAGCTATTCGCTGGGGTTACCTCGGCCGTGGGCGCCTACTCGCATTTGCATAATCGCTTCCTCATTTGTCGGGGTTGAACTTGTGGCTTATTTCTGTTCGCAGCTGTGTCAAGTACAAAATTCACTCAGGCCTCGCTTGTGGTGTTTCGTTGGGTGCAGCACCCAGGCATTTCCCCCGCACCGCAAAGCGAAACACACCAAAGGTTGGATGGCTGCACAATGTTTACCAGCTTACATGCGCGTGGACGTGAGCAGACACTGTTATCATAGGTTTTAGTGACTTTCAGACTCGGGTTTTTCTGGCACCGACTGGGGGATTTCCGATATTAAGTCAACTCAGGAAGCTGTTTATTTATGCTCGTAGCAATACCACCTTGCGTATCATTGGAACAAATGTATGATTGGCCATGAAAGGCTGTAGAGTCCATCGCTGGCCCAAGAAATGCCAACAAGAAACCCACATTCGCTATTTCCCTAGTGAGATTCGATAAAATACATACATATATACGAAAGATAGAAGAAAATCTCCGAGGGTAGAAATTTAAACAAAGGGGAAAAGCAGAAAAGAAAGGAAAAACCAAAAAGAACAGTATGTGACACCCGCGCACCAATCACCCTCATTAAGCGGGCTTCTCGTCGGTTCTCTTACACATTCTTCTTCCTCGCCTCGTTGTATCCGTCCTCGTCGCTATCAGAATCCTCGTCCTCATCCGCACCACTCTGCATCTTGACCTTGTCAGATTTCCTCCGTCTATCCTTCATGGCTTCCCTGATCTTGCGACTGGCTTCACCAAAGCCTTCGGCAGAATCCAAAGTTGTGAACCCGCTGATTGGGAAGCCACTAGACCCAAAGCCACCACCCGAGCTGTTCGACCGACTCCGTGACCGGGATGGCGGCCGTGTTGAGAAGATGCCAACTCTGCCAATGTTACTGAAAGAGTCATTCCTAGGCAACAAGCGGCTGGACTGGGTAGTGCTGCGTCGTGACAGCGCGGGTGGTGTCTCCAGGTCGACACCGGTGCTTGACTGGTCGCTGTCGCGCCGGAGGCGAGTCTCTGTAGGTGACGACTGAGTCCCGCCTGTCTCGACTTTCGTAAAATCAGGAACGAGTCTCGTCTTATCAAAGTCTGGGAACATTTCCGGTCCGAGCGTGTTGATCAGCTCCGTTACTTGGGCGCTAAGCTCTGCCCGTCTCAATTTCAGCTTGTGAATGTTGAAATCAGATGCCGGGACCAGACATAGCACCAGTGGTCTAAGAGACTTGAAGATGTCCATCCCCACTTCTCCGAACCGCAGCGCAGCAATTGTAATGGCAGTCCAGGCCACCCAGGTACCCAGGTAGACCAAAATAAGAGGCACCCATTCAGGCAGATAGCCCCAGAGACGGTCATACCAGGCCCTGGCAACTACGGCAATCGAGTAGCCATGATAGAGCGTCGGAGCCAATCCACAGGCAACGAGAATCTTCCATGTAGCCATGACGTCACGACCGCGAATCTTGACAGTAGAGCCTGCCAGCGCCGCCTTGGCCTTCTGTCTGCTGATGATTTTCGTGGCTACAAAGACCGGGGAGAAGAGGAGGAGGCCAGGAACCGTGCAGAGGAAGAGAATCAATAGCTTGATTGAGCGGTAGATGAATAGCACAATGACTTTCCAGATCGACATGGTGGCGTACTGCACTTGGTGATCTCTCAAATTGAGATAGCGCAGCTGCGAGTTGTACTCCTTTACGCTCTTGGACAGCTTGGTTATCCTCTCGTCGTTTTTGTAGCGCTCGTAGCCCAGGGCCAAACGACGGTTTAGTTCTACCACGACAGGCAGGGGCAGCTTCTTGCCGGTAGGGTTGTAGAGCCTTCTTGCCGCTTGGATCACCATCAGGATGTCGTAATCCGGGGCCGAGACCGTCACAGAGCTGAGAGCTTGGTAGACTGTGTCAATAACCTGACCGATTGCCTCTCTTCGCTGGTTATTCCGGTACATTTCAACCACGTGCGGTGGGATCTCAAAGGGCGCTCCAAACTCAATGACGGCACGCGAGCGGAACTTGTGTGGGTGGAAGTAGTTCATGCCCACGGGGACAATCTTGAGGCCACAGTTGGGCGATTCAGCCAGCGCTCCCAGAGCCATGATGGCCACGCCGGCCTTGATTGGGAGCAGCTCGGAGCGATCGTGGCTACCGCCCTCGGGGAAGATACCGACACATCCACCACTCCTCAATCGTGCAAAGACAGCCTCGTACACTTTTGTCTGATCCGTATGCGGCGCAAGCTTGAATTTAGTCCCCTGATATCCCGGCGCGGGGCCGTTGGTTGATTTGTTCGTAAAATTGCCGTCCTTGTCAATATCCTCTCGACCGGTGAGCTGCTGCAGGCCCAGCTGAGTCTTGAATGGTCGCTTGATGCGAATCTCTTCGGGGCCAAGGATCTTGTCAATGTTGACACTTTCGCCCGACGTCTTCTTTCCCGGCGGCAGGAAGAGCATTCCCTGGGCCTCACCCTCGCCCTCGCCAAACTTTGTGCCCACTCCTCGAATCAGTGTCGGGTCATTGATCGGGTCCGGGAGATAGATGAAGCCCGTCGCAGGCTTCGCGGCATCTTGTGCTCGCCCGACGGGAACCGAGCCGACCTGGCGTGACCCCCAGCCAATAAAACCGTGAACAGATTTCTGCGCAATGAGGAGCGATACTCGTCGGTTGGCGTCTAGTCGCAGCGTTCGTTGCAAAAGGATGGCGTCGACAAACTGTTGGGATCGGCGTAAGCATGGCGTTTACTTCTGCTTCTATTTATCGCAAAGCACAAAAAAAGAAATTGCACGGAAAAGAGAGGACCTTCATACCTGGTTCGCATGCGGCGCAGCGACAAAGAGCACCGGCCCAGTCTGTGGAACTCTCCAGGCGCCTCGTGGTATGACCTCTCTGAAGAACAGGTTTACCAGATTGCCCATGCCGTAGAGAAACAGGTCGTACTTCCAGTTGACCATGGGGTAGAGCTCCTTCTGGGGTTGCTCAGACCCCTCAGCCGATGCATCATGAGGCTCTGCATCCGTCGCAGTCGACGCCGCGACTTCTTTCGAGGCCATGATTGCAAAAGCCCTCTTTTTGTGCTTCTTTCGCCTCGCTAGCGGTGGTTCTACCGCTGTAACTCTGATCGACGTGCCGAGCGAGAGAGCACTGAAGCTGTGCGAAGCTTGATGTGTGTAAAGAGAGAAAAAGTGGACAAAAACAGATCAACCCCTCTAGCACCGCAGCTCCAGAGCTTTTAGTCCGAAAAGCTGGCACGGGATGAATGACGCTTTCTTGCGTGGAGCGGAGGAGGGGCTTAAGATTCTTACTGTAGCTGATGTGATGGGTCAGATGGATTCAGCTTCGCAGCCTTTTTCTTTCGCCTTTTTGAAGGAGAAAAACGAGAATAGGGAGCATTCCAACGGAACAGTGCAGGATCAAGCGATTGTTGGATTCTTCTCGGCTTCCTCCCTCTCAAATTAAGAGCGCGTCCAGCTTCGAGCCAATTCCCATGTGATCTCTATCTTTAGTGCCAGTAATATTAACGTTACAGGGAGCAACCGGTACATCTTCAGCGCTAGCCGCGGACGGACGAACGGCGATGCGGCACGGTAAGGCTGCTGAAACAAGGCATGCTGCTCCGTACAAGGTCGCACGGACTGGTGCTAGTGGCTTAATTCTGTGTCTTGTCTCGCGATTAACATGTGCCTGCGTCGACTCTCATCATGCCATCCCAGGCAAGTGAGGCGAGAGCACAAAGGCGTCTGGAATTTGTCTTTGATCGCGCAACCGTCAGTGCTCAAAACAAAGCCTTTGACACTGACTGGTGTTTTGGCCGCAATGTGGAGAGGCTAAGGTCTGAACTCCAGACACAATTCTGCTTGCAGTGAGCTCTAGCAAACTCTATCCAACCGAAGCTGCCTCACATCCCTGTCAGGCATTTCTATTGGGCAACAAAGCACCGCCAACAATGAAGTCCAACCTTATCTTTAAAAGATTTGCCATGAGCAACTAATGAAACACGGCTGTCTATCCCAAATAAGGATGAGGTCGCGCCATACGCGCTGTCAACTGCAAATCCTTCTACAAGCCACATCTGGCATCAACCAACAGATGTTTGCAAGTGCATCTCTAGTCAATCACTACAAGATAGAGACTTTCCCAGGGCTCGGCAGGTAAACAAAAGAAGGGCCAGTGTTCAGTTTCATGAATTATTTAGATACACGATATTACAATTTGCTAGGAAATGTTTGGTGGAAATGTGCCTCGACTCGAGACGTCTAATAACTCGCCGCTCTGAATGCCAACAGAATATGCCAGTATATGGCAGAAACTAATAGTAGTCCTGGGTCGAAGGAGAAGAGAAAGACAAGAGATACCTAAATCAGAGGGAGGCAGCAGAAACGGCGTGGAATATCCTGGCGCTAGTTAACGATCCAGATACCACTCTGTCTTGGTGGACTGTGTTATCCAGGGTTTCAAAGTAAAGGGCAACGCTCTTAACATATCTGTCTCTCCCGATTTTTTAAGGTAATGAACTTCGATTTCAATTTTTTTTTTTTTGTCAATATGCCTAGATCACCAAGATTATCGCTTAAGAAAGGTCAAACCTCGTGAGGCTACACGGAGAATCCAGGTGTTCAATAGCTTCTGAACAATCCTAGCATGATGTTGGCCATTCTTATCAGCTCAGCATCTCGGTAAGCATTCATAAACACTCTTCACCTCGAAGCTCTGGCTTCGCTAGGACTAAACAAATCTTCTTCGCTATACTTTGACAGCATTTGGGTAAACAGCTTAGTGCCTACTCAAGCAAGACTGTGGCAAAGTCATTTACGTTTCTGAGGGCTTACCAGCTTGAAACTCGTCAGATAGACGGCCACACTCTCTTTCATTACGCAGGCGTAGCAAATTAACGGCTGATTTCCAATCCTTATCCTTATGTTCGATAGGAGGCTTCGCTGCGGAGACTCTCATACATTTTTTCCTCAAGTAAAACTTATAGCGTCCGTCCTGTCCCAAGGCATCTCATCATTTTTTCTTAGTCATGATGGATTGTCCCAGAGGTCCCAGTTTGTTGATATACGTAGATAATACACTAACTTGGAATGGATCGATAAACCTCACCCAGAAGAGGGCGTAAAGCAGGAGCCACTTCACGTGCAAGTGGAAATATAACTGTTCCTGGCGGGCTGATCCGGATCGACTCCAAACAGGGATCATAACACCTACGGCCTGTCTATGTTCTAACTTTAAATATTCTAGACGCCTGATCCATATCGGTAATCTCATCGTACATCTCTCTGCCAAGTATTAATGCTATCAAGGTTACTTAACCGTTCGATAACGCAGGATATAGTCTTCAAAATTCGGTGCTGACAGCGCAATTCATTCGGTGTTCAGCCATCAGGGTGCATAAGGCTAGATGGGGCTGTGAAAGAAAGTATCAGTACTTCCAATAGTGAATTCCGCTTGGAATAATCGAGCTGGTGAACAATTTGCCGATGCCATTCGCAGCCAATTAATTCAGCCACCTTTGTACATCAAAGTGTATAGCACTTTGCAATCTCTATCAAACTGCTACTATAAACCAGCCCTCCCCCCCACAGAAGCGGCTTGCGCGAAACCGCGGGTGCCAAAACCGGACGCCAGTTTCGGCCCCTCCTGCAGCGAAATCGTGAAGGTGATGCAATTTCTGCATGGCGAGACGACCCCTGGTCTGAATGACGACATCCTGATTTGGATTGCTCGACTGCGGATGATATGTACTTTCCTGTTCCTAGACCAGCGTGTTTGGTGAGCTGCGCGCGCGTCTGGCGCAAAATCAGGTAAGCCGTTGCGTGCTGGTGCAGTAGCCGAGCCTGGACAGCCTAGTCAACTACGTCACTGACGTTGACCGCTGGTCTGATAAGGCGAGGTCCTAGGGGCTGCTGTTCCGTGCATCTCCGTACGGGTGGCATCTCGGGCGAAGCGCGGCAAGTGGCCGCAACCATCGTGTCTGCGGGAGAAAGGAAGGAGAGATGGAAGAAGAAATAACATCAAATGCGTGGAAAATAGACGCGATATAGATGCATATTCTATTTTCCGTGATTTGCCTCCTTGCGCAGCTAAACACATCGATTTGCCACGCCGAGCCGGCTGGGCTGCGCAGAGACAGCCCGCGCTTCGATTCTGGGGGAACGCAAAAGAGGGGCGGCAGGCAACACGCAGCGCAAAGCGATAAAGCGCCCCACCGCGTTCGATAGGCTGAATGCCTGACCCCCAAGTGGAGGGCAGCGTATCCGGATGCAGGTCCACGATACCTCGCGGCCCACCGACTTGTGCGTGCGGATGCGGTACCGACAACAGGCGCCTCGCCTTCCCCGGACGTTTCTGGAGCCTTCTCGGGGCCAGTGCATTGGCTGATGAATCATGCGTGGGGCCGCTTGCCACCAGTTACTCATCGGCGCGGGTAGCAGTGACCTCCTGCTGGGCCAGCTGCACCGCGCTCGGGCTGGTCACTGCGCCTTCTCGCCTTGTTGGGTCACCGCCCCCCTCAGGCTTCCACTTGCCTCCTCCTTGTGTTGTCACTACATAAAGGACCGCCTGCCTGTCAGCACTCGACCTTCTTCTTCTCTCTTTTCCATCCGCAAACCCATCCCATCTTCTGCTCCCTAAGGAACATCCGTTACCAGCGAATCTTCTACTATACCCAACTCCAGCCATTCTACAGCGATTACCGCTTAATCCGCAACCATGCAAATCTTCGTCAAGACCCTCACCGGCAAGACCATCACCCTCGAGGTGGAGTCTTCCGACACCATCGACAATGTGAAGTCCAAGATCCAGGACAAGGAGGGCATTCCTCCTGACCAGCAGCGCTTGATCTTCGCCGGCAAGCAGCTCGAAGATGGCCGGACTCTGTCCGACTACAACATCCAGAAGGAGTCCACCCTTCACTTGGTTCTCCGCCTTCGTGGTGGTATGCAGATTTGTAAGTCAACTTGATTCTTCTCTTCCATGCGGCAACATGGTCTAACATGCCTCTTAGTCGTCAAAACCCTGACCGGCAAGACCATCACTCTTGAGGTCGAGTCATCCGATACCATCGACAACGTCAAGTCCAAGATCCAGGACAAGGAGGGTATCCCTCCTGACCAGCAGCGTCTCATCTTCGCTGGTAAGCAGCTCGAGGACGGCCGGACTCTGTCCGACTACAACATCCAGAAGGAGTCTACTCTCCACTTGGTCCTTCGTCTGCGTGGTGGTATGCAGATCTTCGTCAAGACTTTAACCGGCAAGACAATCACACTGGAGGTGGAGTCATCTGATACCATCGACAATGTCAAATCAAAGATCCAGGACAAGGAGGGTATTCCCCCTGACCAGCAGCGTCTTATCTTTGCTGGTAAGCAGCTGGAAGACGGTCGTACCCTGAGCGACTACAACATCCAGAAGGAGAGCACCCTTCACTTGGTTCTCCGTCTGCGTGGTGGCCAGTAAGGTGTGTCTGCGATGGACAGTATGGTAATGATTGTTTGGAAGATAGGCGTTTAATGGAACTTCACGACAAATATGGGAACTTGACCATTTGGATGGTCGTCAATACTTTATGCCAGCACATTTCTGCGTAGCCAATATCGAGGTGCGCGTCAATACAAGCACTTTCCGTTGAAGAAAAAAAACGGATTTTTCTTGCAATCTTTTGATCTCCATAATGAGCTTTTGTGAAAATTGTATCCTGTCTCGTAGTTAGTCGTAGTTTAGGAGTGATTCACTTTCTCGTCGATTTATATGACGAGGTGGAGTAGATTCTGGGTTATCTCCACCGCCGTAGCCTGCCGCTTATCGCTGGAGTCGCATGGCGTTTTGGCTGCAAATCTCCAACTGAAAGCTTAGCTCTTGCTATTTGACTTTCCAGTCCTACATGTAACTTGCAGCCTCTGCGCTCATGTTTCTGTTTGGTGTCATGCACAGCGACCGAGTACGGACGAATTCTTTCCAAGCTCAGTACCTTTTGCCGCCTTAATAATCCCAGGAGCAGCCTCCAACTCTTGCCACCTCACAGCCCACCATTTTACTCCGTCGACCACGACGTCCGGCTCCTTCACGAACGCACATTCTTATGAATCGGCGCCGGCATCGACAGCTTGGAAATGACTTCTTATTTCTTCCACATTAAATTCGAGCTTTATCCAACCGAAAACCCCGCCGCCGAAGAGAGAGCGCCTGACACAGGCAGCAGCCAAGATATTTGGCTACCCTCGGACGAAGCCAGCATTTTTGATGACCTTCCCGCGCATCCTCGAACTTATCGCTCCGAGGCATACAATATCGAGAGACTAGATACAAATAGACGAAGATCCTTTGGGGCGTCGGCGACTCTGGACCGCATAGCTGTGCTTGGCGCAAACCAGAAGCCGGAAATCGTAGATGGTGGGGTTCCGCGAGCACCGATTCAGAACGGACACAAAACCGAGCCTTTGCCCAAACGACAGACGTCAGAGCGAGCGAACGGTATCTCATCGCCGTCGACTGCCTTGCAGCCGCAGACCACGATCCGAGACTGGCGATTTGGGCGCATAAATATCGAGACTGTAGATCCTAGCTTAATCTACGAGAGGAACATGGCTGGAGAGGGCAGCAAGGCGGCAGCTGCGGCTGGGCCATCAGCTGCGCCGACTCTGGGGCCATCGTTCAGCGGCGCAGGCACAGCCACCAAGGCCGAATTCATCGAATTCGAGGGGAAGAATACCGAAGTTGGATGGGGCATCGTACACTTCTACAAAGAGGGGGAAGAGACACCTGGACTCTACAATGAGGACGTAGAGGAGGAGGAGGCTGGTGATACGCAAGATTGCACCACGCTATGTATCCCTGCTGTTCCTGCTTATATGTCGCCTTCAGACTTTTTGGGATTCTTGGGAGAACGGTGGCAAGGAGATATCAGCCATTGCCGTATGGTTATGACATCACGAATGAGTCGATACCTGGTCTTGCTCAAGTTTCGAGACAGCAAACGGGCGAAACAGTGGAGGCGCGAGTATGATGGCAAGATTTTTAACTCTATGGGGGTAAGTATGAAAATCAATCGATATCGTTTTTGAATGAGTAGCTGGATACTGACGTTGGCAAACAGTCTCAGGCCTGCCATGTGGTGTTTGTGAAGAGCATCACGTTTGAAAGACCAACTCGGACAAGGGGCCGTGACTACTCCATCTCATCTAACCAAGCAGCCGTTTCGAATAGCCTGAAGCCTTTCCCTCCTCCGACTCCAAACCTTGTGGAGCTGCCCACATGTCCCGTCTGTCTGGAGAGAATGGACGAAACGAACGGACTGATGACAGTGCCTTGTTCTCATGTTTTCCACTGCACATGTTTGCAAAGCTGGAAAGGAGCGGGATGCCCGGTTTGCCGATTTACAAACCCTTCGGAAGAGAGCGATCCGTCAAATCCATACAGCCAGTCTTTTGGGGGATCGTCTTCCAACTTATGTAGCGTCTGTGATTGTGTCGATGACCTTTGGATTTGCTTGATTTGTGGTTATGTGGGATGCGGTCGGTACAAGGGGGGTCACGCCAAGGATCACTGGAAAGATACGGCACACTGCTTTGCTTTGGAGCTGGAGACGCAATACGTGTGGGATTATGCCGGCGACATGTGGGTGCATCGCCTCATCCGCGACAAGGGCGATGGTAAAGTTGTCGAGCTTCCGATGAGAAGTAATGACACAGCGAATAGTGAAGGAGAAGAGGATGACGTGGTCCCACGGGCAAAGCTTCAGACAATCGGGCTGGAGTACACTCACTTGATTACAAGTCAACTCGAGTCCCAAAGAGCTTACTATGAGGAAATGATCAACAAAATGGTTGACAAAGCCTCGAGATTTTCCGCCACCGCCGAGAAGGCTGCAGAACAAGCATCTGAAGCCCTGGAGAAATCTAGACATCTGGAACAAAAACTCAATACCCTCACCAAGGAGACCATACCGCAGCTGGAGCGCGATCTCGAGCGAGAGAAGGGCAAGGCCAAGAAGGGCGAAAACCTGGCGAGGAGCCTGGGTCAGGCGCTGCAAGAGGAGAAGCGAATTAATGAAGGCCTAATGAAGCGCATCGAGCATCTCGACGGCGAAGCGGCCACGATGCGCAAGCAAATGGAGGAGCTGAAGACGGAGAATGCGGAGCTAAAGGAGATGAATCGAGATTTGACAATGTTTATTTCTGGCCAAGAGAAACTTAAAGAGATGGAGAATGAGGGAAAGATTGAGGAGGGTGAGCTTGAAGGAGGCACTATGAGTGTTCCGGAGGCAAAGAAGAAGACGAGCAATAGACGGAAAGGGAAGCGGTAGTAAAGTCATGATAGTAAGAGTCATGATTTTACAACGATACCCTACTTGGTTTAGAGGGATTGTATAACTAAATAGCGAATGTACAGTACAGCTTGTCAACATGAAGCAGTTGCTCTTGGATAAATCACACAGCCATGAGGCATGATATCCTTCGTATGCGGAACATGCGTGTAGAGGGATACGAATTATCGATGGCCTAATTAAACAAACCTTTGGGTATATGATGGACATTGTTGGTTGTGAAATGTGTTCTTCATGTAATTGAGCGAGCGCTTATATACGTTGCATACTACTTCCATGAAATGGAGAAAGATTGTCAAAATGATGCTTTGAACTAAGAGGCTTGTTCGAGATATACGATGCCGAATTACACGCGCATGCGCTTAACCTTCTCAAAAGAAGAGAAAAGCATCTGGACAGATTGACTGGAAAAGATTCTCCTCTCAAGATTGCCCGTACCTCCAAGTTTCTATCATTAATGCCTCCCTTTTTCTTACACTCGATTTCTGGCTTTTCTCCTCTTCTATCTACAGCCTTGTAATGGGTGTGTCTTCTCTATTTCCCCCAGCTGGACCCGTATATGTGACAGCCCACTTGCACAAGCAACTGCTTCTTATTAGTCCACTTTCCTAATTTAGAGAGTCGTCTTTGGTACAAGGTCCTCTATCTCATAAGGCTGTGAACACCTTAAGATAGTTATAAAGCCCCAAAGGACATGCACCTACATATTTCAGGTCACTCTCCCCTATAATCACTCCTTTTAGAAAGAATACACCATCGTCAACGGTACATCTATCTATATCCGGATAAATAGGCACTAACATTTATCTTGAACACAGCCAAAGATGGCTTACTGAATAGAGTATTCTTCAGAATAGCCACCCCTTTATCTGCAGTTAGGAGGGTTACAGTCCCCAGACATCCCATCAATAACTCGCAACCATCTTGCCATCTTGGGAGGTTCAGCTGGTTCCTTTCTCAGCAACCAATAACGTCCACGAGTTTTACGGCACTTTTTTCTACACTGTATCAACTACAGTACGAAGTATAGAATCCCACACCATCGACGGGGACTGCGCGGGGCGTGCCGCCTTCTTCGGATGCGGGCCGGTATCGCAAGCCGGCCCAAGCGACGTCATATAATGAGCCCAGAACTTTTTTTTAACATGAAGCCCCCATTTCGGGCATGCTGGGCAGCCATCTTTTTTTTTCCCTTCTCTTTTTTTTTTTTTTTTTTTTTTTTTTTCCTTTTTGGTTTTATTGGAGGGGAGGGGGGGAGCATCATAATGGGATGCATAATGGAAGGATTTTGATGTTCCATTGAGTGAAATAGTTTCCACACCACATAAGCTCTTGGATAGAGAGCATGTACTCCGTGCAAAGAAATGGCGCCTGGCAATGGGCAGAAGTTGGATTACACAACCTATTCAATGGGATTTGCGCAACCCAACTGGCCTTCTGGCTGAAGTCGGAAATCATCTGGTTGGCCAACATGAAGGCTGTTGTTGGCCCTTATCACCGGCACATACGAGCATTATCAAGGCATCACATTTAAAGTAGGATAATCTGCGTTTGGTTACACACTTACACCACTCTCTGTGGAAGGATTTTCTCAACACAAAAGTATCGCTCAAGTAATCAGTTGCTGTTTTCATATTATCTGCAAGTCAGTTCAGTTACACACTCTTTGGTACGAGCATACTGCTTATCACCCCGCTCTCATTACATAGTACATACATAGATACAAAATCTGCACATCATCAACAATCCAAAGCACCGAAGCAATTGGTCAGCCAGTGTGTCTCGCCACGATGCTAGGGTCTTGGCTTTTATCCAGATTGTGTGTGCATCATCTACGTCTTAGTCTTAGTTGACCTCTGACAAGAACAAATAGTCTGGACGCTGTCAGCAGAGTCAGCTTAGATGGGAGAGAAAATTGCCTCAAAAAAAAAAAAAAATAAACTGTCCAAAATACCTACCAGACGGGTGAGTGATGGCAATATTACGCAACTTACCCCCCATATTGTCTAGGTTGTCCGAGTGTCCCGTGGCACTGGAAAGGGCTGTAAGTCAAACTACTGCCTACTATATACCAGCATAGACGTCCATCTTTAATGTTTCGTTTTGCACTTGATCGTGTGTTAGAAAAACATCGGAAGAGGGGCTCTGTAGGCGCTGAAATTCAGTAATCCGATAGATGATGGGATAAGAAGAGAGAACAAAGACGTGCAAGACCTGATAAAACGTCTTTGGTTCTTGGGTCTTACAAGGAGAGTCAACGAAGTGGCATATATTGCTAGCAATTAATGACCAAAATAGCCTCTACGGCACTCTTTCACGATGGCATCGCTCAGACAGACTGTCATCGCCATCTCCAAGTAGTTTCCTGTGACTAGCAGTGTTGGATGTTTCTCCTAAGCTAAGGGCGACGTGCACAGCATCTTCTTGCACTCTATCATCAGCTACTAAAGACCTGTATTTCTAAGCTATAGTAATTCCCCCCGCCGTCATATAAGTGAGGCCGTGAGATTATTTCTAAACTATTATATAAGCATCACAAATCCGAAAAATAGGCAGCATTCAGAGAAACAAGTCGCTTCCATTAGCAAATAAGTCAAAGCTTTTTTTATTCGTGGCATGCCCAGCCATCGCACCCAACTGCCTAACTGGTCAAGGCACCATGTGTCAAATCATCCCACTCCATCCAAGGCCAGGTCGGAAAGCCGTAGCCCAAGGCGCCTAATACCATGCATGTTCGCTCTATGCTGCATAACCACTCTCCGTCTGTAAATTCCATAATACCACATCGTGCAACATTGTGATCCCATAACGAACATAAATTGAGAGTTTCCGTCTCTCCGTTTCAAAAGCAAACAAAAATCAAATCGCAAATCCCCGCAATAAAAAATAAGTGTAGTTGAGCTGCCCAAGATAGAAAAACAAAACCAAAAGCCAAAAGATAGATATAGTTGGGGGGAGAGATGTGTAGATAGGATGAAAAGAGAGGTCTTCTTCTTCAAGTCATACATTCGTGGAAGAAAGTCATATCAGGCTCGTAAGACATTCCGCAATAACGTCGTGGTGCATGGCGGCGGTCAACCTATGAAGAGAATAGAAACGCTAAGGTGAAGTAGATCGCGAGCTCATAAGTCGTTCTCAAAGATTTATGCAGAGAGAATCTTTATCACAACGCCGTCGCTGAATGACCGTATAAAAATCATGTAAAGGAAAGTCGTGAAGAAATTGATGATGGCTGGCCCACCTGGCTGAACCGGCCCCATTACAATAAAAAAAGAAAAAGAAAATAGGAAGCCAAAAAAGAAACAGATTAGAAAAGAGCCGCTCTACTGGTTTAGTTAGCCCGAATAACAAGCTTTGACAGGAACTTGTTTGAAAGCGAATCGAAGTCATAGCGATCAAACTTGGCCTCTCTTCGGGTTCGCAGGTAGGCCTCTGCAGAAAACGGTTAGCATAGTTCCACCCTAGTGGTGTGTTTGGTGGTGCGCAGATGTACGCAAACTTACCATGCTTGATGACATGCTGTCGTACTTCGGTCATGGCATCACAGACCGCAACATTGTTGTGAAGCAGGTGGCCGTGCTGACGGGTGTCCCAGTCGGTGAAGGCGGGAAGCTTCTGAGAGATGGCGTGGAAGAGACCCACAATAACGCCAACAGGGGTGGTTTCCATGTCGTTGCAGAACTTGTTCACCGCCACAGGGTCAGGGACGCGGTAGTGGCAGTCGAACTGCATCTCTTCCCACACGGCGAGGAGGATGGAGGCCAAGAGGAAGATGGTAGGCCAGTTCTTCATCTTCTCGCCGCTGTAGACACCAGAGTACAAGGCAGAGAGCTCTTCCAGGATGTCCCTCTGGAGCTCGCGCCACATGTCAGCCAGGGCACACTTAATCTGGAAGTTGATCATGACAGGCGCAACGGTACGGCCGTAGTACTTGGAGTCCTCGTCGTCGATCTGGCCGTCAAGGGGCATCTCAGATCCCTGGCTCTCAACCATGGTGATGTGCATAGTCAAGTTGTAGGCAAGGACCAACTTAAGGGCCTTTCGGATGACGGGCATCTTCTCCTTGACGTAGTAGCGGTGGGCAGTCTTGAGGATCTCAGTGATGAAGGGAGTGCCCTCAAAGTGGTCATCAATGAAGTCTTCAAAGGGACCTTCAATGTGCTTGTCCAGGTACTCAGAAAGAGCATCAAGGCGGATTCCCTCGGCACCGACGTCGAGCTTCTCGGTGCGGGTCTCAAAGTCGATCGTGTCGTTAGTAGCGACATACGACTCGACCCACTCAACGGAGAAGCAGCTGTCATCAGCAACGAAGACCTCGCGAACCATGACGGGCAGGGCAAAGCCGTAGCCGTGGGTGATCCACATGAGGGTTTCCTTTTGAGCAAAGCCCTTGACATTGTAGACAGACACTCCACGGTCCATGTGCCTCTCATAGTCAGCCTTCCAGTCCTTCATGAAGTAACCAATGTCCTTGATGTCAATTCGCGTGCAGGGAACCTGCCAGAGGCGAGCGTGAGACGGCTGGCATCCAGCACAAGGCTCTCCCTTATCGCAAGTCTTCTTAAGGAATTTGCATCGCAGGCAAGCGCGCAGCTTTCTTATCTCGCTGGCTTGCTTTCGCTGCTCTGGCAAAAGAGGACCCTTTCTGCGGCCCACCTTCTTCTCGGTATTTCCGTCTTTCTTTCCGTTGGAAATACGTCTAACAACTGGCTTGGGAGCTTTGGCAATTGGGCTCTTGCGAATACCCGTGCTCCTCCTTGAAGTTGTGCTAGATGAAGAGGGAGACACTGAGCCTGCTCCACTGCCAGGGCTATGACGGACGGAAGCCTCGGCCTTGATGGGAACTGGGGCAACTGCCGCCACAGGGCTGTGGTGGTGGTGATGGTGGTGGTGGTGGCCGTCATGGCCATGATGATGGCCATCAGCAGAATAGCAATTTCGATGGTCGGTGTGGCCATCGGAATCTGCTGAGTAGGGTGAGGGGAAAGACTGGACTTCCTCAAAGTTGCTCAGTTCATTCGAGTGGCCACCGTCAGAAGAACCAGAGTTGGTTCTCAAGTGCAGGGTCTGCGATGGGTTGAAGATGGCAGCACTCGGAGTAGGTTGAAACAGCTCATGACCAGGATTTCCCCAGTCTACCACTGCCCATCCATCGCCAGAGGAGGAGGATGGCAGTGAAAGAACCTCAAGATAGGTTCCGGTGGGGGAATTGCTGCCAACAGTCTGCAATCCGTCTAGCTGCAGAGTGTTTTGAAAGTCCTGCCAATTTCCCATCCCTGCGCCTCCCCAGTGCATTGCGTGTGCGGTATCATCCAGAGGAGGCATCGAGCTAAACGGTGATTCTAGCAAATGGGTCTGCATGGCAGCCTGTGTGGTCGGCGGTAGGTAGTCGATAGGATTTGGCTGGTAGCTCGGGTACGCATTGTAATTCACCAGCGTGGATTCCTGGATATAGTGTGACATGTCATGGCCGGCCAAAGCCTGGTGGTGCTGAGCAGCCTGTTGCTGGTGGTGGTGAAGAGCCCAGTCGGTCAGAGGGTTCGTCGCTTGCTGGTAAGGCGAGTGCTGGACCGGCGAAGGGTGGCTGTGAGGGCTGGATATGTGCGAGAGAGGCGAGTTTGGGTGATATTCCTCCGGAGAGCTGCCTCGAGCTCCCTGGGGAGAGTTGATGGCGCTGCCGGCGTTCATGTCGACGGGTAGCGGCCAGGAGCCTATTGCCGCGACGAGATGAGATGATGGCCCTGGACTCGAGTGAGCTGTGGTGGTTGTAGAATAGGTGTAGGCAGCTGCCCGGTCCCGCTGTTGCTGTTCAAAGGTCAAATCGAGTAAGGCATCGCCCCCGCCGTTGACATTGAAGTCGAGGGTCATTCTGGGGGAGAGAAGAGAAGAACAATCAAGCGATATGCCTGGATGCGAGCAAAGGCCGTATTGTATGAAGCTGAGCCGATGACACCGCTCTTTCGTGGTGTTCGTCAGAGGCCAGCAGTACTCGGAGGCGTCTGAGGGATGATCGGGATTACGGCGGGGAGGGCGAGTTGGAAAAGGGAAGAGGAGAAGGGCAGCGTCCGGGGTTGAAGGAGGAAACGGTTTGCTGCAGGCCAGCTGGACGGCGCGCCGGGACGCTTTTCTGGGTGCCTAGAGGAGTCGGAACTGCGCTGGACTGCACTGTATACTGACTGCACTGCACTGCCAGCCAGCCGGTTGGTCGGTTGGTTGGTTGCTAATAGCGGTTCGCCGTGGATGGGAGGAGAGCAGAGCAGAGAGCAGAGCGCGCGAGGTTGGAGCAGCATTGAGAGTTTGTGGGTGGTCGGCGGGTGGGCATGATTTGGAGGCATCGCGAGCGGGGGTCCAAAGAGGCGGTGAGCTGGTGCCGCCAGCCAATGGGCGGCGCCAAGGCACATCTGCAGCTGCAGGCCGGTGGAGCTGCCGGCCGGCGATCCAGCGAGGGCCACAGCGAGGGCCACAGGGAGCCACAGAGGGGCACAGAAGGGCCACGGCGAGTACAGGGCGCCATGGCAGCGCCCAATCGGAGTCAACAATGCACTGTGTCGCCGGCCCAGGAGGACAGTATGACTTGACGAGCTGGCAAATGGCGCCACCAGTTTCACCCACATTCCACTGCGACGTAGCCGAGCTGGCACTGTGCGTTGCTGGCAGGGCCCCTCACCCAGCACAGTACTGCACCTACTTGCACGTATCGGCAGAGAGGGGCAGCATCGGGGCAGAGAAGCCACGCCGCGCGGGTGAGCAGGAGGATGGATTCCATTTCGAAGGGTCCAGTATTGCTGCAGTAAACTAGCAGAGTGGTGCGAAGTACATGCATACTTGCATGTATACGGAGCGCTGCTAGGCTGGTAGTGCTATCGATATACCTTGCTAGCAAGCGGGCACTGCTCTGCTCTGCTCTGCACTTATCGTCGACCAGGGCAAGGCCGCGATGCTTGCAGGCGTTTACACGCTGCTGCCAATGCTAAACTTGCACAGGCAAATGGGTGCGGGCATGTGCTCACCACTGCTCGCCTACTGTACCAGAAACCTCAATGCCTGATTAGTGCCTCCAGCGTGCAGCTCTGCTAGGCTAACCTAATCTAGCGGAGATCCCGTCCCCTTGGCCAAACTGACTAGCAGTGTTACTATTGACGCGAGAACGCCCATCGCAGCGAAACCATCGCCAGCAGAAGCGCCGCAGTAGCATCGTTTTGGCTGCGCAGTAACGGAGCGAAGTCCGGCATCATGACTCTCCAACAGTGTGCCAATGCCGTCATCCAGTGGCGTTTCATCCCGGACGGCCTTGCCTTTCCTGCGTCTGCCAGATCTGGGCTGCCACGTCTGTCACCAAATACGAATAAACGCCTCATACTGGCTCCGTACGATACGTGCTTGCGCATGCGGCTGCTACTTCAGACCTACCATCTGTACATACAGCACATCATCGTATGCTACTGCTAGTACTACCTTAATGCTGCCCCGTAGTCAAGCTACAGTAAGTACTACACGATTCGCGCAGGCCACATCAGCCCTGGTATCCTCTCCACCAAGCACTCCCTTGTCAAGGTCCCATCGCAGCAAGGGTCTATCGGAAGACCAAGAGAAAAAAAAAAATGCGAAAAAAAAACAAGGGAAAGGCAAAACAAGTGGGTACGAAACGGCGTCGCTGGGCTTCGTAGCAGATTCGTTCAGATTTCCAAACAGGGCAGTCCCCCAACGTGTAAGTCTGCAGTATACGCGCCCATGATACTAACATTCTGGTGCACGGAAATCCAATCGTCTCTGGCTGCCATGAATCAACTCCAACTTGAGCCTGAGAAATCAAGAACCAGCGCCCCTCCCTCTATCAAGACGGTGGCCTGCTATCCTGGTGACTGCCCCGTTCGTCCCCAGAGTCCCGGGATCCCCTCGTATACACATGCCAGCATGTTACTCGTTGGCTGCCCGCCGCTGATGCATTGCCTGGACGGCAAAGGAGCGATGCGCTGTCATTTTGTGGCGTGCACACAGCAGCAGCTAAGATTCCAGCTAAACCCTTATCACCGACCATGGCCGTTCTGCCAGGGAATCCGCCAATAACCTGGGGTTTTCAATCTGTGCCTGTAGCTTTGGGGTAGTAGTGGCTGGATGTGTTGGACTGCTCCTACAAGCACTTTCCGGATGTTTTTCATGCCTTTTGGCTTTTAACAGTACAGCCTCAGTTAGGCATCATTATGATTGAATCGACTCTGCAAAGCACGGCAATCCGGTATGCTGCTTGTGCGTTTGTGCTGAGACATCGGCCCTGTCATACTGTCCCATGCACAATCCTGGGCACAGAAGACATCCAGCCCAATCCATTTGCTCTTCCCAGCCTCAGGTTCGCGTCCCATGCCCGTCCAAGGTAAGTCAACAATGCTCGGGCTGGGAGCAAAGTGAACCCGAGACATACAGGTGCCTCCTACGACGAGGCTTGCAGGAATGATGTGCGCCCAGGCGGAATACAGCTAGATCGGTCTTCACCTATACTTTTGCGATCGATCATCATTAAGATATGCATGCGGGTGTCCCATGTGCTGGATCTCTGTTGCTGCATCAGGTTAACCATCTGGTGGGCATTGCACAAGAGTAGACACTCGGGATTTAAAAGGTAAGGTGGTATTGGTGTATTCGCCTTCGGATAGATACCGTCCTCCCCGTCGTCTCATAGCTTGACGATATACAGGCAGCAGGCTTATTCCACCGAGCATATGCAGAGTGCTGCCAATGGAGAAAAAAAAAATTGCCGGTTTGCTTACCTCGGTGATGGCCGAGTCGAGTCGAGGCAAGCAGATCCGGCCAGCATCGTCTCAATAAGCCTCCATCATCACGATACGTACGGAGCAGGTGATGAGCGCAGACGCCACCCATTTGCCTCGTATTGCTACTAACTTAAAATATCCTTGATTTGCTGAGCGATGAACAGCTGCCATCTGTTAGCCTCAGCACCATCTAAGCTGGAGCTGGAGCTTCTGGGTCCGCTAACCGACAAGATTTAACACTCCGTGACGCCGTTGCCGATAGTGCGGGCACCCCAGATGAGAGAGGATGCTGTTCTATAGTGGTACCGTAGCAGTCAATCATGCGCTCTCATGGCTCCGGAAGAACAGCTACTTTGCTGCTTGTCAATTCTCGCCTGACTTTGCCAACAGATTCCTTGCTCCTCTCCCTCGCCACGGAACTGCCGCCAATGCTCCGCTGCCCAACCGCCGCGGGTCCCCTGCCACGGCATTGCACGATGGTCGTTTGCCCTGCCTCTTTCCTCTTAGCTGCAGCGCTTTTTCAAACACGCTCAGTTTGGCCAGACTGAACCGCACGATCTATTTTCTGAATCCTGGCGATGCTATGCTAGCAAGAGCAAGGCCCCCCCAGGAGACCCATCGCCAGCCACCCGAGAATCAAAGTCTAGAGGGTCAGAGCGCCACGCACCATCTTCGCCCTTGACATTGAGCAGAAATGCCTGAGCCGGACGCAGTGATGCTGCTAATAAACGACCCAACAGGCAAACGGTCTTGCTTGAGAGGCAGTGAACGTGTCCCAGCCTAACCCCGCCTCAGGCTTTTTTGGCCTGCTGATGTTGCATTCTGCCCTCGCCTGTCTGAGACAAAAGATCACATTACCCACTTTGTAGATCTGGGCGGAAGAGAAGAAGAAGGCGAAGAAGATGCCCGCTCCGAGCCGAGGGCGTGCTGCATAGCCGATGGCAGTGGTCTGGCGGCTCGTGATACAGTAGTATTATAATCAGTACAGTACCAATAATAGTAAGAAGTAGTCCTCTCAGCCCAACATACAGCATCGTCACCAATAAAACAAAGATGCTCGGCTGATTCTATCCAATCAAGCTCGTTTACCCGCATTGACATGTTACAGTATTAGTAAAGAGACCGTTTCCTGTCGTATCCGAGCTGGAAGCAGGTATTAGACTATAAAGTGAAGATTTTCTTTAACAGGGGTCCTTGTTGCGTGTCAGCTCCCTAAGCCAATGGACATGCCATTGCAATCGGAGTATCCAATTCTGATTTCGGTTTCTTGTTCGACCCATGACGTTCTCATAAGCTTTACTGCCTGGAAACAAAACGTCAATGCCATCTGCCAAGCCCCTACATTTTGCCTTTTTAAGCTTGCATGATGTGTTCTAGGGTCAAATGCCGGCGCAAAAAAAAAAAAATATGTGAATCCTCCCTCGCCGGACACATCATCTCCTGAGCAACCATTTGCCTATTCTTTGGCATTGAAAATAATTCTCGAGATTTAGCCGGCACAAAGAAAGCTCCGCAAAATGCCATGACTCGAGGCGGGCTGCCATCCCGTCTTCCAAGCGAGTGGTAGCAGTATTATCGTGCGACTCGGCAAAGCAACCTACTTCATTATCTCATCATACACAGTAGAATAAAATAGTAATCCGGATACATCCGAGTTCACGATTTATGCTGCCTTAAATGTGGCGAGATGGTAATCAGCTCGTCGGCTAAAGATGGGCTGACTGACAAGGTTTCATCTCATGAAGGTATGTATTTGCGGTTGAGTGTCATCGGCACAAAGTTGGAATCTTGCATCGTTCGTTTAGTGGTGGCTGCCGATGAATAACAACAAGGAGTGGCTATCATAATCACTCTAGTTTCACAATTGTCTAGCTATCAATAGCCAAGCCCTAGTTGTCAACTTCTTGGTGTAGCAAGGCATAAAATCATCCTTGTAATCGTCAGGAATTTGGCTGTCACCGAGCCAAGAAAACAGCACAGGCCCAATAGGGCGGTCGTTTCACCCCCAGTATCGGCTCAAGGATAATAGCGTCACTATTTGAAACAGAGACATTTGCCGACACTTGTCTTAGAATAAAGTGAACAAGGAAGTGCTGCAACCTGATAGAATATCCCTAGAAATTATGCTGAATCACTCAGTCTGTTGAAAAGAGACGCTTTAGGTGGTGAAGACACGAGGCTAGCTTGAAGTTGTATGTAAAACAACTCAAGCACAATTTCATTCAATTGCTATTCAAAAATCGTCACTAATAATAGACTTGAAAACAAGAAGCCACGCGGCGTGTAAAGTTGGTCTTTTCGAACTAGACAATCTGAGGACTTGTTAGTGACAGTGATCATGGCGCAACTGACAGGTCTGCATATATTGATACTTGGCTTCTTTCAGTGACCCTCAACAGTATTACTGCTACGATTGTTTTTCCAAAAGATCTGGAATTCCTCTTGAATATCTGCACCTAGCAAGATTTATACGGTTTTACTGATGTTCCATGCTGATACAGGACTAGAGAGTGGGCGTTGAGGGGGAACTGAGCACTAAAATTGATAGCCGGGATATTGCCGGGAACAATACTGCCGCCACAACTTCCAGCTTCTATTGTTCTGTTACGGCCTGACGTTAGGTTAAGCTGTTTGTTTGTTTGTTAATAGCTCACAGCGCCAGCAAGGTGGGAAGATGAGCGGGGTTGGCATATGCTCTCGTGGCTAAAAGGGATGACAAGTCTCTGAGTCCACAACATGAAATCTCGACGCTCTCGAGTAATCTTCAAGCATCAACTGAGAAAAATGGCTGCAAGCGTGGAACAACAACAGCAACAACAGGCAGGCCCGGCGGCTCCTGGCGCACAGCAAGGCGCATCCATCCCAAGCCTCTTCATGTTTCCTCCTATGATTCGCGATGCGCTGGAGACGGACTCGTCCAACGTCCAGGATGACACGGTCGATGAGGTTCTGCCCTTCTTAACTGGCAAAGAACACAGCCAGCTCAACGCCCATGGCATCCCTCGTCTGGACAAGGAGCGACATGTCAGGTTCGTGAAAAAGCAGCTAGGAGTGTTACCGAGCATGTACGTTGGAGCGGATCCCAGCAGGCCGTGGATATTCTATTGGTGCCTGAATGCCCTGTCTCTCCTCGGTGAGGACCTCGAGCCTTATCGCGCCAGGCTTATTGAGACAGTGCGCCCTATACAAAATAAAACGGGCGGGTTTGGAGGGGGTTTTGGCCAGTCATCGCATCTTGCCACCACCTATGCGATCGTTCTCTCGCTAGCATTGGTTGGCGGAGACGAGGCATTCGAAGTGGTCGACAGGAGAAGCATGTGGAAGTGGTTGTGCCAGCTCAAGCAGGAAGATGGTGGGTTCCAGATGGCTGTCGGAGGCGAAGAAGATGTGAGGTATGTCTCTGATCGTCGTCCACGTCGTGGTACCGTACCTTGACTAATGTCTCACTTAGGGGGGCCTACTGTGCATCCGTTGTGATTTCTCTGCTCAACTTGCCCTTGGATTTATCATCCGACTCTCCTGCATATGCTGCCGGCCACACAAGTCTCCTGAGTGGCCTGGGTGAATGGGTGCGGCTGTGTAAGTTGTCCCTTTTTCCTTAATGTATTCCGGCCTTGATGTCTAAATTGCCACTCTGCTAAACGGAAAATTCAGGCCAAACGTACGAGGGAGGCGTGTCAGCCAACCACGGGGTCGAGGCGCATGGCGCATATGCCTTCTGCGCTCTAGGATGCCTCTCAATTATTGATTCCCCACACCGAAGCATTAGACGGTAAGTCTCAATCTAGGGTATCGTCCATTGGCGCGGCGCCATGGGAGCTTTGCATTCTGACTCTTTTCCTGGCATGATAGGTACATGGATGTACCACGACTTATCTCTTGGCTCTCATCTCGCCAGTATGCTCCAGAAGGTGGCTTTTCAGGCCGCACGAACAAGCTTGTCGATGGCTGTTATAGCCACTGGGTTGGTGGGTGTTGGCCCCTGATTGAGGCCAGTCTGAGCGGGCCTGAGGGGCCGACAGCTGGCCCTGCAGGTCGCCCGTTGGAAGACACAGATGTAGACGACAGCTTGTTCAGCCGAAATGGGTTGATTCGTTACATCCTCTGCTGTTGTCAAGACATGTCTAAGAGGGGTGGCATGAGGGACAAGCCCAGCAAGTGGGTGCTCTCAATCAGGACCAAATCTGCAGAGCAATCGTGCTAATGCTGTTTCATAGGTATTCCGACGCGTACCACACTTGTTACGTTCTATCTGGCCTCAGCTCCGCACAGAACAAGTGGCGTTTAGTTGCCTCTCGAGCCGATGAGACCCTTCTCGGAGACGACCTTTGGGAGGTGCTGCCTCATACAAAGGGAGAGCAAATATTTGATGAGGATGACCGGATCGGAACGATTCATCCCGTCTATGCAATCCCCCAGCATAGAGTTGACGCGATTCGAAGTTACTTCTCGTCGAAAGAGGGTTTCTAACTGCGAACAGGCAGCCAATGTCTCCCGTTAGAAGTGGCCATTAGGTTCCATGCAGTGCTTATCCCTTCTAGCGGAGTAAAGCAAAAGCACTAACCGGTTGCTTGCCCAGTGATTTATCCTCCATCGGCTAGCACAGAGAAAAGGGAGAATCGTTGCGCACAATGATACGGGTTCAACCTTTCACTATGATCACGTGTACCCCGGGGGGTAGATAGGCGCTGTCTGCGATCTTTCATCGATAGACGTCGAGACGCTTTGAGATGGCAAAAGAGCGGGTCTAGCAATGCCGCCGATAGTACCTAGCAGCGGCAGTAGTACTATCCGATCCCCCCATGGACGGGACTGTAGGCAAGGTTTTCATGGCCGATCCGACCACTTGGCCGAAGAACGATGGAGTCCGCCACCGCTTGGCTGGTTTTTTCGCGTTGACAGCTCACCAGCTGCCAGGATTCTAAACAAGAAAGCAATGTACATCAAGTCGTTTAGAGCATATCAACAAGCCATTTGTGGCTATCATCACAGCAACTCGCTTCAAATGGAAGGAACCACGATCTTCCCGCACACGTGAAAAGTGACAAAGTTGGCATTTGAATGCTGTAGCTCGGGCTTATTCCTTCGCGAAGCAGGCTGCCTAGGGGTGGTTATGCCGAAAGAAGCACGGCATACGGTGGAAGGCTCCTTGTTGGGATGGCCCTGCATTGCATGTACGGAGTACTCCGTACTACCTAGTCCAATTCCCCACACAACTTCATCCGCCAACATAATGCCAAGTCGCTGAGCTGCTGTGAGGGAAGCAAGCTCTATCTTTTACTGCACCTGTGCAACGCACTCAGACGCTGTTTCGCTCATACCAAGTATATTGTGAAGATTACACAGCACTGAGGTAACTGTCCTTCCTTTTGTCGCATACGTGGATGTCATCCCAATACTACCTGTGTGCCTCTTGCCGCGTACAGATTCTGGAGAGCACTAGTTGAAGCATGTCTCGGGTGAAAGCTCATGGGAGGGGCACCACACCGCATTCGCTGGGCCTGCACATCATCGCTGGGTCAAGGGTGGGTTACTGCTATCGAGAGCTGATGTTTTTGGAATAGATTCTCGTTTAATGGATGCGCGATACGTACTTGTAATACATGCCACCGGATGTGTCCGCCAGCAGTCTGTATGAGTGTTGTACCTCTCCTCCTCACAACACCAAGAGTCGCCATCTCCAATAAAAGTCCTTCGTAATAAACAATCCCTTTACTAGACTGAAGCCACAACTTACTCTTACAGTTCTATCTTATGAATCAATAGAAAACAGAGAATTCATTCATGAAACATGGGCTAAATCCATCGGCTGCTGCGGCGTTACCTTGAGCCCCGAGAGGATTCAATGCTTCAGGAAACGTCGCCTTTGATCATCAATCATTACGCCGTACATATGCACTTTTTTTTTTAATGTAAGAGGAGTTAATGAATGATTTTCCTCTTCTTCTTTCGCAAAATGGCACAGCCCTGACGCACACGCCCCCTCCGCTTATAGGGCCGCATATCATGCGGCCGCCTTACATGGACAGACAGCCTGCTTTGTTCCGTACACTTGCACAAATTGACTCTCTTACAACTGCATAGAGAGGTTGAATTACCTTGTTGTATGCATGACGAGTCAGAGAGTGAGAAGAGGGGGATGCAGTTTATCTCTCTCTTTTTCTCTGCCCTAAGGCAGTGGCCAAAGAAAGGACAGTTATGAGCAAGATCGCCGCAACGCCTTGAACTTGCTGGTATGATATAGAGAATTGGAAACTGGTTTCTCTCATCCCGCAGGTACAAGGACGTCTTTTCCGTATCTGATCTGCCTACAGAGTACGCGAATATGTGCTCTCGACCTCTACCGACGAATTGCAACCATCCATTCAGGTGGAAGGCTTACACACATCCCATCGTTCGCCCGCCACCGAGGGACCGGGATTGGATAAAACTCATGAGTGGGCAGCTGCATGATGTGGATCGCAGAAGTTTTTTTTTTCCTCCTCTTTGCCACAGAGCGTCTCTTGAGACTTTCTCCCCCTTCATCTTATTTCCCGCCTTTGGTCTGGCGCTGCAGGGACCTTCTCCCACGATTGCCCGGCCTGATGGGCACGCACTGCATAGGGGGTTACACAAAACGCACGTCTGGAAGGGCGCTTATGGCCCCCAGGCCTGTTGAAAAGTGCAGCGTCCTTTATGAGCCTGGCGCCCGCCGGCATGCGTTGGAGTCTGATGTCCTTGGAGGTGTCAAGGCATACGTTGCGCTACATGGTGCCAAAGACCCAGCTGTCGTCTATACTGCTACAGTCGTAGTACACAAGTACTTGCGAGGCTGCAGCGAGTGGCGTGAGGCCGTGTTAATGGCTCATTCGCCTAGTACAGGTATTAGGTACCTTGCTGTCTGGTTTCCGATAGGCCAGGTCCGGCGATTGCTCCCAGAGGGCAGGAGCTAGCCCTGCTTCCGGGGGGGGGGGGGGGGGGGCTTTTTGACGTAGAAGGTATGGGCCAAGTATTGTGTACCTGGCAAGATCGCTGGAATGTAAAAACTGTTTCTTGACCTAAACAACGTGCAACCTTGCCTCTGTCATGTCGTCTCGCTATCCACGAAGCGTGGCCGGTTTGCGCGAGGCGTGTGCAGCTGCATCCAATTAACCATGTCGAAGCGCAGTGGACGCAATGGCCAGGCTAATGAGAAGCAATATGACGGCTCAGAGCGTCCAGAACAATAGCGTCACCGCTTCAGAGATGGCGAGTCCTCCATCGAGTGCCATTCTTCCTTGACCTTGACAGGGACACTGACAGCACGCGTTCACCATCATGACCTAGCCTCGTCGATCGTCCAAGGACCCTATTGCTTCGTATCTCTCTGTCTCCTCACGGCCGCGCCCAGGTTGCTGGGACCAGCGGCCAGTTCCGATTCGGCCGCCATGGGCCTGTCAGAAGCCCATGGATGCAGCATGACACTAACGAGCGTTTTTTTCCACCCAAAGACCAGCTATGCAGTGGCCCCGAGTAGCGCTGCGGACCAAGGGACTTTGTTGCTGTCTTTTTCTATCTTCGCCTGGCAATTTAGCTAGCGAAACCTTAGGCAAGCGATGAGTGGTGTTTCGGTCGCAGGAGCTGTCCAATTGTCGAATCACAAGCTTCGCTGACAATCCGCCGACGAGCTATGTTTGTGCTAGGCCCAAGCAGCCGGCCCCCCTTTTGCTCATCTGTTATGCTTTTTTTAGCATCCATCACACATATCACAGTGTATTTCGGAGTTTCGCAGCAGAGGTAACGGATATTTACCCCAGACCAAAGCGTCATCCAGCGTGGGTGGCCTTCTCCTCCTTGTGGTTCCCTCCTTGTGGTTCCTGGGTGATGAAGAACGAGTGCATTGTACAGGGCTTCCATCATCAATGGCTAAACAGCTCAAGAGAAATGATGCCGATGGTGGCCCCCCGGTCTCGGTATTACTCCTGCTATACTCACGCCATATGTCCAATCGTTCCTATGCTGCTGCTACTGCTGCTAGCACTTCCTCTACCGGCCGTTCTTTCATCCATCCACTGCTCTGAATAGTGTACAAGTAAGAGCTCTGCGTCAGAGCTCGGACCCCCGCGCATATGAGGATTTTACTGAGGGTGTCGCTGTTGATGTACTACAGGTATGGCACAGAGCTCGGCATAACTACAGGCGTGCAAACCACGGAGCACGAGTACTTGTACATGGCAGCAGCTGCTTCGACGAACCGTTCGCTGCGTGTGTTTACTTTAATATCAACCGGCGGCACTGCCAGCTCATCGTTGCATGCGGCCTTTAATAAACCCCCCCCTCACGAAGACACTTAAAGAGGGTCAAAGGGTCCGAGGGCGTCTGCCTCTGGCTGCCTTGCGCCCCCCTCTTCGCAGATCTGGCCAATCAATCGGGTCACCTTCACCGTAATTGTCACGATTGTTCTCCGTTCAAGTCTGGAACCATGTGTGCGGCAGCGACACACTGTGTGCGCGCTTGCAAGTTGAGGGAAGCATACCTGTAGCAGGAGAATTCGTCCGAGGCCTCATGTCCAATGTATATGTGAGCAATAGTATGTTACAGCTCGACAGACGCTGGACGATTCTCTCAGAAACCAGGATCACCTTGTGTCCGTCTGGTCTTGGCCCACTATTCGCCAGCCAAACTACTGCGACGCTAAAGAGATTAGACCCTTTGTAATGACTTGAGCAGGATGGAGCATGGAGTATGATTATCACTTCAAACTCTACGATTTTGGTCTGCTCACTTTCATGCAAGTGGTTACAGGTTTCGCGCCTCTTCACCGACGTCTGGAGCACCGAGGAGACTATTCCCTTTGTGCCTTGGCTTGCACATTCCGGGCAGGTGTAGCCCTCTAGCAAGTCTCTTCTCGCTGAGGCGTATACCGGATATACCCAGTTATTGTTGAGCAGAGAGTGCTGTTAATATCGCCCTAGTGCCAATTGGCTCTCTGGCCGAGAGGGATATGAAACACGAGGAAAACAAGAGAGAAAAGAAAGTGCGCCTTACGTATGTGTGACGGTTCATCGTCACTTATGAGGCCTACTCATCAAACCGGCGATCGAAGCCACCGCCGGCTAACCTGGAGTGAACCAGTCCAACCAAACGACAGCAAGCTGACCACCAATTCCCAGGGTTATGAGCACAATTGAAGGTGTCTATATGCGCCAAGCAGCGTGCATGTGTTCCATGCGTACACTTGTTCCATGCATGCAATGGTGCAATGGAAACGTTGAACCTGCTACTTTGGATATTAGCTGTAGAGCAACTTCATGTTACTGATCATGGTGTATTTTATACGCAAGGCTCCTACGGTACACAGATATATGCACAAGGAGATATCTGTGGGATTCTGCTGTGCATTAGCGGCCGCTATGCCATAGATCTCGGAGGGTTATATTGGGTGATGGTGGCTACCAAGATACAATTCTCTCAACCTCACGCATTGTGTAGTTCACCTCACCACATATCACTAATTGCTCTGCCATGGATACGTGGGATAAGTTGATATTTCTGCAGTCGTGCCCAGGAGATCGTCGAAAACCACACCGGCCGGACCAGCTTCGCTCACTTTGTGTATTTTTGCCACCACTTTGTTGGCCAAACTGATGACGAACTGCACGAGGGGCATGCCCTTGCCGTTGATGATTTTTGGCCGCCGATTGATTAATCGTTCGTGCGACCTCAACTGAACATGGTCGAAGCGCCAAACATGGGTAGACCCCGCTGGAGACAGGGGATTGGGCGCCTACAGACGCGACCCTTCCGGCGGCCAAAACGGCCGACATAGGGAGATAGCTGCAGCAGAGAGAAGAAGACGAGGACGCCTCCAGAAGCCAGGAAGCTATGCTAATAGGGACAAACGGCCTGGGCTGGCTCCAGGTAGGTGGACGGAGCCCTTACAAAAAACCCAGGCCAGAACGGCCGAATGCTGGCGCTGGGTCCCTAGCTTATGGCATACCTTACCACTTGCCTCCCTAGCACCTCCATCTCCATCCTCCGTCCATGCTACGACTCGTCGGTACCGCTGGGGCGAAACTTATTTCAGATGGGGAGACGGCCATTTACAGTAATGGTTAGGCGGTGCGTCTCTCTGCCACCGAAGTGTACATTTGTGGTGGAGCGGCCTAGTCCCCAGCGGTTTGCAAAAACAACTGGCGATGGGAGCTGCCAACACATCAGCGATGGGGTCACACTTTTTCCAAGAGCCGCATCGCCGCTCACATCAACGTCCATTCGCGCGTTTCGCTCTCTCCAGACACCCCTCGGCCCCGCGCTAGCAACGAGGTTTACGATGAAGCCCACATGTCTCGCCAAAAGACCGGCTCATGCTCCTTTGCGACAGGGCCCTTGGCCCTGCGTGGTAACGAGGCATCAGGACATGCATACATGCCTATAGTAGCAGTGGTAGCCATTACAGACTACGGTACATGCATCCAGACCAGACAGACAACCTACATAGTACATATGCATGGCCATATGCCAGTACACACATCCTCGCGGGCATATTGCACATCTGCTCACCCTTGTGGCCTCCCCCATGCCAGCTTCCGACCAGGACAGCCTACATACAACATACACGCATCCAGACGCAGATTCTCACGTCCCGCGTATGGGTACACGCGCGCGCATACATCCCTCGCCGCTGGATCTTGTCTACCGCCGCAGCTGCTACCGGAGCGGTGCACCTGGCCTCCGTCTCGGCCGTCCTCGTGCTCCACCCTGGACTTTGGCCAGCTTCTGTTCTTGAACTTGTTTCGTTTCCGCTGCCTCCTCCGCCGAGCCCGCGCTGTCTACTTTAATTTGTTCTTAATCCCCTTCGTCTCCCTCTCGCTTTCTGTTGGGACCTCATCACCCTAGATCTTGCCTTGGTTACACCTTGCCTTGCTTTTAAGCTTTTCTCGTCTTTCTCCTCTCAGAGGTTGCCACACAAAACCATACTCCAAATCTTCTTACTCGTACACACGCACACGCATATCTGCGGCGCATCTAGGCTCTGTTCCACTTTTTTTCTTCTCTTCCCACACCAAGGGCAATTTCCTTTTCTGAAATCCCAATTCCTCTCTCCTCCTCCCACTCACGATCCATTGACAACTACCGGAAACCATGGGTGGCTTTTACATGCAGTACCTAGAGAGTAAGTTGATGAATTGAGCTTTCCTGCCTTTGTTTTGTTTACTTCAACCCAATGGATACCGACAGCCCCGAAATCTCGTGTGGGGGTGGCGTATGAGATTTTGGGGGGGAATCAATCGAGCCTTGCGCGGCCACAACGGCGACCTTACGGTCAGAAGGCTGGTTGAGACGGAGGGGGCATTTGAGATGATCTCTGCCACTCAATCGACCTCCTGGAGGTTAAGCTGACCTTTTCGTGTGAGGTGGCTTTGCGCAGGCAAAGGATTATTCTAATTGCGCTTTTTCTTTTTTTTTTCTTCAATAATTTCTTCCTCCTGTATTATTTTTCTTCTTAGGATCGCAGTTCCTGGTTCATGCAGGCATCCTACAAGCTGCAGGAAGCCGATTGAACCAGGTCTTCGCGCAGCACGCCTCGACATGTTGCTGCAAGTGCATTTTCTACCTGTCATTTTCTGTTCTGACAGCGATTGTTGAATGTGGACGCTTTAATAGTTTCAAAAGCATGAAAAAACTAACGAATGGTTGTTATTAATAGGCCTCTGCCGGCGCCGAGGATGGACAGACCCCTCGTACGAGTGTTACCGTGATCCCAATGGCTTTACTTGCCTTGTCCTGGTCAACGGACGCGAGTACCAGACCGACTTGGCGTATGAGTCTGATTTGCTGGCTCAAGAGAACGCAGCCATGCGCGCGTTCATGGTTTGCCGCAACTTTTCCGTCAACGGCGGCATGCTTGCCCGCAATGGTATTGTCCAAGGGCTCCCGGCCAATGCTGATACCCGCCGCAAGAGCCGCCCTACATCCTCTAGAGACAGCAACGAACGTCACGGTCGTCGCTCTGGCACTCACTCGAGCAGCAGTTCCACTGCCTCCTTTGAATAGACTGGGCACTCGATAACTGGACCGGATTCGGAGTTTCACGGCGCTGTTTACCCCCAAAATTTTTGAACGTTCCCTCCCTCTTGGTTTTGGCTTGGACCTTCAAAGGCAGCCATGGCGCATATATACACGTGGTTGAAAGGCTTCACGGCAATCCTTTAGAGGATATAACCATCACCGCGCCAACCTTGTTTTTTTCTTCTATATTTCCGGCGGCTGCGAATTTGATGTGGGTGTGATTAAGAATGAGAAAAGAAAAAATAAAAATCGACAAAAAAAAGCACGCACAAAGGACCTAGCGATAAAAGAGGCATTTTTGTAACGCACATGTTGCAACGACTTTTATGACGACATGAAACGACCCTTAGACATTTCATCTTCCTTACAGCGGCCGGTATGCTCCTTGGGTGGCTTTCCACCCCATTGTTCTAGAAGTTGGTTTGATTCTCTTCTCCGCAATGTGTTTAGAGTCAAGGCGCATTGCATTCATCATTTGATTTTTACCTTCCCGATCTCTTATGGCGTTTTCTATAACGACCTACACTCTCTGGATCACCTGGCTTCATTGCCGGCATTGAGCAACAAAAACTTTTCCTCCTCCAGCCTCTTTTAGAGGCAGGTATTACATACGAATCAGCCCGTCTCAGGCGGTCGCTCTTTCTATTGAATTGACGACATGTCTCTCTCTTACTTTAGTAGTTATGGGGTAGTAGCTAACCCTTTCATTATGATGGCGGTCAAGTATCTCTATGACTTGCCTCGGATCTTATGAGGAGTTTTTGTTTGTGATAAAATAAACCTGCATTCGCAACGAAGAGGAGATGGCCGTACCTTTCACAAGGATGGCTTCTCGACTTTCTTTCAAGGCGTCTGGCAGAAACGAGGTTGGCAATACCTTTTCCCACCTCATTTATTATTTCTATTGTTTATTTCTCTGCAACGACGCCGAGTCCTTGTCGTGCGAACCAAGGCTAGCGATTGTTTGATGACCCCTATTTGTTTATGATGTTAAGACGCAAATGAAACCAAAAAGAAGGCGAGAAAAAAAAAAAGGTCGAACTGGACGATATAAAGCAATGATTGAGATATGAATGCGGGTTTGGATTAAAAATAAAAGACGAGTGAAGAAAGATTACTTAAAAAAATTAAGAGCTTTACGATAATGACGATATGAAGATTATGAATTTTTATCGTTTTATTCTGACTACTACCTGACGTTTGGCCAATATGTTTTGTGATGTTACTAGAACGGCGAGGGGATGTGTAAATGACGGATTTTGAACATGATTCAAATGCTTGTGCCTCTATATAAAGAAATCGTTTGATGATTTGATTGTTATGAGAAGTTCGATGAGGTCGCGATGTGACGCTCGGCACCTTGGCGGGCGCCAGCAATCTCACTTGGACGGTATGAGGAGTCGTTGAAACAAGACAGCCTAAGAACCCGAGGCTTTGGCACCTACGTAATGTGGCTCAATATAGTTCAGGAACAAGACACAAAGAGGAGAGAAAATAGCCGCTAGGTCAAGGCGTCGGCAACCGCCGATGAAGCCACGCAGAACGAAACGTTTCCTCTAATTTTAGTGGCCCTGGCCGCGGCCGACCAGGCCATGCCAAGGGTGTCCTGCCGCTGGAGCGATCAGGATTTGCAAGAGGAGGAAAAAAGAGCAAACCAACAACACAAGGCCCAACTAGACTGGATGTGGAACAAAATCCCTGGCGACGGGAGATGAAACGGGAGGGCGGGATGAGGACATGGTTATTTCCGGGAAGAAGGGGGGCCCTTCTGTGGGATTTTCTTCTTCTTCTTCTTTTCCTGGTTTGGGTTTCATTATAAGATTAGCGAAAGGGTATGGGATGGAAAGTGGTAGGTGCTATTTGCGGCTGGATCGAGTGTGCTGATGCGATGTGATGCGATGGGGCCGGATGATGGATGTATGGAGGCTTTGATTAGTGCGTAAGGTACCTAGGGAATATGTATGTACTCTGTGGTGTGAAGGCCCTTTTTCTCTGGTGCCTTAGTACTTGGTATAAATAACAACAACTGTTAGAGCAAAGCTACAAGATTTTACACCCTCTCGATTCAATTGAAATGCGACATGACGCTATATACGATGCCCAATATTGTGGACAGAGGCATTAACTGATGTAATTAACGTCAGGAGAGCCGTATGAGCATAGGAGTAAGGGGCAGTGGAAAGACGGTGCTGACAGCATATTTGGCGCGAGTGATTTTTGAGCCACGCTTTGGATGTAAGTGGCACTCGCCGACCAAGAGCTGAGGGTATTCCTGGCGCTTGCTCATTAGAATACGAACAAGCAATATTTGTCTCCTCGATGCGAGCTGCTTGCGTAATGGTACGTACTTGCACTTGCATCTGTACCTATATGCTGTATCTTAGTGGTGGAAGGGTTTCGCTGTGATGGCGTTGTACCGGATGCGGCTGTTGGTGTATTGTTAGTCGGACGGTCTCGGTCAAATCGACTGTGAGGCAAGACGAGGCGAGACATTGCTGCGCGAACAACGCTTGCAGATCTCGAGACACAGCGGATGATTTATGCTCCGCCGTTGCAGCTGCGTCGCCTCTATTGTCATCTCTACGTCTATTTGCCGTGGGTGCTCCGCAGCACCTTAGGAGCATCGTACTCGAGTTGAAGTCAAGGTGCAGGTTGCTGCCACTCTACGCTCCATGTGATACGTTCCATGGCCATCATCACGAAGTCGGATTGCATGATAATACGGATCATTACGGAGCAGCCAGCCTCACGAGCCGCTTTTCAAATTTCGCCTCCAGCTTTTTTTTCCCTTTCCCTGGGAGCCGCGTGGGAAATTTTCATGCTCCCATTGCTGGAGCTGATTGGCCCTGCGTCTGAAATTGGAGAGGACCCCTGATCATTGAACCCCCGCACTGCTCGTGTCTGTCTGGTGCCGGTACAAGGCCTGCCACAGCTCCTACACACTACTGGAGGTACCTTGCTAAGGCTGGAGACATTCGGCACTACAGGCGACACTATCTGTGGCAGTACGGCCCTTCAACTTCTTCGCGTTTGCTTTAGAGCAGTGCTAGTCTTGTAATGTGCGTTGCGCTGAAGACGCCTGGGATTCCAGCCAATTGAGCGCTCTGGGCGGTGCCTCAGGGGCGGCAGGGACCGTATGCGGCGCTGTAAAAGGTGGTGCTAGGCCGTGTTGAGCTCCCGCTGTGCCTGTACGAGAGCAGCTAAGCCCAGCGCGCTAATGGGCGCCCCGCAGGCCTCGTGAATTGCTGCGAAATGAAAGGGTACGAACGCATTACGGAGTCGCAGCCACCAAAGTACCCGGCGCGCCGTGCTACTGCGTGATGTGACTTCGTGTCCGTTGACATCTGGACACCTAAAGACGGCCAACGCCAACCTGAACATCTTCCTCTCCCTCCTTTCTTCTTCTTTTTCCCATCCTTCTGCAAAACACCACAGCTTGGCCACCTCTTCTTCTTCTTCCCGAGTCGACTTTATTTGCTTTGCGAGCATTGCATTGTCGCTCGTTCTTCTCTACGCTCTCTACCTGAAATACTAGTTTATTGCTCTGTTTTTTAACCCCCCCTTTTTTACAATCTCCGCATCAAGCAGACATTCATCATGAAGGGTACGGCGCGCCTCTGATTGCCATAAACAGTCGCTTGTTCCAATGGCAAAGCTAACAGCTTCTCCCATGCAGGACTTATTCTTGTCGGTGGCTTTGGCACTCGCCTTCGCCCTCTCGTACGTTCTACGCCATACGGTCCTCAGCCCTGCATCCCACCATGGCATTGATGTGAAATGGGGGGAATGGAGGGGGAGAGGAGCCACCACAAACGCAGCATCACACGCCCAGCGACTAACCATTGTGCGACGCCATCTAGACCCTGACGCTCCCCAAGCCTCTTGTCGAGTTCTGCAACAAGCCCATGATTGTGCACCAGATCGAGGCTCTCGTTGCCGCCGGTGTTACTGATATTGTCCTCGCCGTCAACTACCGTCCTGAGATTATGGAGAAGTTCCTGGCAGAGGTGAGTCCTGCACTTGACCCCTCATTGCAACATTCCTTGCTTGCGATTCGTCGCACAGATCTTTTGCCCCTCTAGATCAGCTCCCCTCCAATGGCGACGTGAATATACGAGACTGATTGCGTTCCCCCAAACCTTTTAGTACGAGGCAAAATACAACATCAACATCGAGTTTTCTGTCGAATCAGAGCCCCTCGACACTGGCGGCCCTCTCAAGCTTGCTGAGAGCATCCTGGCAAAGGACGACTCCCCCTTCTTCGTTCTCAACTCTGACGTCATCTGCGACTATCCTTTCAAGGAGCTGCTGGATTTCCACAAGAGCCACGGTGATGAGGGTACCATTGTGGTTACCAAGGTCGAGGAGCCCTCCAAGTATGGTGTCGTTGTCCACAAGCCCAACCACCCTTCTCGCATCGACCGCTTCGTCGAGAAGCCCGTCGAGTTCGTCGGCAACCGTATCAATGCTGGCATGTACATCTTCAATACCTCCGTCTTGAACCGCATTGAGCTTCGCCCTACTTCGATCGAGAAGGAGACCTTCCCTGCTATGGTTGCTGACAACCAGCTGCACTCCTTCGACCTCGAGGGTTTCTGGATGGATGTTGGACAGCCCAAGGATTTCCTTAGCGGAACTTGCCTGTACCTGTCCTCTCTCACCAAGAAGGGAAGCAAGGAGCTCACTCCCCCCACCGAATCCTACGTTCACGGAGGCAACGTCCTGATTCACCCCACCGCCAAGATCGGAAAGAACTGCAGAATAGGTCCCAATGTCACCATTGGCCCCGACGTCGTCGTCGGTGACGGTGTTCGTCTGCAGCGATGCGTCCTTTTGGCCTCTTCGAAGGTCAAGGACCACGCATGGGTCAAGTCGACGATTGTTGGCTGGAACAGCACCGTCGGCCGCTGGGCCCGTCTCGAGAACGTGACTGTTCTCGGTGACGATGTTACCATTGGCGACGAAATCTATGTTAATGGAGGCAGCGTCCTGCCTCACAAGTCTATCAAGGCCAACGTTGACATTCCCGCCATCATTATGTGATTTAATCAATCATTTCATCACCATTTTCTCGGCGTCGCATGACATATGCGACACCCTTTACAATTTTTTGAACCTTGCTTCGATTTCTGATTCTTTGTTCTATTCTGCGCCACTTTACACCCCTATACATTCACCACTCCTCCATTATTTCTCAAAAGATACCCTATCGGTGGAGGGGAAACAGTCTTTGAGAGAGAAAGCCAAGCAACTCTTTTTTTTTATTCTAATTACTACTTCTTCCTGCATCTTTTTTTTTTCTTCCATCTTCTTTTTTTAACCTTTTTCGTTTTTTACCTCTTTACTTTGAAAAAAGGTCGAGCCATGGGATGTTTGTTCGCGTTGTGTTGAGCTCCAAGTATATCGTTTGGCGTTCGTGGGAAATAGGTGGGCAAAGCATGTTGGAGGGATAAAGGGGGTCGGGAGGCTGAGAAAGAGCTATGATGGACGAAGCACTGAAGGCTTTACATGTATGAAAATATGATAGCGTAGCGAATGAAAGCTGAATTTTACGCTTAATCCTTATCATTTCTGTCAAATATCTTGCTCCTTGTGCGGGTGTTGATATTGTTTGGCTGAAAAGCTATCCGTGCAGGCGTCTGTCTTATTGTAGGCAATGCACATGTCTGGCGAATACTGGATGGAATCTACCTATAACACATGAATATTGAAGCTACTGGGTAGGTGCTAAGGTAGACCTGCGGACAGACGCATCAAGCATGGTCACCAGTTGTATAAGGTAGGTACCTGCAGTAGGTACTAGGTAGTAATTCCCTGCCGGGTCGACTTTATTCTGAATGTGAGCTGAGCTGAGCTGTAGTTGATGGTTGGTGCCTCATTTAGCTGGTATCAAGAACTTTAGTGACGCAATGCCATGGCAAAACCAAAGGAAAGACCGCAGCAGGAGCTTCGGTCAGGTGCCTTACAGGTGCTTCACAGGGAGGGAAGGAGCTTCCATGGGAGAAAATGCACTGCAGAAATTCTTCCCTCTGCACTCTTTTTCAGGCTTGGATCAGGCTACGGCTTAGTTAAGTGAGTCGGGGATGGCGATGATGTGACCGTCTTTCTGCTCTTCTGCCGAATTTGCAGCCTGCATCTTGAGAAGATTCTCATCACCACGGACTTTAGTCTTTCCTCAGCAAGACTTCACTTTTCTTTCTTCCTTCGTGTCACCGTCAAGTGTCACTGTGGATGAAAGAGACATTAATTTTCATCTTGCAGAGAAACTTATCCCAAACAGTTGGTTCTAGGACACCGAAGGTCGGATAGCATAATATGGGCTGACATATCCTAGGGCTATCATGGAGATGTACGCTTCTCAGGTACTGCTTGAGAGCGGTAAGAAGCGCTCGCACGATAATATCGAGCCGGGTGCTGCAGCAGAGCCTGCGTGGAAACGTCCCGCTTTACCTTCGGGATTGCCTGCAAGATGTCAAGACGCGGAAGCTTCTGGAGATATCGACATGGAAGAGTCTGTAAGTTGAAACGAATCAGCCATGGCATCAAAGGAATCCATACAGCTAACTCAAATAAGTCGAATGCAAGCGTCTCTACTAAAAGCGACCTTGACTGTCTATCGCAGCGTACACTTTCACAAAGCTCTGCAGGTGCAGATGAAGCAGATATTCACGGGCCCTTCTCGAAACACTTCGCGAGGATTAGTGGGAGCATCCACGAGTTTGTCATGAAGCATGTAACGCCGAGATCTGACGGGTCCTACATTTATGCATCTTCCTGGCCACCGATTTCAGCAGGAATTGCGTCTTACGGCACGGCAAACACTTTCCAGGAAAAAAGCATCCAAGACATGAGACTTGAGCCCTCCATGACATTTTTCCATATCAACGAGATGATACTTGCAAAAAAACAACCCTTCACTAGTGGAGCGGTGTATGAACTCTTTGCGCGAGTCGTCAACTTTGGTTGCGCAGACTTTCCACCGCATTATCAATATTTCCAGTTGGAAGATTTGTTTGGAGGAATGCCCTATTTGAGTGGACTCATTTTGCGTTTCTGGGCCGATCGGAGTATTCAGCAGGGATGCTCTATTGAATGCGAAGCTACACAGTTCGCGAGTGTAACAGAAGCCGAGGGCAAATGCTACTGCGTCTGCGAACCTGTCCAAGACAGCTCAGCTGAGCTTGGCTGGTCGATCTACATTCGCGAAATACGGCCTGTCACCTGGGAAACTATTCGAAGTGTCCATGCCCACCTTAGAAAATAAGGGCTCGAGACGACCCAGCAGAATATTGACCAAACAGTGTATGGGTGGAAGCAGCTGTGGGCGCTTATTTCTCCATTTATTCAAGAGTGGCTCAACTTGATATCCATTCTCTTTATGGGTTATCCAAGTTTTATTCAACATGTTGCGGTTATCTATGTGGCCTTTCTCTAAACACTTTCTATAGTGTAATGGCATATTTACTCTAATATTGTAGCCGGCCCTTTTCTTCCTTCCTTTTTACTTTAAAAACTTACTCCCATGCTCTAAGGTATGCTGGTTCCATCTAACTTCTGTCGTGATTGCCATTGTACTTTCTACAGTCTACAGCTTTGCATTTGGATCCTCCCAGGCTTTATATATGATTTTTCACTTTGAAAAAAGGCGCGAGTTCTCGCTCCATCATTTGGCGCAGCTCTCGCTGCTCCTCTGCTGTGGGAACTTTCAAACTACCGTGTCGCCGGCGCCAGCTCTCGTCAGTCTCGCGCATCTCAGCATTGGGATCCTGGCCTGTAGGATCAATGAATTGAAAGGAGCGGTATTCGCAGTTCTTCCAACTTGTGGCTGTTGTTTCGAGATCTGTGTTAGTTGACATTGTCCTAGCATGATTGATTTCTCCTGTCGTCTCCTTTCTCTTTCTTTTTCTTTTTGTTTCCTTTCCATTATTCTTCAAGCTTTTCTTCTAAGCAAAAGGGGTAAAGGGAATGGCAATCTTACGATATTTATCGGTGATTCCATGCCAGTCTTCAGTCAAGAAGTGCAAAAAGGCACCGTGAGAAACCACAGCAATGTGCGCATTATCCCCCAGGCTGGCTGCAATCTCCCTCAACGTTAGCCTGGCATCCTTTGCTCTCGCCGGCAGCTTGTCAAGCGAAGGCTCAAAGTAGCTCCCCTCCCCCTTGAAATCCCATCCCTTGCGGATCCTGCTCACGTCGACCTTGTCACCAAACTCAGCGGCCAGCTTCTCCCTTGACGACCCCGTGTCGGAGGGTGCGTCGGAGCACTCCTGGAGCGTATCCAGGGCGATCACCGGGTATAGCCCGTCGGTGCCAAAGCCGTTGATGCAAGTGTATAGCGTGCGGCGCATGCCCGAGGCGACCAGCCCCTTGAGCTTGTCGTGGTGGGGGAACTGGGCGCGTAGGTCGGCGCATTGTTGGATGCCCAGGGGGGTGAGGTCCGGGTCGGGGAGCTTTTCGTTTTCCTTGGAGAGGTTATGGTAGCCTTGGGCGTGGCGGACTAGGTGAAGGGTGGGAGCCATTTCTTGCTCAAACCGTTTTTTGATATTAATGATTTATAGGAAGGGAGATGTTAACAAAAAGAGTGAGTCTTATTGACAAGTGATAAAGAGGAGAGAAATTAAAACCCAAAAAGTCTACAGCTATTATAAAGGAGAGACGAGAAATGGAGTGATGGCAGCAAACCAGCAAACGCCGTCTTGTTCCACAAATCTCCGAACTACATATGTACATACATCGTCTCCATTGAAAAAAAAAATAAAATAAATAAATAAATAAATAAATAAAAAATATAAAAAAGTCTCGGCTCGCCTACCTCATGCAGCAATTCCACTCGGATGGATGACTCAAAATCCTAACGGAGAGGGTCACCCGGTCCCGGGGAAGCGCAAAAAAAAAAAAAAGCGGCCTCCTCCGGCTCCAGCGACTAAATACAAGGCAGCACTTTAAAATAACAAGACAGCCTGAAGAGGAAAATAAATAGATCAACGTTACATACATACATACACCAAGCCGAGAAAAAGGTAAATAAATCCAAGCGCCACGTGCTATGCTACCCATCTCGATACCTCGCAATAGGAATCGCTCGTTCTTCTTAAGGTACTCATACGTCATTCTTATCTGTCACTGAAAGTCCATAAGTGGAAATAAAACGCCCAAGCGGAAGGAGCTCTAATATATATCCACTTAACTGGCTATTGTTACTAGGTACTAAGCCTAGTAGCAGTCATAATGCCCCAGCGTGCCTATTAGGATCGCCCCAATTGGTGCGTTAAGTCTTTAGGTAAGAATATGTTTGGCCTGAAATCTCGCGGAATGGACGAGATGGATCATGAATACGAAATAGCGGCCACTGGATGCGGAGTGTCCCTTTTTGATAAAATGGTAATTAGTGATCTTGCTGCATGTGTGCTCTGTTACGCGGCTTTACAACTTCGGAGCTCCGAGATGCTCACAACTCCAAATGGACTCAAACCACTTATACGATTACGTTGTTACTAGACACACGATCCAAGATTTTGATTCGTCGGTAAGAAGCAAAAACAAAAAGTAGTCATTCTGACAGGCTACGGAATACCCATGTTACCGCACACACGCTATCCAGCAATTGTAAAAAACGCCGCGTCGTAGTATATAAGCCCCCTTGATGTCACAATGTAACCCGCATCTCATGACAATTGCCGCCATATTTCTTTCTTTCCGCCAAATTAGAGAACCAAAAATTAAAACTCAATGAGCGCTTCCTCCTTAACCGGCTGCTGTTGCTGCACAGGCTCATGCTGCGGCGCAGGGGGCATTGCGTAATTGGCGTAACCAGCCCACTCAGGCGGAGGAGCTGGTGGTTGCTGTTGCTGTGCAATACTAATTTGATAGGGTGACGATTGGGGTGGTATATCCTGTTGATACGGCTGCTGGGGTGTTGAGACAGGCGGCATCTGTGAGTGAACAGGCATAGGTGTTGCGTTAGGGGGTTGTGAGGGTTGAGCCGCAGTCTGAACGGGAGTTGCTTGTGCTTGTGCAGATACGGAACCCCTATGGTAAGGCATGGGCGACTGGTTCAGGTTAGGGTATGGTGATTGAATTGCATCCGCGGGAGGAGCGTTCTGTAAAGGTTGTGCGGTGTTGAAGTAGTATGAAGCGTTTGGATCTGTTGAAGGTGATGAGGCTGCCTGCTGAGGAGGCTGTCTTCTCTCCTTAGGATTTTCCTGCGCTTGCTGCTGTTGAAATTGATCAGGGGCTGATGGAGCCCGATTATTCCAGCTATCAGTTCGCTGTTGAGGCGCATAAGGTCCGGGTGCAGCGTCAGGTGCTGGCATTCCAGCATAGGGTGGATAAGGGGACTGCGGCATCGCTTGTTGAGGCGGTAGTTGATACAGCTGTTGCCCTGGTGGCGCTGATGGCGCGTATCCTGGCTGTTGCTGGTTCGTATAAAAGCTTTCAGCACCAACTGAGTTGCTTGGCGCGTGTGAATGTATTGAAGGGTAAGGTCCGGAGGATTGACGAGGTGGTGGAAGATTATATCCGCCCAGATTTTGCTGACTGTATGCCTTTGATAGCCGGTCTTCCAGCATCCGATCGTAATATCGAACAACGGTAGACAGCTTGGCATGGAGATCGAGGAGAGTGTCTAGGACGTATTTATTAGCCATCAAGAAAGACGTAACCGGCTGACAAGATCATTATTACCGTGCTTGCTCATTGTTTCACCATATGTTCGCGCCAACTTGGGACGCAGTGAGCCAATACTATCATACAGTTCCTGAATCTGAGGTTCGCGCAAAATAGTACCTGGAGGCTGAGTCTGAAGACGGTCGACTAAGGTGGCGAAGAGGTTGATATTCTCGGCTTCCACCGCGGTTAGCTCGTAGTCGTTCTTGGGTAGTGTGAAAGTAGCGGAAGATGAGGCGGCCGGTCCTGACGTTTGCTCTTTTAACACAGCAGCATGTCTCTTCTTCTGTTCTTCCATATCTGCCAGTGAAGCAGCAATAGCAGCTTTCAAGTCCTCATCTTCCTCTTCAGCTTGCTTCGTGGCGACAGGGTCTCCTCCACTTGTCCTTGGCCCATTCGAGGTCACAGGAGCCACCCTACCACGGGAAGCATTGCCCACCTCTTCGAGACTCATTGCTAATGCTTTTTTAAGATCTTCGTCGAATCCGTCATCGACGCGCGCGTTCCGTGGTTGCATAGCGGACGTGCTACGAGTTTTATGAGGATATGTTGGCGTGCGGTCGAGAGAGGGGTTTGGCTCTTTGAAGCCCTTGTTAGTGAGCTTAGCATAGCACCCATCATCGACTCGCACAGGAGTGAGTATTCCCAAATGAGGAAGAGGAAGTGTTTTGCTTGAGCATTGTTGATCGAAGCAGTTGCCGCAATTTCGGCAGTGGTGTTTTCGATTGGTAAATGTAAACGCCGTTCGACACCGCATACAGACATCCGAATCGACCCATTCAGGGGGCTGTTTGACTTGCATTAGTCGATCACTCGGAAAGAGAAGGGTAAAAGGTAAAGCAATGATTCGGGTTACGTACTGCACTGCTATCAATCATGCTGCTCGCTACCGTGACCTGCGGAGGGAACTGATACCCCTCTCGCTGTAGACGCTTATATACTTCGCCGATGTAAGACAGCTCGTACCGCCCTTCTGTGGCGCCGGCCCACGACTGAATAAGCTCGAGAATCTTGGATTTCACTTCGGCGTTGATGGCGACGGGGCCAACGGCTTGGAGGAGGGAGGTCAAGTTGTCCATGAACTCGCGGGAGGCGATCTCGGTTAGAAAATGAGACCCGCCATTCTTGACGCATGTGTCTGTGAGCTATATAGAGACTGGTGTCAGGGCTGCGCTCGTAGTTGGATTCTAACAGAAGATTCAGAATGCAAAGCGGGCAACATACGTTGAGGGCGCTGAGCTGGGTGTTGGGATTTTTGTTGCCGATGCGCTTCTTGAGTGATTGCATGGCCGCCTTGGGCGCCACCGTCTTGGATCTGATGACATCGGAGATCTCGAGGTTGAGTGCAATATCTTCTCTGTATTTTCTCTCGTTAGCCCGTCTTCCTCACCATTGCAGCAGGAGGCGTCCATACAGGCTGCTGCTCGTGGCCTTTTCGATCTGCTCGTCGAGCGCCGTGTTGGCCGAGGACGACCACCAGCTCATCATGTTGGGGAGGGCTGCGTCACTAGGGAGAAGACAAGGAAGAAAACGGTGCGCGGTAAAGACGCAGAGGCGACGCTCAAGAGCTCGGCAGCGACGGCGATGCGGGAACTGGATGAGCTGCGGTGCGATGGAGATGCAGCTGCGGCGAGCAAGGCTATGGATATGCGTTCGTTCTCGTTCTAGTGCCCAGCAGGTACTTTCGGCTCCGCTGACGACGTCTGCAGTTGCGTCACGGCAGCGGAGGCACCAGCCGCCGGAACAGTGGTTAATCCGCTACAGCACCACCACCATCCCTCTGCAGCCTCGTTCCTGTCTGTACCTTGTACCTGTAATAACTGTAATCTGACTAGCCAAGAGTATAAGTCGCTGATTGAGTTGTAAATCATATTTTGAGAGAAATATAGACCTCTACCTCGAAAATGCTTTCTGCGGGCAATGCCTGGTTGAAGCGCATTTGTAAGCGTTTCCTCGTTCTATTATGCGTTCACATGCTAGTACGTAGTAAGTGGCTGGCTAGGCACTTGCTTACAATCCATCAGTGTCATTAGTCGCTGCCTGTTAGATATCTGCCTTCGGGCTACCTGGGCGTTTATATGTCGGGCAATTCAGGACAAAATCCAATTTTAATTCACAATCAAGTTTCATTCCATGGTTGCAAAGGCCGGGTACTCTATCCTGGATAATATGTCTTGGTCTTCCATTGAGACTATTGCATGTGCGCTGTCAGCTGTTACGATACTCATTATACATCCATATAGACTATCAGGTATATTCATGCAGTTTTTATAACGCCGAGTCAGCAAACAACTCCCTATATCTTGAATTCAAAGTCTTTCAAAGGGTCGCAGCTGTAATATAACACTTATTAATCCAAGGATACTGCGATGACGTAATGCGGTCATAGCATATGAGATTCTAATCCATGGGAGTCATCGCCATGGAAGATACGGAATAGGCCGCGAAACAACATGTTATAAACAAAACAGGGTGGCGGTGAGCGGCAAATTATAGGCGGCGATTCCGAACTACGTCCGTTCGCCATGATTCGGAAAATCAATAGAGAAAATCGACCGTAGAGGCGTTCACCATGTCATAGAATCGCTCCTGAGATGTGAATTATATGCATTTGCTCGTCTTATATGCATCTCTCATAAAGAAGCAGGGTTGGAGACACTTCAACCAAGCAATGACGACGCTGGCTGTGGCTTATGCGCAAATCGCGGTACATGTGGGCTGTCGCGAACGTAGGCAGAGACGCAACACAGTACGAAACTTGATATAAACACGACTTGATTCTACGTACAAATTTGGCGGGGTCAAAAGTATTTGCACCAGTTTCGATGTATCTTATACCCCACGTACGCATGCCAGTTTGGCCACACTTGTACCT